ACATGTGTGTGTGAAACTTATTTGCCATTAATATAAAGACAAGTATTTATATCAATGAGAGCGACTTAAATCCCTTACAATTTAAGCCATTGATATCATATCTCTCACACTTTCTTTCAATGATTGTGTTGTCGTTTATTTCCTCAACAGATCTGCCAAATAGTCAGTAAAAGAAAATTATTTTTCTTATTAAATATATTTATTTATAGATTCAGAAAAAGTTTGTTTTATGTGTTAAGCAACAAAAAAAAAAGTTCCACAAAAATATTGCCAATAGTTTAAGTTTTTATATGTCTTCTATGAATTTGTTGGGCACATAACTATTGGTACAGCACTGGGTTTGTCATGTTTTTGAGGCCTCCATCGACTCGACGGGGTGTACGGAGAGAGAGAGAGAGAGAGAGAGAGAGATTTTCAATAGAAACTTCAGTAATATTGAGACACAACATTGAGAGCTCATCCCCAACCAGAAGCCATAGTGGGTGACTGGTAGGGGGTTTGGGCTGACAACTGGCTTAAGCACATATTTTTACCATATGCAATATGCAATATGCAATATACAATATACAATATGCACTGAGCACTATCAACTTGGATCACTCATCAAAATTAATATGCTTTATAACCAACATTGAAATACCTTTACATTCATTTGTATATGTAATTCAAGTTGACTGTCCACTTAACAACAACTTTATATTAAGCACTATCTGCTTACTGTCCTCTATGTTATTGTAATGGATCACAAAAGATAAAGAAATATATAGAAAATGTTAAGCATTTGGTCGGTATGTTTGGTTTGCTTAGTATGTTAAACAAAGATCAAAGAAATATCTGAATAAATAACAAAATGTTTTCAAAATACACTAAATATACTTTAGTAATAAAACATATAAAAAATATCAATAGAAAATAAATACAGTACTTTATATTTAATTTTTTCTCTCTTACAAATAAAATAATATTTTCATGAAATATACCATGTTTTCTAAAATTGACAGTATTATCAATAATAATTCAAATAATAATAATAATAATAATTCAAATAATAATAATAATAATAATTCAAATAATAATAATAATAATAATAATTCAAATAATAATAATAATAATAATCTAATCATAATCTAAATAAATTTTTGTTTTGGGATCTGAATTACGCTATAATAAGACAACACCTAATAAAATGAAGCAATAAATAAGTGATATATGAGTCCCAATGAATAAGCCATAAATAATATCACTAATGAAATGTTTGTTCATTATTATGATTATTGCAAGTAAAGTGAAAATGTTTTTCAAGTTTTATTTTATTTTATTTCTCTGTGAACTTCACTGATAAGACATTCTCGCGATATATTTATTGAAGTGTTTGCAAACACTATACAAACAAATACACACAAACCTACTGTTAAAAAGTCAGGTATATATTGGTATATATATGGTTGTGGAGTCAAACACTTGAATTAACACAACAGCCCAACCATATTATGATAGTTTGCTATGTGTTTGGTGTTCACACTATGGCTTAGAGAATATTCTACTGTAAACATTACATACATATACCAGTTATTCACATAAATATCTATTTTAGTGGCAAACATATAATAATGAAAATCTACTCAACAATACATTCAATATTGTATATACAGTATTATATTATTATTATTATATACTATTAGAAACAATTCAAGTGTTTGACGACTAAAATATTATAATGCAAACAAACTCTAGGCTTAAGCGATAAAAAATATATGCATATAATAAATATGTGAAAATATTATTTAACATTAAAAATGTGTTTATATAAAATTAATATTAATAAAACAACAACGACTAACATATTTAAGCCATTTTTGCCCATAAATAATTTGACACAAAAAATTAATAAGAATTTTTATAAACAGTATATACAGTATTAAATTATATATTATATTGAAAATATATTTATCATTTTGTCAAAAACAAACATACAGGTGCTTTATTATTGCATTGCATCACATGTGCAAATGTTTAATAATTATATCAATTTGTTTGATCAAATAATCATATATTTAATAAAAATGATTATATGATAAATAATTTAATATTAATTAAATAAAGATATAAATAGATGTCTGACCTGATGATCCGGTGTCGATGCACTGTCTGAATGATGTCCCGGGTCGGCACTACCGCCACGACCACCATTACTTGCACCTCCCATACCAGGACCAGGACCTCCACTTCCATTGCTGGAGCTGTTGTTATTGTCACCCAAATCTCCCGGTTTCGTATCCCTTTCATCGATGACCAAATCAATGGGCATTTTTCCCTTTAGACAACTTATATATCGCTGACAAAAATTGTCGCACAACTCATGCACCTGTATTTGGCAGACATATAAATATATTTAATTGTAGTCATATATTATTGTATTAATTATTATAAACAAAATAAAAATCATTAATACATTAGTGTATAATTAATTTAATAACATTTTTATGTATACATTAAAATGAATGAATGTTTTATATTGATATACACTATATATTGCCTGAAATGAGTTCCACATAACTGACACTAAACCATATAATTATATAAATATAAAATAACATCTAATGTCCAAATCATCTAACAGTTATGTTATAATAGTTAACGTATGAAAAATATGAGTTACAATTTTGTCAGTGATTTATATTTAATTAACGGTTAATCTGGTGTTGGCTTAACTCGTCTATCATAATAATAACTATGATATTAATAATAGTATTATTTTATGTGAAATAAAGGATTTGTTGTTTTGGGCCTTAAAAGTGAACAACACTTGAGTGAGAGATTTGTGAACAACATATTGAGCTCCTATTGAGTACTACTACTACTACTGTACACACGTATTGTGTCATTCAATTGGTCTATCATTTGAAGTACACTTAGTTTTAGAGGACATTATATCAAAAGCTTTTATATACTGTAATATATAAAACTTTGTGAAAATTGAATGTAAGTATGACTTAAATGGTATGATTGTGTAGAGGGTGGAGGATATGTCAAAAGCAACCCCTAGTATTACGACCCGTCTCTCACTCACTATTACATACAATGAATGTCTGTTTTGAGTGACAAGAAAATGTTGATAATTAGTCCAAACATTGACAAGAAATATCTTTAAATACTAGTTGAAGCTCAACATCGACTTTATATTTATTGTTATTATATATAATATTATATATCCATCTCTGGGCACATGTTATGTAATGATAGTAATTCTCTTATCAATAATATTACGTTAGATGTTAGGGTTTTTTGCTTTTAATTTTTCTTTATGTTTGAATTTCAAAAAATAACATATGAGTCCAAAAATTATTATTATATATATAAAAATATATTGACAAAAATAACTTCCTTTTTAAAAATAAAACATGTTTATAATATATACAGTAAGACTAGTAAAAAAAACTATTGGACTAACCAAAAACTATTTTGATCCTCAAAAATAAATAACTAATATATATATTCCACTATAATATGGGGACATAACAACAACAACAATAACTACAACACATATTTAAGTAAGTTTTGATTTTTTAGGCGCAGACAAAAAATTGGATTTCAATGATTATCTTATAGAAGATAAGTATAGCCGTACTCATCGATAACTATCTTAATATATATTTTCTTTTGAAACTCTATTTAAAGGGGTGTTCTCGAGGCTTAAGGCGAGTCACTTGAATAGCACACATATTGTCAGTCATTTCACTTTTTTTGTAGTTATTTTAGTTTAAAAATTAATAATATGATAAAAAAGAAAATAAGTCTAACGTATGGATTTGTTATCAAGAGATTTGAAATATCGGTTTTAAGAGTATATAATATATACCAGCATATCGTTATTTATACAGTATTAGATACTTTTAATATATATATATATAAATTTATATACTCTACAGTATATACCGGTATATATAAATATATTTTGCAAAAATCTATATGAAAATCTATCAAATCATTTATATGATTATTATTGTATTATTATGTGAAGTGTATATGTACTGTATATAAATTTTATATATATAGTATATTATATTATATGGCGTGTGTATATTAACCACTATACAGTATAATACCAGTACCACAATCATTGGTACATCAATTACATTATCCTTCAGCATATCGGTTATCGAAGGACATGACAGGCATTATATACAAACATATATATGTATATACAGTATATCAATATATACAACATTTTCTTATATACAGTATATGTATATATCAATTGAAAGACATTTAAATTTAATCAATCATTTCATAAATTATAATTATATCATTATATTTTCACTTTTTTCTTAAATATACACATTTCTTGTCACTTAAATAGTAAAAACAAAATACTACTTATTATTATAATGCAAATTAAATGAAAGTGCATTGAAAAATGATAGATATTAATAATAACATACCTTTTCTAACTCTAATAAGTGAAACCTTAGCACTTGTATTGCTTGAACCATCTGATGATCGGTTGGTTTATTGTTATTAACAACACAACACAACACGTGAAGACATGAAAAAGAAAGCCGAGAATCAACATATCAGTCAATAATATCCAATTTAAAGAGACATAAGTAAAACAATGTACAGTATTAATGTCAATACACTTTTCAATGTATTATATAATATTTTATATTAAATAGAAATAGTTAAATATATTAGTAATGCATGCATAGCAAAGTTATACTTATTATTGTTATTGCAATCATTATATTAAACAAAAAGCAAAATAAATATGCATATATAAAAATTTATAAACCAATTTTTGTTAAATTTATGATAAAATATAGTTATTGCTATTATTATTATAAAATTTAATGTAAAAATTAGTCATTGAAATAGAAAGAGAGACAACAAAAACAATAATAAGAAGTGTCACTTACAAGACTATCTAATTCAGGGTTTGGTACATAATATGGCTTTTCTTGTCTAATCTGAAAGTAAAATATATGCAAAATTAGTTTCCCGTTTACAACATATACAGTATTATAAAGCAGAGAATGATTGTATGATTGTATGTGAATTCAGTGAACAAAAAATTTTGTGTTTAAAATTTAAATAATTTTTTCTTTAGTTTAATGTATTCTGTATTTTATTATTATTGTGTTGAGGTTTGTATATATTTTTATTGTTTGTATCGTATTATTGTTAGTCAATAATAGAATAGTCTATAAATATATTGTGTAAAATTACAAATGTTTTACCACTAAACTCACATATTTCTCTAAAAAAACTTTTATCAAATATAAAAAAATGTAATAAATATATTGTGGATAATCCTTTTGTTGTCATATTTATGACAAGTCTTTGTAGACGTTTTGATAATTATACAATCATATAATCAATTGGATGTTTTTGGTATATATTGTTTGATACCTGTTTGGCAAAGACAGCAATGTCTTCGTTGAAAGACTCTGAAGAGCAGACATCTCCGCCAGCGATTCCGGGCTCTCTTGGAGTACAAGTGGCTAATTCACACTTCTCGAAGATGAGGGCCAACAATGGGAACAGTGGGTGACTATATTATTGTGTAGTAATCATAATAATAAACAATCAATTTTATCAAAAAGTTTCTTCTTTAAGTTATTTTTAAATGTCAAAATAATTATGATTATAATAAATATATATATATATATAATAAGTAATTAAATTATATATTCATAAATTATTAAAATAGATTGTTAGTGTTTATATGTAGGTATATATATATATATATATACTGTATATTATATATTATATTCTTTTCAATGTTAAAGTTAACAATCATCGAGAATAGTAACTAATTTTTGCAATTAACATTAAATGCCATTATTATTAATATATAGAGACACTAATTATTATTTGCTATACTGTAATGACTTATAATACAAATACAAGTTTTACTTCAACTAAAACTGCTTACTTATGATTCAATCACTAATTTACTTTCACTTTATAAAAGTCTATAAATATTGTTTAAAATAAATTTTAGTAAAGTAATGGTTATTACAATAACTATAAAACATTTTATTATTATTACTACTCGTCTTACTGTTAAAAAACATAACAATCAAGAAACACAATATATTATAAAATGACATAAAAACTATTTAACTAATAAATTAAAATATTTCTTAAAAATAAAAATTATTATAATTATGTGATGTATTCTTTAAAAATATTTTATTTTATCAAATATCTAAATATCTTTTTGATGTGTAATATTTATGCATTGAGAGATCCTATCCATTTCTCCCACACATTGAAATTTTTAATATAAAATCTTTATATTTAGATACAGTGTCTGACATTGAATGAATGATTGAATGAGCGATGAATTTTTAAAAATAAATAAATATATCATATAATGATTAACGAAAAAAAAGTTTAAATTAATTTACATATTTCAATAAAATTTCAATGTCTTAATCACGTTTTGTTTCATAAAAAATATTAACAAAATTATAACATTTAGATAAAGAATATCATACCCGTAAATGGCATCCTTATCCCGCTTGTGGACGTCGGGCACCGTACCCATGACATGATTGGTCATATGATTTGAGGGGTACTGGTGATGGCTCATTGTGGGCCCGTGTGGGCCGTGATTCATATGTGAGCCATAATTTAGTGATTGCATGGGATGCTGAAGATGACTATCATAAGGGCTCTCCATTTGATGAGCCGATTGATGGGTCAGTAGTTTAAAATTGTAATAATAATTATAACACAATATTTCCCAGATATATATACACTAATATATTGAGAACTAATTGAACGCCTGTATGTAATATCCGTTTGTCACTCAATCACACACTCTGGTAGAGCACATATATAGCACACGGGGAACAACACATAAAATAATCCACAATAAATAATCCAAACAATTGTACCAGCTGCTTATTTTATTGAAATAATAGAAATAATCATCACCAATTTAACATCAATATCATTATTAATATATATTTTTCATTTTAATTCCGATAGTTATTAATGAATTTATAGAAACTTTTTTCGGCCGACAATTTCAATGAATCTCTAAATGAATACTATATTCTAGTGATGTATAATCACTTAACTCGCATACCGTTCCCTCACATACTCTCTCCCGATAGCCGGCACGTAGGCGTTCCCCAGATTTACAGACACTCCCATTACCGGAGCGAAAGGCAAAAGCAATTCAAGTGGACATACAATTGGCGGCACATAAGCGATAGGCGTATACCTCTAGGATTTTGCAACATTTGTTACTTTATTTATTAACAATTTAGGACATCTATTGGTTCATATTTAAAGTTTTAATTAAAAAGTTTTAGTTATCAAAGTTAACTATTAAAGCAATCAATTTATTTTGTTAAATTTAATTGACCAACATCAATATAATACCTAAACCATTTAAATATCAAAATTAATTTTAATTTTTTGTTAATTATATTGCGATATCTAAACATTATATTGCAGAGAAAAATGTTAGTATACTTTTAACATTAAACTTAAATGAAGATTATAGATGAGTAACAAAAAATTTAAATTACCGGTACGTATATTTGTGAAATATAATGATTAAAACTAACTAATGCTAAAAGTTTCAACAAATTTATTTGTAATTTTATTATAAAGAGATTAAAATAATTAATAAAATGATATTACTTAACGTGTAATTTAATAAAATTCATTTCACATAAGTCATTTTTTTAATATATAACTTTATCTATATTTTTATATTATAATAAAAAATATACAGTATATTATTGATTAATTGTAATGTAAATGTTTGTCACAATTAAAAATAATTGATTTACTTAAATTTAATTTTTGTTTGTTAATATAAATTATATACAGTACTATAATATCATATATTATATAAATCACTTCAAAAGATTATGTCGAAAATTAGCGGCAAATAAATATCTATGAAATGTGCGGACAATTATTAATTTATATGATTTAAAGAAAATTAAAAGTATTTATATTATGTCGGTATTTAAAAATCATTTTGATTTATTAGGATCAGCTGTAATTGCTTAACCCTTTCAAATAATGATATCATTGATAATATCATTGATTTATAATTTAAGAAATACAGATTATATAATAGCTATCTCAGCACTGGTAGTGTTGAACCACATGTGCCGTCATTTATGATATCCAAGCACTGGATGTTTAAAAGGCATTGATTGCCAAACACATTGAAGAACACATTGAATGCATTGAAACACATAAACACTGAATGATTGCAATCATTGGAAACACACAACACTTGACAACACATAACACAACACTCTGTCAGACAATGCTTTAAGTGTCACTCGCATCACATCCAGTGATGTCTGGTATGTCTTGTATATCATCAAAACCGGCGACCAATACAGCAGTTCATCTGTTGGGTCGCGAGTACAATGAACTGGTGGCCAACAAGTCTGTGACACATGTTCTGAGAGATCGGTTCGGGTCCGCACAAGACCTGTTCCGCAAAGATCTGTACTCACATTACGGATGTGTAAATGCCATCGAGTTTTCCGATAACGGACAGTACCTCGTGTCAGGTGTGGTCACAAGTGATTACTATTAGATCAAATAATTAATTTGTTTATTATTTGTTTCCATTGATTAGGTGGTGACGATCGGCGCATACTGTTATGGGATATACAGAAAGCCATAGCAGGTATGATATAATTGATTTAGTTATTGATTATTGCATTTTAATAACATTTGATTGATCTGTGTATTGTCTGAATAACGTAATCCAATTGATATGTCATACCTCCAGGTGCTGGTCAACCGCAGATCATGAAAGGCGAGCACAACTCAAATATATTTTGTTTAGGTTTTGACTCTCGCTGTCACCGACTCTTCAGTGCTGGTAATGATGAGCTCGTTATGATTCACGACGCCATTACCGGCGAGACTGTTGACGTTATACTTCATAACGATGCCATTTATGGTTTATCTGTGAATCCAAGTGATGACAACGTGTTTGCCAGTGCTTGTGATGACGGAAGGGTTTGCATTTGGGATCTCAGGAAAGAGACGTCACGTGAGACAGCAGTGTTGGCCAGATATTCAACGGCTTTTCACGCCGTTATGTATAATCCGTTTGAGAGTCGACTGGTGGTAACGGCCAACACAAAGGAAGGCATTGCCATTTGGGATGTCCGCAAACCGCTCTGTGTTTTGCAACAATTTAACTCATCATTAATGTCATCTCAGAGTGCAATGAGTGTCCGCTTCAACAAAACTGGAACTCTTATTCTGGCTCTGCGTCGACGCCTTCCTCCTGTGCTCTATAATCTCAAATTAAGTTATCCTATCGTCGAGTTTGATGACTCCGGTTATTATAACTCATGCACAATGAAAAGCTGCTGTTTCGGTGGTGATTCAGACCAATATGTATTGTCCGGTTCCGACGATTTTAAGCTATATGTATGGAAAATACCGGAACAGATCTACGAAAACGGAGAATTTAATTATAGCGATACTGTTTGGGTCGACGGTGCAGATCTTGTCTTAAGTGGCCATCGGTTAGTATTCTTGTAATTTTGTTTGTCTGCAAATTGTTTTTATTTACTTTTGGTGTCCTTTTAGATCAATTGTAAATCAGGTTCGATATAATTATACAAATTCGTTGATTGCTTCTTCTGGTGTGGAAAAAGTAATCAAACTTTGGAGTTCATTCCCGTTACCCGAAGGTACGGGTAATTTGCAAAAGGAGTCTACTTATAAAGACAATCGTCAAGTGTTCAGTCATGAAGATTATATTAATTTAGTGCTTGAAAGCGGACAGTTTGTCACACATGACTACAGTCATCAGTCAGTTCAAGAAGATCCGCGAATGATGGCCTTCTTTGATTCATTAGTACAACGAGACATCGAGGGCTGGACTACTGATTCCAGTGATAGTATTGACGGCGAAAGCAACTTCTATGAACTTTGTTGGAATTCAGTCAATTCGGACGATTCGCACACTTCTAATAACTCGAGTTTGAATAACTCAGATAATGAAGAATCGATACACGATTTAAATAGTCATTGCATTAAATATTTAGATATTATATCCAAAAGGGTTGATGCGAGCGAACAAATGTTTAATTTAAAAAACAACTCAAAGACCGATTCGGAGACTGCTTTAATGCTAACGACAACAAAGCCAGAGTTGAACACATTTCAGTCATCAAATATTGGAACCGTTAATAGTGGTAGAGATAATACACAGGAAACCGGGGAAAGCAGTTTGAATCGTATATCAGAATTGATTACCGAGAAAAAGAGGGAACAATTGAGAAAATTAATAAAGTTTGCGGTCCGCACAACACGCAAAAAGTTAAAACGCTCCCAAAAGCGGTCGGAAACTAAAAGTAAATATAATGTAACAGATAATAGACAAACAGATTCTTATAAGAAACGATTAGAAGATTTGAACAAAAAATTGGATTATTTGGCGCAACGCGTCAACTGTAACATCAATTCAAGTGAAAGTAAGACTGAGAGACACCGTAATTATCGGAGACTTCGGTTTCTCACAAATCAAAGCGATCTCGTATTCAACGAAGTCGTTCCCATTGAGTCTTCATCTTCGAGTTCAAACTCGGATGACTCGGACGATGAAATATATAATGTAATATCAAATGAAATGAATCAAATACGCGCCGAGAGGGGCGTCGACAGCGATTCAAGTGATAGTAGTAGTGATGACAGCAGTTGTTTAACGAACAATGATATCAATAATAAAAATACTAATAATTCTGTGGCCATTAAATGCAAACAAAATTCTAGCGATGAAGAGACAGTTGTTGAAACTTCTTCAGAAAAGCCAACAAATGGCGATACAAAACATAATCACAACAAAACTAATAACAATAGCAATAATAAAAAACGAATCTGTATTTCGGCCAATTTTGATGACAGTGATAGTGACCAAAATGATGAGACCAATGATGTATTGGAACCGGTCATCCACTGTCCCTATAAACATAATCTGTGTCACGCAACTACATCAGCTACCAATGCGAACAGTGATGTCAAAAAATCATCAATATTTAAGCCAATTAATACTCGGCGCAGATCTTACCGTAAACGACAAAGAAGTGGTACTAATACTAAAGATAATAATGAAGATAATGTTAATAATGATAATAAAGATGACAGCAATCCTAATAATAATGTTAATAATAATAATAATAATAGTAATAGTAATGACCAAATCAGTGATAAAAACATTGATTCAAATCATGACTGAGCGACAAATACAATCACTTTCAATGAAAACGTGAAGGTTTTGCACAATATATTTGACATCAAAGATATGTCCAAATATGAAATTTGATTTAAACCCTAAAATTATGTGCTCTAATCATAAGTAACATTTATTATGAAAAATATACCAAATATGTTAACCATTTTATGTATAAAGTAATTGATAAAAAGTTTGTTAAGTAATATAATTTAATTTATATTAAAATTATTATTATTATTAAATATATTTTTAAGAATTATCGTAATAAGAAATAATTTGTTATACCGTTATTTGAGATATTATCTCATTTTATATTACTGTATATACAGATATAATTTATTTTAATCTTTCTAATACATAGGCGAATATTTATTTTATAATTATTATCAAATATTATTAATATTATCAATAATAAATTGTATTTATTATTAATAATATTAAATATTTGATAATTAAATATTTATTTGACAATTAGTACGATATATAATTACAAACGGACTATAAAACAAAAAACTCATTTCTCAGGTGACATATATTTTTAAAGAAATAAATTACAATACAATATATAATTTACAATATGTTATGTAATGCTAATAATGAATGATTGTGTCAGCGGTTTATTAATTTAAATTTTAAACCACTTTTTCGAGATTTTCTTCGAGTTAGAGGACTTGTGCTCAGTCTTTAAGCTCATGTCTGATCTGTCGGCTGTTTGTTCGGGTCCTGAGTTCTCTTGACTGTCGCATTCAATGCGCTTTTTGAAGTCACCATTCAATACCTGCGTTAAGTTAATAACATTTTTAATTTATAATAATAACTACAATTTTGATACAAGTTTTCTATATAAACAACAAATATTAAACAAATATTTAATAGAAAACATTTAAATAATTAATATATAATATTGACAATAGTGTATGTTAAAACTTAATATATTAATTACTATATAAATGTAAAGCTTATTTTTATTAATATAGTGAAAAGTTACAATTAATTATTGGTTAAGTTATCTAGATAAATTGTTCATAGTTATTATTAAATGTTATTTTTATGTATAATATATAATTTTAATGAATAAAAATACCATTTTAGTTTATGCACCAATAATAAAAACAATTAACCGCTACAATAATAATAATTTTTATTATTCACATCTAATTATTTATATAACTATAGAGTAATATAACAATTAAACTATAGTATATTTATTTATTTATATTCAATGTCTACGATATTTAAGTTATCTATAATTGTATTCATCTAAATTTTAATAGAGATTTACTAAATCAATAATAGACTGACGGAATTATAATAAAATAAACACAAATTTATTTAAAACATTAAATTAGCAAAAAGTTAGTCATCATTATAATTATATTTTTTGTTAGTCTATAAACCACATCTAATAGATTAAATTTTATTATTATACTTATTATTATAGTTTTTAAAATTAGGAAATAAAAATAATTAGTTAAAATAAACTATATATAGTAAATATAAAAATCTAGTAATTGATTGACAAAATTGTTTGAATAATTAATGTTTATGAAGCCATGTGTAAAAAGACAATAATGATTCATATATAAAATTGCATCATTTGTTTCATTTATAAAATATGTAAAATATTGAATATATTGTGACGGCTGTATCACTGATTCATTGTTATAAATTAAAATTATGAATGAGTCATTCATTTCAAGTTAATATAATTTATAATTTTACATTTGTTTCAGAGAGAGAGAGAGAGAGAGAGAGAGATTATATTGATTTTAAATTTTAGATTTTAAATCCTGAATAGTGATGATATCCCAGACCTCCCTGAGTCCTCCTATACTACAGACATATCTCCGAAATTTGAAATATTCGACTTTAAACTTGATTTTTTGAATTAATTTAATTTAAGATTTTAATATAAATTTAATGCTGATATCAAATTAATAATAGAAATATCTAATTATAAATATCTAATAGTTTTCGATATAATAAACTTCAAAATCTAAAATTATTAACTGCCATATTTAATGTATGTTAATAATGATTGACAATACAATAATTAAGCTATTAATATATATATAATATATTCAAATTAATTTCTGATATTAATCATATGAGAAATCACTTAATTAGTAATAAAATTATTGTTTTATTAAAATTTAAAGTATAAATAAATGTTAGTTACAATTAAATTAAATAACATTTTCTATATAACTTATAGACCTATTTTATCATATCTTTGTTGGCCATTATAACAAACTTATTATTATTAAGTTTTACTATTTGAAACATAATATAGTTAATCCCATTTACTGTATATTTTCACAAATCAATTATTCATGTCTTTTAGTATGTAGTATATAATTAAATAGTTTAGATTAATAAAAATACAGTAAATAATGAAAAATTTATGTTAAAATAATTTTGTCTATTTTGCTAAAGTGTGGTTAATTGTGCATATCATACTTTATTATAATATACAGTAACATATTATATAATATTATATCCCGTCCTGTCCTGTCCTGTCCCATTCACTGTTAAATTTAGTTTTTATGATTCATGAATCACATTATCATTTATATATAATTTATTTATGGTTTTAAAATAACAATTAAATCGATAGACTAATGATTATAATAAAGAAAAGTGTTTTTCAATCAATTTTATAACAAATTAATGAGAAAAAATCGTACCTCTGGTTCAGGTTCTGGTTCTATGAGAGTACACGAAGAGAAAAATGGTTTGAGACTGGGTTTGGGTGTCGATGTTATGCTGATATCATCGAAGTCATGTTCGCTATCACTCAAGTCATCGATGTCCTCTTCTTCGAAAAACTCGTCGATGTCTTTGGAGTTCTGAAGTTCACCGGAAGCCATAAGTTGCTGTTCAATGGCCGCCTGATATTGCTCTTCACTATCGAATGCTTCCGAGTCGGGTAACCGAAACTTCTTCAGCAGAGATATAAATTTTTGCTTCAAATTGCGGTCATTGCGTTGTGCGCTGGTATCAGATCCGACAGTATGTCGAGCGGCAAATAGCATACGATTTTTCCTATTCACCTGACGGCGCCATTCATTGACGCGCTCTCGAGTACTAAGAGTCGTATTATGTGCTCCGGCCGATGGCGACGGCTCTTCACTATCACTGCCCTCTTCGCCGGACGAGAAGTCTTCATCGTCTGAGTCGACATCAGCTGAACTGTCTAACGGGACTCTTACGCGATGACTATTAGGATTGCACTCTTGATCTATGGGTTGACTCTTTAGCGACGATATTAAAATACGAGCAATCGTTGCATTTTTGCCCAACTCTTTGGTGTTGGCTATCAGTTCCAACTCCTCCGAGTTTGTTGATCTCTGTAATACTTCTGCCATATTAATGACACCAAAGGCTAGTGTCTTAAAGCCGAGAATAGCTCTGTGTTTATATCGTTTGCGTCTTTGAATCATTATTTGCAACTGATTTCCGCTACGCTTCAAGAAATGAGTGTATTGTAATGAAAAAGTTAGGTCCAACTGGACAGTACCGGTACCCGAGTCGCCAATGACCGGAACTGTTATTTCATTTGATCGTAGGGTTCGCTTAGAGCTCTGCAGTTTGACGGCTATCATAACAGTTGCCACATCTGATCCCAAGGGCTTACATAATGTCAAACGAGTCATATGTAGTGAACACAGCCTGAAGTCACTGCTATTATTCATGTCTTGATGTCGTGCGGGTGACAACTGATCCACAACACAATCAGATCATCACTCTTCAATTGTCATCAATGTTGACATAGACATCATCATCAATGGTCATCATTGGTCACCAAAACATAACAAAATTGTTGACACAATTCAATGTAAATATAACTCTCATATCATAAACATTGAGCCAATCCTTAAAACGTCAAACCATTGCTCACTAATTCATTGACTGTCTCTACAGTGTATGACCTCTTGTGGACAAACATTCAAACATTTCAAGCAATAGTAATATATTTATGTCAAGTATTTTAATATTTTTTTAATAAATAAAAATTATTCAATCAATGCATTCATTGCCTCTAAATTTACTTTCGTATGAATTCAAAACTGCTATCAATTGGTTATGAATTTGTTTCTTATGTCTAACGAAATATTGGTGTCCTTTAGATTTGAGATGTAATTCATAGGCTATTAAACCAGACATCCGTTTGTTGCAAATATCACAGATAAATATTTTGGACACATTTTCATCGATTTCAAGTTTAGGGACTCGAGTTATATGAGTTGGTACATCATTTGAGTTAATAAATGCATTTACTATAGCCATCGATGTCTCTAATACTTCTTGGTTCCAAAGTTCAGAAGATGTTGTATCTAATCTATAAATAGGTGGAACTGCTCTGTCATTATTTATGAGAAATCTATTTCTAATCCATTTTAGCTGATGTTTAACATAACGTTTAGTCACTAATTTTAAGTTATCTATTGATTGATTTAACATTTGTTTAGAAAAAGGGTTATTCTTTCGTTGATCTTCAGTGAGAAGAAGATAATTATGAAACTCTTTAAATCCAATCGATTGAAAGATTCCTTGAGAATAATCAGGAGTTCTGGTAAAATAAATACAAAACAATTAAATTATCCAAATTATGCTTACAATTTGATACAATAATGTATATAAATTAAAATATTTCAATCAATTTCAATACTAACAAATTCTGTGATATTCTTTGTTTATTATATTTTTGATGAAAATCTAATAATTCTTCAATCAGTCCTTTTTCAATCATTTTATCCACTCTTTCATCTAATCGTTGGTTTAATACTAAAGAAATCAAAATTATAAAAATGATTTGAATAGCTCTAAATATTTAGTGGTAAATAATTACCAAATTTATCGCAATCAACCCAAAGAATTACTGAATTCTTAAACCTAAGAGGACCTCCTAATTGTGATCCTCCATTAGCTGTCATTTGTTCATTAATTAATTCACTTTTGGTTTTTTTCTTTTGCTGATATATTTGAAGACATCGTATAACTTTACGTCTGTCATTTGGATGAATTTTTTGTGAAGACACCGGATCTAATTGTTCAAGAATTTGATGCAATTTATCGCTAGAAACTTCATTTAAACCAAATGTAAATATCGGATGACATAATATGCTGTCTTTGGTTAAATCATTTTCATTCATTCGGTGATTGTCTTTACAATCGATGACTTCACGATCTAAAAGAGGAACTTCATTATCATCCGATTCCTCCTCATCGCCACTGATCAACACTTCCCATAAAATAGATTCAATGTAATAATTAGTGCCACCAACTAATATGGGAACAATTCCTCTGGACATGAGATCATTGATCTAAAAAATTATCGCAATTATTGTAACACATGTTTTACTTATATAATTGAACAAAAAAATCGTTCAATAGATCAAATCAATACCACTTCAAGAGTTTTGTTGCGGAAATCCACGACCGAGAATCGGCTCAATGGATCCAAGAAGTCAATCAAGTGATGTCTGACGAGTTTTCTCTCTTCATGTGTGGCCTTATTAGTGATTATATCGAGATCTTTGTAGACCTGCATAGAGTCGGCACTAATGATCTCTGCATTGATTTGTTTTGAAATATCAATCGATAGCTTAGTCTTCGCACAACCTGTGGCTCCGATGATCACAACTAATGGGATCTTATTGTCGCTCATTTGTCTTACTATCGATGATCTCAATGTTGACCACCGAAGCAAATGTTTGGTAAAATACATCTAATGTGTTGAACATATTTGAAAAATAATCGACAATTTATATCTTTTTTATACTATAACTACATTAAGATTTTATTTTAAAAAGTATTAATATTTTTATTAGATTTAATGTTTACATTTGATGCAATAAAATGCAACATTTGATGCGATATTTTAGTACTATTTATTATATGAAAACATATTAAGTAAGAACTGTAATAAAGTACCATTTAGTCGATGAAAACATACAATAATTATTATTGTATTGCAAATGTATTTTCATAACAATACCGCCAATTGATGTCTACAAGTATTCATCGGTTTAACAAAATTAACTGATTTGAAGACATCGTAGACAATGATTGTGTCCATAGTTGAGACCATCAATGAGTTCGAGCCATTTGGCCGACAGTTGATGCCATCGCATCCAAAAGAAAATGGTTTATCCGATCCAAACCACTTAAATATGTGGACAACTGCCGAAACAGATCCCAGTCGTGACCTCTTCAGGACTATTAAAACCATTAACATTAAGGATAAATCATTGGTATGTTATTATTAAAAGTTAGGATTTTATTAATGATTTGTATTGTTTCTTAAGAGAGAAAATTGGAGATTAAGAGAGAGTGTCGACGGAGAGGAAGAATTGTATTTTAATGACAAAGTTGTTATTCACAGCAAAAGTGATGGCCAACAGTTGTCACACTTGATTAAGACATTTACTATTGAGAACAGTATATATGATGCCATTTGGTGTATTTTTACCGACGATTTGTCCAAAACTATGATTAAAACCATTTGCATATTCAGTGATACATTACTGGAGATCTTTACCACAAATGGCGATCACTACCCGATTGCTCTTCAGTTTCAGGTATATAATTGATTAAATTATTTATAATTTGTTTAACTCATATTAATTATTGTATTTTGTATTAAAGGTCAGACAAATATTTTCAACAAAATATGGTCTTTTGTTGGAAAGATTGATTCCCAACACCGAATCTGATGACAAACCATTGCCTCTAATATTTAATTTGAGTCATCCGCTCAAAGAGATTTCACCCGTCATTATAAGCAGATTCGGACCAACACTTAAAGCCCAACAAATAGGTTACATAACAGCCAAAGACAAGTTAGAATTGGTTGCCGTTATTGAAGAGCGATCTTTACTTATCTTTTACAACAAACAGTCCGGCGTTCACATGATATTTGTGTTGAGAGAGGCCAACGAAGACGAGATAAAATATGTGACGAATACATCAAATACCACTTTATATGATTGTTTCTCATGTGAATCGCCTGTAATTGAATCGCCATTTATTTTGTCAAATAGACAATTAAGTCATCCGACAAATACCAATACTTTTACTTCAGAGTCGTCGATGGCGTCACCGTTTAGGAGCCGAAGTGCGAGTTTATCCAAACAGGGCTTATCATCTTCATTGGGCATATTTTCATCTCCAAGTGCTTTCAATCCTTCATCTCAAAGCCTAACTCGAAGTCGGACTTCAACCACATCACCTTCAGTGTTGACTCCTTTGAGAAGTAGTCGATTGGCTGCATCACCAGCTTCTCCTTCTCTTCGACCTTTTGTTAACACTCCGAGTCGTAGTTTCACTCCAACAATATCTGATCCACAAATTAGTCGACTTAAAGAACAATACAAAAGTCCTTTTTCCAGTTTTAGTCCTCTTTCTTCAGTTTCACCAAAGAATAGAAATTATGATTATTTGTCGGATGATGTGACGGAACCACTTATGCCAGAGCTTTCATTAGAGCATTTGTGGAGTGAAGTGCCCTCATCTGTCAGTGAGAGGGCATCCAAAGTGTTTATCACCACAGATCTAACCGGACAGTTGTATATATGTTTTCTCGCGAGTCAATCACAGACTCTTAAACTCATACGACTGGATCAAAGCAACGATGGACTCAAATTAATATTTGGTTCGACAAACATTATCAGTGCAAAAGATGCCGAACCACTTACAACGTTAAACATGATTGTAACGGTAGATACTAATAATAATCTGGTTTTGTTTAGTGGATTGTTTAAGACAAGCATAATTCACTTACCATCAACTTTATGCACAGCATTTACCAATTCACTACTGCTTTCACCATCATCTACACTCTCTAATAGGTCCATATCATATCAATCACCACAATATAAGCGTTCGAGTTTAATGACATCGAGTAGACCGAGCAGTGCTACCGGTGTTTTTAATCCATCATTTTTATCAGAATCTAAACTTCTCTCACCTGTGATTCCAGAGTCTGATCTCGAAAATAGTTCTTTTATGTCACCGATGAGTATCGGAAACATCGGTAAAATTACTGCAGTAAGAGATTCAGTAAAAGATCGCATAACAGTTCAATGTGTCGACTCATCTCTATATAGATTTGCTTTACCGCCGATAAGCTCATCATATATCGTCTCTCAGTGTTTAAGTGCACTTAAGAATGTATTGCCCAGAGATTCAAGTATGCAATTAATGACTAAATGGTATGCTTTCAGAAACGCTCCCAATTCTGATGAACTTTCTGTCAATAGAGAACTAAATCTATTTAAATCATGTCTTCTTTCACTGATTGGATATGACATCGAAAGTCTTAACTTGAATTTGGACACAAACTCTAGTTGTCATTCACCAGAAGTCACTAAGAAAATGAAGCTCAATAGAGAAGAGGGAACTGATGATGACTGGGAATGGCTTATTGCTAATGCAAGTGATTATAAATCTATAACTTCAAACACTAGTCATCCAATTACTCCATCGACACTTTTTCCACACTTTCCATCAATACTATATTCACTTCATTTAGTTTATGAAGATCTTAAACTACAAGAACCCAATTGGGAATTGTGTCCAATGATTGTTGATATTCTCTATTTATTTGCTGTGGACCTCAAAGTCAATTCATATCAAATGCATTATTTGAATGATTTTCCCAATAATTGTCAGACCATAAGTGTTGAATCTCGTATAAGTGATCACGACTTAGAAAATCTGATTATTCCGTCATATTTTAAAGATCGGTGTCCATCAATCAACTCAAAGATTTTGTCACTTTTGGAATTAAATCAATTAACTGATAATTTATTTCCATATATTGCTAACACAACCAATGATTTGTATAATATTGTATTGCTTTTTGCAAACTTGAAAACCGACGAATTTATTGCTGATTCACGAGTATTAGTGCCGATCAATATACTAAAAGTTGATACAGATATCAATAAATATAAAATCAATTCAAACAATGTCTTTACTAAAACAATACAACTTATGAACATTTTGGGCCTTAAGTCCGAAACATTGATGCATTTACCATCTGGTTTAGCCATTCCTCTATGGGATGCGATTTTCTATTGTCGTAATAATCCATGCAATGACTGGAATAGATCATGTTTTAAACTTATAGGCAGACCTGATTTGGTGACACTTCAACCGCCATACAAAAAACCAATTAAGTATTCAGTTAGCAAATTGATTGTTGAATCGACAGAACCAGATGACGACGGCATCTTATTTTTGGACAATGATGTTCTTAAGCTATTATTTCCTGATGATCAACGTATTTTAGATGCCTATCAAATGTTGTTGTCATCAAAACCTGTTAAGATTGCGATACAACAAAAGCCCGGTGTTTCCGATCATGACTTTATTGAAGAACAAGAACGCCATTTATATACGATATGCATCCGTACTATGGCTTTGCCTTTAGGCAGAGGAATGTTAACAATGCAATCATACACTCCAGTAGTTGCCGAAACATTTCCTATTCCTAAACTTTGTTTAGTAGGTCGGGTGCCGCCCAGGAATAACACTATAGATTTGTCTCATATAGAAGTGCCACAAAATATGAATACTTGGCCACTATTTCATAACGGTGTGGCCGCTGGACTTAGAATCTCATCGAAAGCTTCGGGAACTATTGATTCGACTTGGATTGTATACAACCGACCCAAAAGCAGTTCCTCATTGAACAACACAGCCCTAAGTAGTGATGCCCAGAACGAACATGCTGGATTTTTACTGGCACTCGGCCTCAATGGCCACTTGGCCTGTCTATCAACTATGAGTATTCACGACTACTTATGCAAAGGCAATGAATTAACACGAGTGGGTGTATTGTTGGGCTTAGCGGCTGCTAAAAGAGGAACAATGGACGTGTCGGCTGTCAAAGTATTGAGCATTCATGTGGAAGCGCTTTTGCCGCCAACCAGTACTGAGTTGGATGTACCGCCTATTGTTCAAGTAGCAGCTGTGCTCGGTATTGGACTTCTTTATCAAAGCAGTGGTCAACATCATATCGCTGAAGTAATGCTCGGAGAAATAGGAAGACCTCCTGGACCTGAAATGGAGCACTATATTGATCGTGAATCGTATGCATTGGCTGCAGGCCTGGCCTTTGGTCTCGTGACTCTTGGTAAAGGAAATGATATGATTGGTTTGGTATCATCTGCGGAAGGCATGTCAATGGCTGATCAGTTGTGTCACTATATGCTCGGCGGATATAAGAGACCGCTAACAGCTTTGCAACGAGAAAAGTATAAAACACCGAGTTATCAAATAAGAGAAGGCGATTGTATTAATGCTGATGTCACGAGTCCCGGAGCCACACTTGCCTTAGGGATGATGTTCTTAAATACTAACAACGAGGCTGTCGCTCAATGGTTCACCATTCCGGACACTCAACATTTACTAGAAATGGTTAGACCCGACTTCATAATGATGCGCACTATAAGCAAAGGCTTGATATTATGGTCATCCATTCAACCAACCAAAGAGTGGGTTGAATCACATATGCCTTCAATAGTGTCGGAAAATGCATTTCAGAGGAATCCCAACGAAACAAATTATCGGTTAGACTACGAGACTATGAGTCAGGCCTATTGTAATATAGTGAGCGGTGCGTGTTTTGCACTGGCACTTAAATATGCCGGTTCTGCCAATCAAAAGGCATTCAAAACAGTTATGGATTACACCGAAAAGTTTATAGCATTTTCAATGAAACCACATTTGGCAGAACAAGCAGGTCGTAGTACTATTGAGTCTTGTCTTAATGTATTAGTCGTATCATTGGGTATAATAATGGCGGGAACCGGTAATTTAGATGTAATGAGAGTTTGTCGTTACTTACGTTCCCGACTCAATCAAGCAAATTATGTATTATATGGCTCTCATATGGCTATCCATATGGCTTTAGGCTTATTGTTTTTGGCCGGTTGTCGGGCAACGTTATGTTCATCTCCAGAATCAGTTGCAGCCCTTATAATAGCATTCTTTCCTAAATTTCCAATACATAGTAACGACAATCGCTATCATTTACAAGCGTTTCGACATTTATATGTTTTGGCAACTGAGCCACGTTTGGTCATACCTCGTGATATCGACACCGGGAAAGCAGTTTATGTTAATCTTCATTGTGTTGTTATAAATGAAAGCAATTCGTGTGAAATTATGAAACTTAGAGCTCCATGTTTTTTAGCAGAACTCCATTTACTTGAAGAGGTTGTTGTCGATGATGAACGGTATTGGAGGATATCATTTGAAAAGGATAAGAATTGGCAAAGTCTTAAGTAAAACCTTAATTTTGTGGTAAATTTGAAACATTTTAATATATTTTTTTATCTTTCAGACATTTTCTCCTTAAAGATGGTGTTTTGTATGTCAAACAAAGAACAGGTTGTTTGCCATATAGTGAAGATCCTAAAGGATTCAAAAGTCTTTACGCGCAAAGTGTTATGAAAGATGCTGTCAAAGGATGGACTCATAAAGTATAATATAATTACCGGTAATTTTTATGTTTGGTTTATGTCTTACCGTATGTTATATTAAATATTAAGGTTAACACCGCCACCGAGTTTTCAAATGATAGACTTGTTATTAATTTTACCAAATATTTAATATCTAATCGATCGGACACTGAATTTGAAGCCGAAATTCAAAGCAAATTATGTTCACTGATGTTTGATTGCGCCTCAAATGACAGATTAGAGTTTTTATCACCGCTGATGAAACTCACTGAAAGTGTGACCAAACAGTCTAATACACTGAGTCTATGGCAAATCAAATTAGCCAAAGCCTGTACCAAACGTTGCCAATCATTAAAAACAGATTTTGTTGAATCAACGCGATCTCTGATTGAGAAACGAATTAAAAGTAAATTTTTATAAATAGTTTTTTAAATATTTTAAATATTGCTTTTAAATTATGTTAAATTTAATACAATTTTACTTTTTTCTTATAAGATTCAATTGATAAGAATTTGCTTTACAAATACTTAAGAGGAACTCTTCGATTACCAGAATTTACGACAACCCTAATGGAAACAATTGTTTTCTATGATATGCCACCGTTTGCATCGTTAGCATCACTTCCAGGTATGTCTTTTTTACTGAATCTACGGTAATTACCTATAATTTGATTATTAATATATTATTTATTATTACAAACTTATAGATAAATTATCATTTGTCGATTTGATGACTGATTTACAATCAAAATATTGTGTACCAATTACTACAATTAATCTATTATATCGACTTTATTTTCAATAAAATACTATTTTACTATTACCGGTAATTTATAAATTTACCGGTAAATAAATTTTGTCGTATATTATAATATACCTACAATTAACTAATTGTATATTCAATTGATCAAAATAAGTTTTAACTTATTATTTACGAAATAACATTAAAATAATATTTTTTATATAATATTTCTTATATACTAAAATGATTTTTAATATAATTTGTTTAATTAAAAATATATTTTAAGTTAATTTAACACAACTTGTTATAAGATATTCATTGCAAAAGCATTAGATGTCAGTCACAGTCAGGAATGGGAGTGTTGTGGACAGTAATGTTAAAGGAGAGGGCAATGGTGTGTATGTATGTGTGTGTGTGTGTGTTGTGTGAAGGTATGTGTGACACAAGTGTCGATTCAATAGTGAATATTTGCACTCAATTTAGTCGTCTATTGAGTCGAGAGTTAACATAACAATACATAACAATATTACTAATTGTGTGCACATTTGTATTGCCCATCATAAGCACGGGTATCCTATCTATCTCTGTCCCTCTATTGTCAAATGTATTGACAGTTACACCGATGTTTGTCCACTAATGACACCTTCATAGCAGTTAGTGATGAATTGATGCCACGATTGGCAAACATGTCATGTAATGCAATGAATAACAAATGATATAATGTTTGATATGATTTGTCCATCACTTTAACATTCATTCAATCGTTTAACACAATAGTCACCAAAGCTTTCAATTGTCAACCAATACATTGATTGTAAGTATAGTAGTATTATATTAATAATAATAATGACTTATATTATACTAAAATTTCATTGTCATTATGTTTGTTATTAAAATGATAATTTGCAAAATAATCAATGGTTTACATTGAAAAATATGTTATAATGTTTTAAAAATAATAGTAATGTTAAACTGAAACTACAGTATCTGCTAATTACATGACAATGCATTCACACTAATGTTAATTCAATAGCAAAACAACACAAACCAAGGCTATAGTGTTATTGTGCTTATAATTAATAGTTAGGACTCACTTGTTGTTAAATTATTTAATTCAACTGTTTTTTTGCACAAAATATATGTATGTATTTTATATAACATACAGACAAATAGTTATAATAAATATTTATAGTCTAATTTTCATATCATATATCATTAAATAGTTATGATATATGAATATTGCATAACATTATACTGTATATGCATTGAATTATACAATGTATACTTATATAAAACAAACACAAAATATATGATATGAGATTAGTTATATCATTTAAAATAAAATTTATTTAATAATTGATAATATTTATGCTATATTATTATTATTAAACTTAGTTAATATTATAGTAAAATATAATATATTATTAACTTATGGATATAAATAGTGATAAAACATTAAGAAATATATTCATATTTGTGACAATGTTGTCGATTGTAAATATTATATGAAATTTCAATGTTAATGATGTTAAATAATTATTTATTAAAAAATACTCCTTGACCCCAAATAAATGATTAAGCTTGATAAAATTTAATTTTTCAAAAACAAATTATTAATATGAATTGCATATAAAAATATAGGAAACAAATTTTTGTTTATATAATTATAAATTGTTTTGTTTTTAATTAAAGTAAAATTCATTATTAATGTGATATTGTTTTATAATTATGAGTGTTAGCAATGGATCCGCCAATACTTCATATTCCAGTTGATTCCGTGTCTTTCTTTATGCAATCGGGACTCAACAAAGACACCGTCAAAATGGACATCAATGAGTTGACTCTTAAGACTTTGAAGGAAAGCGCTTGTAATTTCTTCGACAGAAAGGTTAGTCTACTGTTAATAATAATAATAWTAATAAYTGTATATTTGTTGTCCGCATAGTATCCCGACCATGGCCTCAATAGACTAACTGAGCGCTTGATGTTATTCAGACACGACTATAACTCACAGAACATGCTTTTACCCATCAATGCTGCCTCAGATGTAACGGACGGTGCGCTCATCGAAATAATAGTTTCAGGTATTTCTTGCATTTATTATACATAGAAGTGGTTAACACATTATTAGCTCAAATTTATGTCAAGAGCTTATTATTACTGAAAAGATGAAAACAAATTTCCCTTTTATCTAATGTTTGTAATAAACAAGTTTTTTATTAGTTTGACAATTAAACAGTCATTTGACTCATGTTTGCGCTTATGTACAAACAGGTAACAGTCCATCTGAATCGGTGCAAATCCGGCCCCATTACCTGGTAGTGCACTCGTATAAGTCTCCGACATTCTGTGATTTTTGCGGTGAAATGCTCTTTGGATTAGTCAGACAGGGACTCAAATGTGAGGGCTGTGGACTTAATTATCATAAACGCTGTGCCTATAAAATTCCCAACAACTGTACGCACGGCCGACGGCGCCGTTCCTCAACTTATTTAGTGCCAAACAGTCCGACCAGTGAATCGGCCATTCATAGGACAACTAGTAGTGGACCCACACTTAATGATGACTTTATGGTATGTCATAATTTTGATAATCTATCAATGCATTAAGTAATTACCGTAATTGTATACATTATTTATAAAAACCTTGCAATTGATGCCAATTTATATTTGGCAAAATTACAAAATATAACACATAATACAACTGTTAATTTTTATAAAACTTGTTATAATTTATTTGTTAATTTTATTTTAATAGCCTAACCTATGTGACTAAAAATTTATTATATATTTAGCAAGATTCCCCTTTTAACCACAAAAATTGCAAAAATTTTAATTGCATTTAATTATAAATTGAAAAAATAATAAACGTATAAATTGAGTTTTATTTAGAAATTAAACAAAAAAAAAATGTTAATCATGTTTTATACTTTTGTAAAGTAGCTATAAAATGGTATTTAATACAGATTATCGTTTACAGACATAATTGCATTTTCTCTTTATATACTTTAGTACTGTATATTAATTATTACATTTTGTTTGTATTGTAATAATTTTTTATTTAACTCATATAATTTGCATTTTGCACTAGAGATCGGGTCTAAATTTTGTAAATAAAATATATGATTACATTATTTTATATTATAGTAGACATTTCACTATATATTTACTTATTTTTTGTGACAATTAAGTATATAGTATAAAATAACTCTGGGATGAAATAGGATAATCAAATGCTACTGTTTTGTACTTTAATCTTATATTTTAATAGTATTTAACATTTAAAACTTGATATACAGTATATTGAATATTTATTTAGTTTATTGTTTTTAAAAGTTTATATCAAATATTATAATAAAATTTGTAAGTTTAAATTATTATACATTACTTATAGCAACAACCATCTACTTTAGTTAATTTGTGGCACTACTAGTGCTTCGGTACTTATTTAGTACTATTATCAACAGTATTGCACTGATATTCATAGATATAACAGTGTTTAGGTTAGACACAGAGATACATAAATTTTGTAATTGTTTATAATTTATTATTCTGTTTAAGTCCAGTATTTCTATAATATTTTTTGAAGATTAATTGCAATGATGGGCCTCTTAACTACTAAAATTATATTTATTGTATTGAAATTATCAACATTAAGACAAATAATTTTTGTATTTATTTTTTGTTTACAACAATAAAAAAATATAATATTTTTAGAACTATTGTATGTAATTATTACAGTATATATAAAGTAAATATCTTTTTGAATAAACAAAAATTTTATTTTTGATATAATATACTAAATTTATTTTCATTGAAACAAAATGTTAAAACAGAAATTTTTATTATTAATGTTTATACTGTATATCAATTTATATATATATATATATATATATATATTGATAGATCGATCTAATAATTAATTTAATAACTCAAGTGATTCCTAATTAATGTATTGATTTAATGATACACAGTATTACACACACACTCTTCCAATGCGTTAATTAAATCAATGATTTTAAGCCTTGAAATAAAGGCGATCACTGAATCACATCCATTGCTAATCCATAAGTAGTCTATGCTTTTGATGTTTGTTTTTAGCACTGATTTTCAGCACTCAAATTGGTTGTCAAGTATTAGTAGTGCTGTTTGTTTAGCAATCTGTTGATGGGTTTAACCGATTCAATAGTTTACAATGTTTTTAGTTTTTGACATTTGATTTATAATTTCATTGTCATATTATACTCAATGAATCAATATATTCATAATGTTTGCAACGACTGTATGTGTTTAACATTGAATTTATTAAATGATATTTTTGTTGGTCTTCCTTCTGCCAGTGCTTTCACTCATATATCTCTTCACTATTATTAAAACCTCTGCCTCTCCTTAATTTCAAAGACATTGCGATAAATGAATTATTTTATTATATTTTTAAAATTATGTTTTGACTTAATTGAAAGTAAATTAAAACAATTTCATTGACGGATGAGAATTGAGATCCCATTCCCTTTAACGCAGGATTTTGATGAATGTGTTGATCGCATACTTTGTTAAAAACAAACTGTTTTTTCTTTAACACTGTTATAGTGTATATCACATACATGTATACAATATAATGACGTAAAGAGATTGATATATTGAGTCAAAATAGTGGTTTGGATTTAACGTAAAAATCGATACTTAAAACAACGTTTTAATACTTATATAATTAGTTGATTGCCTCTAACCCTAAGTCAGTGCATAACACGTGACGTACACTTTGAATGCCAAAGACATACACTTCTTGTAGATTTGCTTTTGTTATAACTTATAATACTGTAATCACTGCTTATATAAATCGTAATCACATTTTTAAACAATAATAATTAAAACGAGGGTTTTTCTAGTTTTTTATTACAGCTCTCTCTCTCTCTCTCTCTCTCTCTCTCTCTTTCTCTGCCAACCTCTCCCACCCATATATTTAATAGTCAAAACAGTTATCTTTGTTTAACACAAACTTTATATCACTTTATAGATTGTTATCAAAAGAAATATTAAAAGAATTTTTGTTGATTTTCTATTAATTTCTCTTCATTTTTATTAAAATTTTTATTTTATATTACATTTTCAATGATAAATGTGTTGTCTTTTTGCATTGCTTTGAATACAGTAACAGTGCTTTTATTGATACTGAATCTCTCGGATCAATCAGACTGTCTACTCCTTGTCGACAATAACTGGTTTTTCATTTGAAAGTAATATACATTTGATGCCCACATTCCTTATGTGTATTCACTGCCGATAAATAAGTTAAACGATAATATAATTTTTATTAACAAAGTTTTTTTTATTGTAAAAAGATTTTTTGATTTTATAAGTGAATTTCAGTTAGAATTTGCCACTATTTTCACTTTTATCCACTCATTCCTATGTCAACCACCACTAAGACAAGTATAGTTCACGACCTATCAGTCACAACCCGTTCCCTCATTTGGTTCACTCGAATCACTGTTTCATTTGATTAAAAGGTTGTTCTCCTAATTCTTAGTCAAAGAGTTAATATTAAAGACTGAGTTGAGATCCAAAAGTGTTTTTGGTTTCTCCCATTCCTGTGCTTCAAGTGTTGGTGTGTTATGTGTTTTTGAACTTTTAAAAGTCATATCGTGTTATTATTTTCACAGAAAAATGCTTTTTATGACATTAATTTCAAAACTTGAGGAAAAAGTATTAATAACTTTATTAAATATTTTTATAAATTATATATTTATGTAAATTTAAATAACGTATATTAAGAATTAAATTTGTATATAATTTAGATTTGAACAAAACTATTAACCAAAGTATGATATTATTAACGTAAGCTTTTATATTATTTGCGTCAATAGTTTCTGCAGATATCGACGTCTCCGAGTAGAGACCGACGTTACTCATCTTCGAGTTCAACGACCAGTTCTATACAATCAGGAAGACCCGAATGGGTAGAGAAAGCACTGGCCGGTCGGATACGAGTACCGCATACTTTTGTAGTACATTCATACAAACTGCCGACAGTATGCCAACACTGCAAGAAGCTTTTGAAGGGTATCTTCAGACAGGGTTTGCAATGCAAAGATTGTAAATTCAATGTTCATAAAAAATGCGTTACGAAAATTCCAATGGACTGTACCGGAGAAGCTCCCAATGAATATGCAGAGAATCCCGACGGAGACGAAAGCATCGATAAAGACGACGACAAGAATGAGTCGGATTTGGAGAGTGAGAGCTATGACAGCAAAGGCAATGGCAATCACGACGAAGATTTTCAACACAAACTACAGTCCGTCACGTATGTCATGTGTTTGAGATACTAATGATTTAGTTTTTTAGATAGTTTTTATATGCGTGTTGTTTCACATATGAAATGATTTATAAATTTTAAGCAATGAATAGCAAATTGTTTAGTTGTTTCAGTTATTATACAGGTATTTGATTATATTTACATTATAACACTATAGCACTATAAACTAATATTATTACCGCAAGCAAAAGATATATTATGTGCAAAACAAACATTAGTTACTATAATATATTATAGTTATTCCAAGTACTGTATTATTATTATTATTATCTATAAATTATGAATGAGAGTATATAGAAGTATCAAAATGTTTTGCCTATAATATCATTTAACAGAGAGACGAGTAGTAATAATATCCCATTAATGAGAGTCATTCAGAGCGTCAAACATATCAAAAGAAGAGGATCTAAGGTCTTAAAGGAGGGTTGGATCAGTCATTATACTAATAAAGACAATTCCGTAAGTATTGATTGTATTTACACTATATTAGAGACACTTGTTTTTATTTCTCTTATTTTCTATCTCTCTAATGATCCAAAAACGTTAATTTGCTTTCAATCGTTAGCCTTGTTTTTCTTTAGTTTTTTTTATTATTAGAGTAATCGATGGATAATAACAATAATAAATCTATGTTTTGTTATATATGTTATATAATTGTAGCGCAAACGGCATTATTGGAGACTCGACACGAAAGCAATAACAATGTTTCAAAACGAAGGCTCTTCTAAATACTATAAAGAGATTATTTTGCCGGACATTATATCTATAACTACCAATCAATACAACCCTCAGGCGAGTTACTGCTTTGAATTGAAGACACCAAATATGATATACTATGTCGGAGATGACATCGAGATTGCAAAGACATGGGAGACAGTGATCAGACAGGCACTGATGCCTTTAGCTCCTAACGCTCAAGATATTCAATACGCCACTACTGGCGATACTAAGAATCAACAGGACGCTGATGCAAATTCTTTAGATATTAGTTCACAATATCAGATATTTCCCGATTATATATTAGGTTCGGGACAGTTTGGCACTGTTTATGCCGGCATACATAAGACTAGTGGCCGAGAAGTGGCCATTAAAGTGATAGACAAACTCAGGTTTCCAACCAAACAAGAGGCACAACTCAAGAATGAGGTACAGATCTTGCAAAACATAGATTTTCAGGGAGTCGTCAATTTGGAGCGTATGTTTGAAACACCGGAACGTATATTTGTGGTGATGGAGAAGCTTAAGGGAGATATGTTAGAGATGATTCTCAAGAGTACTGAAGGCAAACTATCGGAACGAGTCACCAAATTTCTTATATGTCAGGTATGAATACATTATTTTGTTTTTATTTAACACAAAAATTTACTGATAATTGTTTGATTAGATATTACACGCTCTAAGATATCTACACTCGCGAAACATTTGTCACTGCGATCTCAAACCGGAAAATGTTTTGCTTTCATCCGATTCTGATTTTCCACAAGTAATTTAATATTATTTTACAAATATATCTTTAATATATCTTTTACTAAATTTGTTTTATTTACACTAAATTTAATTTTAGGTAAAATTATGTGATTTCGGATTCGCCCGTATTATTGGCGAAAAATCTTTCCGTCGAAGTGTTGTAGGTATGTGTTGTTTTTGTTAATATATATACTTTYGTGACATTTATTGTTATTGATTGGCATATTTATACATTTTATTCAATATAATCAATATATAAATAATTAATATTGTAAGTGATTATTGATGATTGTGTCTCTACTTATGTCAAATAGGAACTCCCGCTTATTTAGCTCCTGAAGTGTTACGTAATAAAGGATATAATAGATCTTTAGGTAATTAATTTAACGTTATATTCAATATTATAATTAATACATTGATTAAAATACTACAGACATGTGGTCTGTCGGCGTAATAATATATGTAAGCCTTAGCGGCACATTTCCTTTCAATGAAGATGAAGACATATCGGATCAAATAACAAATGCAGCCTTTATGTTGTCAGTATATTATTTGCTTATAAATTAGTTTTAAAAATGTGTTATTTGATTACATTTTAACAATGACTTTATTGATTGAATATACAGTCCACCCGATCCATGGAAAAGGATATCTCCCGACGCTATAGATCTCATCAGTAATTTATTACAAGTGAAGACACGAAAGAGATATACAGTCGAGAAGTCATTGTTTCATTCGTGGCTTCAGGTAATTCATTAAATTATACTTTTAAGTGATTTATATTAAATTAATTATTTTTTATTTTAGGATTACGATGTTTGGTGTGATTTGCGAGAATTAGAGATAATGGTCGGAACTCGTTGGGTGACTCACGAGTCTGATGATGATCGTTGGGAACGGTATCGTATTGCCAATAATATATCGCCGCCTAAGTTCGACACTGTTGTTACTAACGATGTCTCAATGGACGAGAATAACGAAAACAACGACTCAAACGCTAATTATCACAATCATAACCATCACAACGGTTCCAGTACTAGCACTGGCAACTTAAGCCCTTTCAAAAATATACGCCTTTAAAACACAAAGCAACGTTTTATTTAGTTATGAAGTTTATCATAAAATTCATATTTAGATTTATTAGCATTTAATTTCATTTAACTTATGACTTAAAGAATCGTTTTATTAATTCTTTACAAGTTTTTTTTAATCAATTGACCCAATTTATCAATGATTACTACATTACAATATATCAATCAATTGACCAGATTTTTACTTTATACTGAATATATATCAAATTTGGTAATTACCGTAATTTAGAGCAAAACTTAGGACAAAAAACGCCAGATTTTTTGAAAATCTTTTTATTAAACATTTGGCACAATAACTAATGTATAGTTTTTCAATCATGTATTCAATACGTGACAATTTCTGTGATTTTGATATAAATGTCTGTTTTAATATACAATTATTTAATTAATAATTCGGCAATAATTCTATAATACATATTATAACTAAATTTTATTCTCTTTGATATCTCGTATCAATTCAATTGATTCCCATTTAAATGATTCCAAAAATTTTATTTAAAAATAGATATTGAAGAGCAAACCTTTTTATTTACAAATTAGTTTAGATTTAATTATAAAAAATGAAACTATAATTACAATTTTTACAAAATACAACTTTAGTTTTATAGTGTTTTGCAATTTTAAAAAATAACAATTGGTTTATATCCAAATAATTTATCAAAAGTCATAAATTTTATCATTTTTCAACTTTCAATTCACTCTTTAGATTTTTATTTAATTGTCTTCCAAATGTTTTTTCTTGAAATCAAAAATATAGTTTCTTTACATTTTATAACACTTTATAAATTCTATATTTTAAAAATCTATTTTAACAAAACATAAACTCTTGTTTGACAATCTTTTGTAAAAAACAAATTTTTGGACTTTAATGTTATATACATTACACAAACATACGATATTTATTATACAAGTTTTTATATTATACATCCAAAGAATTGATTTTTTTATTGAAATGCATTGCATTTTATTAATCTATTGGTACAGTATATTGCACTTAGAATTACAGCTACTTATAAAATATTTTAAAGTTTGATTTTATTTTGGATTATTAATATAAAATAATTTGAAGTTATAAATTCATTTTTCCTTATTAAGACATTCCAGTTATAATAATTAATAATAAACCAAATTATTAATTGAAGCACAAAAGTTTGTGACAAATAAAAAACTAAACGATAATAATTATAATGAATTTTTGGCACAAAATGTTTTTTAAATATTTTTAAACATTTAGGATATATTGCTGATTGGGATTAAAATTGATTGGTGCTTTTGATTATAATAATATAACACATTTATATTTTATTATACACTCGTTACATCAATTATTTACACCATTATTATAAATTATAATGTTTTAGTTTTATATTGGCACTTTTATATATTTTAGTGTATTTTCTATTGTTAGCAAGTTTATTTTAATTAAGACAAATAAATTACATGTATATTGTATTAATTTATAATGATTTTGTAATTGGTTATGGGATTTTATGGTGATTGATTGATGAATTTTTTAAATATTTATTATAAATTATTCTATAATTATTAATTATTGATTAAATTTATTATCATAATATTTTTAGTTAAATCCTTTTATAAAAATTAAAAAAAAACTTTTAGCAATCAATTAAAATTATAAAAATAAATATCGAATTTAATAATAAATGTTAATTACTTTTTAATGATAAAAACAATATAAAATCATAAAAATATCAAATTATAAAACATTTGTTATACAGTATTGGGATATATTTAATAACCTAATGTTTTTTGAAACAAATGTTATTTTAAAATATGTAAAGATTGTTACTTTTTTCTAAATATATTGATAATTATAATAATTAAATTAATTATTATTATTAAGCGATTAAAATAAAAAAATTTGAATTATAAATAATTTAGTTTAATTAATAAATTGAAAAAATGAATCAATTATTTGTATAAAGTATTTAATTTGTTTACTTAAAAGTATATCATATGATATTTTATGTCTAATGTCAACTTTGTCTACATTTGTTACCTTTTAATGTTAATGAATTTCACTTAATTTATATTGAGTTCGAATGTATAGAAAATGGCCAAAATGTCAGTTGTTTTGTTTATTGATTTAAATGGCATTTAAATATAAACTCTAAACTGTTTTATGTTTGAAATAATATGAATGATATGATAATCACTTGAATTGATTCCCAAGACATGACAACCGGTATTATTGTTACGAAAGCAATAATTGAGTAATTTTTTACTTTTTTAATTCATTTGTTTTTATTAAACAAATTTAAAAATTGATTTTTTATCACAATTTTGTTGTCATCAACAGTGACACCGATTTATACATCAAACCAATACTTAATGAACGAAGATATCAAAGACATGAAAGTCATTCAAATGAATCGTCAGATGAAATACAACTCAGTATTGATGACAACTGTTTGGCAGAAAGAGAGGTAATGATATCTCTAGGACTTCCTGTTGACTTCGGATCAATGCAACAGAAGAATAGAAAGACAAAAAGGAAACAAAATAAGATTAAGAAGAGATACAAACAACAAGATTTGTATTTTGAAACAAATGATTTATTGGATGAGATTATTGACTGTAAGGATCGCATCCAACAATGTTTACCACAATTGTTGTCAAATTGTGTTATTAACACTCAAACAACTGATGGCAACGACACAAATGATTGTCCGCAGTCGTCGACTAATCCAAAAGATGATGACAAACAAAAAGATAGCAAAACCTCACAAGTTTTGATGGCAACCACAAGTACACCGACCATCAACTCATTTAGTAGTTGTCTTGTTAACGATGACAGCAGTGATAACGAACCTCCAGAAGAAAAMCCTGTTGTCATCAAAAGAGAACACGAATCAGATTCACTGATATTAAATGAAGACATACTTAATAAAAGTAAGACAAAAATGATAAGAAATATCGGTAAAACAAATTTCAACAAATCTAAGAAACCAAAAGATAAGTATTGGGGACAAAGATATCGGCTGTTTTCACTTTTTGATGAAGGGATCCGAATGGATGCCGAGTCGTGGTATTCAGTGACACCCGAACGCATCGCACAACACATCGCCAATCGATTTGCGAGAAACAGTAAAAATCAGATTATTGTCGACGCCTTTTGTGGTTCCGGTGGTAATACTATTCAGTTCGCACTCATCTCCGAAGCCATTAGAGTCATAGCCGTCGATATTGACATCGAGAAGATTATGTGTGCCAAACATAACGCTAAAATCTATGGCGTTGACAATCGTATTGAGTTTATTCTCGCCGATTATATGGTTTTGGCCAAAACGGGAGCTCTTAAAGCTGACTCTGTGTTTCTAAGCCCACCCTGGGGTGGGCCGCGCTATAATAAACGGTCCGTCTATAAGCTCGATATGATGACACCCACAGGTAATGATTGTTATGAAGTGACTAAAGATTATATCACTTCCAATATCGGACTATTATTGCCAAGAAATATAGATATTGAAGGAGTGAAAGCATTGGCCGGAATCGGTAATAGTGTGGAAATTGAACACAATTTACTTAATAATAAAATTAAAACAATGACCGCATATTTTGGTAATTTAATTAAAACTCCATAATTACTGTACTTTGAAGTAATTAATGGTTTTAATAATGTGTAACTACAATAATATTTTAAAAATAATCGATAATATCAGTTTTAAACATTTTTTACATAATTATGTAAATATAAGTCATCTAAAAATATGTATTTTATCACTTCATATATTTAAATTGAATTAAAATTCATATTATTTGTTATTCTATGTATCCATTGATTGGCCACAAACTCGATGTTAATTCCTTTTCTAAACACTTCCATTTCATTAGTCATCCATTTTTGTGGTGAAAAATCATTAAAAAAATATTTATATTCTTTTTCAAATGATTGTACAGAATCTGATCCATGGGTCGCGTTTCGGGTATCACTTAAGCCATACTTTCCTCTCAAAGAGTTTGGCTCCAAGAACTTAGTCCTAAAACAATATTACAACATATTTATTATCATTTGTTTATTTGTCTCAATTAATTACTTATAAACTTTGGTCGGTCCCATCAATTTGCGCCAATCAATTATAGCGTTATCTTTGGCCAATACGTGCACTGATATATCTCCCGAAGACATAAATGTGACCAATCGGTTGTAGAAAAACTTATCTTTAAGATGTTAATCGTCTGTTAAACAAATAAATGCTATCAAATACTACAACTGTAATACCTCGGTGTTCAACATAAAACTGTTTGGCCATTTCGGGTGACATTTGTGTGACCAGAGATTGGATAAAATAAAATCCATTAATTCTGATAGTATTTCTGATCGCCTGTTGTTTTAATAATATTTTTTTTTGTAAATTATATCTCTTTAAACAAACAAAACAAGACATACATTCAGACGATTGACATCTTTACAGACGTCGGGCTTAATGATGGCTAACGTAAGCTCTAACGCAGGTTTGGTCACTGTTTTCATTGTCATCATTACATTTCAATAACTTATATAAAAATTTATAATTTATTTAAAGTTTATAATCAAAGTATAAAAATATTGAAAAGTTTTGTATTTCGCAAACATATTACAGAATATTCTTTAAATCATATGTAAAACCAATGAATGGTTGCCATTGACTACACAAGTGTTGAAAAGTTTTGTTTTGGTTTCCAATCGTTTCAATCGGTCTTATATTACATACAGTGAGTCATAGATTCATTGATTTTATGTTTAAAAACTATAATATCTTTAAATTAACGATGAAATCGATGGACACAAATGATATCAATTGGCACGACTTGATGTCAATTGATTTGGATGTCTTAGGAAATCAATTGAATACAAATCATTCATTGGTTACACAATTAGCTTCATATTTGACATCACTTTCAATGGATAAACAATTTGTATGTATTATTAAATTATATAAATGTTTTATAAATTATTTTTTAGTTTTTTGAATAATTTTGGTCTTAATATTAATGGTTTATATTATTTACATTTTATTTGTGTTTTAATATTAATATTTGACCATGTTCATTAAATAAATTACGTAACTTACTATACAGTAGTATATTTTTACAAAAATCTGTTTTATCATGCTAAATTTAGCAATTTAACCCCTACCCCCTAGAGATGAAGATTTTGGAGATTTTTTTGGCAATTTAAAAAAATGTGTTTTAAAAACAATGAGTGCCCACTCATAAAATTTTAATTAATATTTGTTAACATTTTTATGTTTTTCAAACTTATTTACATTAAATTATTATATAAAAATTTAGTTAATTTAGTTAAAGAAAGAAAAATTAATCTAAATATAACATTATTTTGATTAACAGAAATATATTAAATTTAATTAGTAATTGTATGAATTATTAAATAATAATATATATAATATTTGATAGGATTTGCAAAAATTAGACGAAAATGTGGCAAAATTTATGCTTACATTGCAAATGATTGTCAAAAATTTGCTTAAACTAAATATAAATCCAAACGAAGATATGAAGAATAACAATATAGTGATCAGTAATAACCAATTGAGTCGCGAGAATAAAAAGTTACGGAAGTTGTTGGAGATTCACCAAAAAGCCATGACTTATAACCAGACAGTCAGTGGTGAATACAGTGGTGAATACGTTCAGTGCCCTCACTGTCCCAAAGTGTTCTTCGATACTAATTATCTGAAAACACATTTTGCTAGAAGACATCCAAATGATTCGCTTGACTCGGAAGGTATGCTGGCTTTGACTAAGAAAATAGACAAATACCAAACTGAAGTGTTTGGTGATAATAAACAACTTAAACAATTGACAAATGAGATCAAAGTGTTGAACGAACAGTTGACTAAAACTGAAATAAGATTACAACAGGAAAGGGATGAGAGATTGAAATTAGAAGAACATATTAATTATGTGTTGAAAGTTAGAGACAAAGAGTTGCAGCAAATGATGAAAGAAGAGTTAGAAGATATAAAGTTTGTTAAAACGGAAAGGGATGTCATTCAACATTATAGTAATAGTAAGGATCAATCAAACGATAATACAGATGATAGTAATGAACAAACATCTTCTAAATCATTGGATGTCATGAAAATCGAAGAAATATTTGCAATTCAAGCAAAAGAAATGATTAAATTAGGTACTAATGTCCAGAAATTAGTTTTACATTTGACAGAAACATCAAACATAAACAATCAAACAATAAATGAAAGCAATAAAAAAACAACAACTAATTTGTTAAGCGATTTAAAAACTTTTTCATTTGATTCATCCAAAAGATTAAATAATACTAAGGAGATAATCATTGATGATATAAAAACTAAAAACAATAAAATAAAACAATTTAATACAAGAATTGATTCGTTTGAAGACAAAAATATGATTGACTATAGTATCGAAAACAAATTCAATAACAAAGATAAGATACAAACCATTGATGACAAAAAAATGTCAAAAACCCCTAAAGATTTTGCTGAAGAAGTGATAATAACTTTAAACGATAAATTAAAATCATTTAATATTGATATAAATAGTACCGGTATTACTAATGAACAATATTCAGATATAATGAAAAAAGTTATTGAAGAGCGACAGTTAGCGATACAACAAAACAGATTTGATTTTAATTATGAAGCCATTGAACAACATATTAGAAATTTTATCGAAAAAAAAGTTGACGAAAAAATGGGTTTAGATGTGAAAGAAAATGATATATCAATTGAAAATGAGAGATCACATGAAACACTATTACTAAAAGATATGACTAAACAAAATCATATAACTGTTGAAAAAAGTTTAGTTGAAGCAGAGGTACACACATCACCACTAATTGAAACAAAATTATCAATTAAAGACCAAAATGTTGTACAAAAAATAGAAATTAGTGAAAATAAAACAAAAACAATTAATGATAGTTTGAATGATACAATTAAGCAAAGATTGAGTGAAACTAATAATATTCCTAAATCTGTATTAAAATCAATAATTAGTAATAAAAAATTAGAGGAAAATAACGATAAATCTAAAGAAAGACACATTAGGTTCAGTGATCATCACATTGAACATCAAATTAGTCCGGAAGACTCGTCCAGTGAAGATGATTACAGTATAGTAATTAGCGATTCAATTATCGCACCTAATATATCATATGATGACTCTTCACAGTCATCGACAGCTCCAATACCGGCTCGAAGAACACAGAAATCCAATTTATCTCTTGATTTCAAATCTCCGTTTTCGATGACTTCAGACGAAGACATGATTAATGATTCAATTTATAAAATTAATGACCAATTGATGAATGAAATTCTTCACACAAATGAGTCAAATAATGAAAGTGATTCGCAATCACTAAAAAATAAGTCGACTCTCAATGAAGAAATTAAAGTCGATTCTCAACAAACAAGAGTTCATGAATTGGCAGAAATGATTGAAAAGCAATTAAATAAAAGAAGTGAAAATAATAGAAAACCACCCGTCGGTTCGGTAAATGTGGTCACTGGTCAACACGTCTCAAACAAACAACAAATTTTGAATTACAATAGATTAGACTCGGATTCTGAAAGCGATTGAAAATCAATTTTTCATAAAAATTACTTTAAATACAATATTTGTTTAAATAATTAATTAAAAAAATTATATTTGAATGAAATCAAATTTATTAATGAATTTATATACAATCTATTACTGTATTACAGTTTCAATAAAATTATTTGCAATTTTGATATTTTATTCTACAGTATTAGTCAAAATGAAATTTCAATTTGAATTCAACTCTTTAATTAATTTATTAGTAATTATTACTTTTTTTTTGTTTAAACTCTTGTGATTTGTAAAAATAATTTATTTGATAAAATATTTTGATAACCAATACTAAAAACTATAAACAGATAAACAATTACTAAAAACAATACAAACTTTTGTGTTAAAATACGACTGAAATTAGATAAAAGACTAATAGATTCAAAGTAAGTTATATGTGATTAAAGTTCGGGCAACTTTCCAAAGAAGGGAAGTTCCCTAATAAAATCCCTCTCTATCCCGTTAGAAAGGAAAATATATTTTATATTTCTACAATAAATAATACCAAAACTTAATTTTTGCGTAAAATTTCATTGAAATATTTAAAAATAAATTTGAATTCAATCAATTTAGTGATACTATTCAACAATAACACTCAAAATACAGTTTAATACAACATTTGTTATTAAAATCTTATAATAAAATTCATTGTTTAGGGTTCAATAGGATGTAAGCACAATGAAATAGATTTCATGGGAATTCCCAGAGAGCTGGGAATAAAGAGAACTTTTGGAATATAAGACGAGAGATTGAATTTTGCCGAACTTACGATTGTATTATACAAATGGTTTCAAAGATATTCTTTTGAATTATTTTGAATGTTTTGATCAGATTTTGTAGTGATGTCTACTTCTTGATAGTCATATGTTTATTAGATTTTTGATTTGTATTGTTTGAAACACGAGTCTTATCCAAACATATGATTTAATCACAATTATTGTCCATAACTTTATCAAAATCTTCTAATTCAATGTCAGCAGAAAATCCCTGCATTTGATTATTAGTATTAAAATCATTGATATAATTGCAAACTGAATGTATTTTTATAATCAGTTATGAATCATACAATACAGTGCAATACCGTTTTTTTTAAATATATATCTTTAAAACTAAAGTGTCTTAAATTTGACTAAATTACAGAAAAAACTAACAAAAAATATCTTCTAAATTATAATCCATTATTTTTTAAATTATAGGAAAATAGATGAAAAAATTACATTATACATTGTACCTGTAATAATAACTTTCAATAATTTATTGTATGTGTTAAGTATACAATACTATTCATATAATATAATAATTATTCTAATCTTTAATACAATTAATTGATAAAAGAGATAAACTTTTTAAGAATATTATAATGAATATAATTTGTAAAAATTTGTTATTAAAGTTTCATATAATGTCAAAATTAATAATAAAATTTATTTTTAGATATTTGAATTGAAATATATATATATGAGTGGTTTATAAATGACTAACTAATTCATTGATAAATGTAGAAGAAATAGGTTTTACTTTAGACGTCACTCATAAACGATACAATTTTTCTCATTAACATTAAGTGCTGTTTGTATGCATTACTTGCCTTTACGTACAATCCAGGGATGTTTGAGGAGATCCTGGATTGTGATTCTGTTCTTCTCGTTTTCGGTCCAACACTTGTAATGAAGATCTTTGAGATCTTTGCCAAAGTCTTTGATGAAACGGCTGTCAATGAATGATCTGTCGGTTTGCTCTTTAATTTGTCTCTTCGAGTCATTGAAATGAAAGGGAAACTTATTGTTAAGCATACAAAACAAGACGACTCCCAGCGCCCAAACATCGGCAGCGAAAGCGTTGTACTCTTTTTTGGACACAATTTGTGGGCTATAGTAGGGTTCGGTACCACAGAATGTCTTCGACAACTCAACCTTTTCTTGATCTTCATTCCAACATTTCTTCGAAAAACCAAAGTCTGTCAGTTTAGCAATTAATTCGCCCGACTTAGAGGTTAGCAAAATGTTGTCCAATTTAATATCCCGATGAGCCATATGAAGATTGGTATGCATCCAACAAACTGCTTGAGACACTTGTGTGAACCAAATACATGATTTTTCTTCAGGAATTGCATTATTCTTCTGTAGATAATTAGCGACATCACTGTCTGTACAAAACTCCATAAAGATATACATCTTATGATTGCATCGAATTATGTCATAAATAAAGACAGTATTGTCGTGTTTGACACCAATAAGAGCATCGATCTCTCGCGGAAGGAACTTATCTTTAAATTTTTCGCCGACGGCTTTTAAATCCATTACTTTGATGGCAACCGTTTCGATACCGGTCTTAGAATTGGTTCCTTTATAAACCTGACCGAAAGCTCCTTGACTTAACTTTTTTTGAAATTCATAACCTTTCTTTTTCATAACCGCTGCAGTCTTGGGATCCAAATCAATGGTATCTTCAGTCATATCTTATCAATAATAGTATTGTATTACTATAAAAATCTGAACTGATCTGTGTTATAGTCACCTTCAAAATGTATTATTAAAACGCGCTATTGTTTCAATCAATTTCATTGTATAACACGCGCTATTATACATGTATTTATTGCAATTGACAATAGTTTTAAAATATAAATTGATTCAATCGGGATATAGAGTTGACCAGTCATGTGCTATACTTCTATTATCGTCGCCCACCTAACCCACCACTTCCTAACCCACCACTTCCTAACCTCACACACGAACTTCACCCAAATTAATACAAATATAAGATTATAATCAATAATTCAAAACTTTTTAAATTTAAAAAAATAGTGTATGATATACAATGAAATTGATTGAAATAATAGTATGTTTTAATAATACATTTTGACGGTCACTACTAAATATACTTAGATTTTAGCCCAAAAATCTTTTAATAATAAATTTTATTCAATTTTAGCTTTAAATTGAGGCCTTATATCAAATTCAATGATACTGACTGTCAATATAGGCTTTAGTTACCTTAGAGGGCTTCGCTTTTAATATTGGTTTTATATGATATACTATTATATTGATAATACCCTTATATTTGGGTTAGTTTGTGGTTAGGTTGGGTGGGGTGTGTGAGGTTAGGAAGTGGTGATGAAATGGAGTGGGGTTAGGATGTGTTGAAAGTTTGGATGGTTTGCTGTTTTAATGTATTTATATTAGTATTTGTTTTTTTGATTAAATAACTTTAAATTAATTTAAGTTTAGTTCATTTCATGCGCTAATAGTTAAATCAATGCATTTAATAGTGTTTTATTGAAGGCGAAAATAATGTATAATAGCGAAGACTCAAAATATTTAAATTCATTTATATTTATAGCGATAAAAATATATCATTTATAATAGGTATACATGAAATATATAGAAATAAATTATCTATTCAATGTGTGAAATTGTCTACTACCGTAAAATCGTGTTTTTTATCCCATATGGAAATGTAAAAGTCATGGGGAATAATGCGAATATTTTTCATTTTTTTAATTCTATGCGAAAAAACACAAATATAAAAATAATATTCGGCTAAAACAAAGTTTAAGCCCGTAAAAGAAAATTATTTTTTTTCAACAGAAAACAATTAATTAGGTCCTAATAAACATATATTGATCAAAATTATTGCGCGGAAACACCTAAAACCCAACTAAAATCTAACCTAAATACCTGAGCTCTCATAACATAATTATATACTAATTATAAAAAATTTTAATATTAATCAATCGTAAAGCGCGTGAACAAAATTAACATTTATAACATTGATAATAAAATAGTATTGTTGTCATTTCTTTATAATACTTTTAAAAACAACTAGTTGTTCACGCGGAACATATAACCATCTAATTTTATAGAATTTATAAATTATAGATTAGATTAGGTTACCATTGAAAATTAGGTTAGGTTGCGGATCGAACACCAGGTTAGGTAACGGAGCGAACACTAATACATTAGATTAGGTTAAGTTAACATTTGTGTAATACCATTATAATTAGGTTAAGGTTGCGGATCGAACACCAGGTTAGGTAACGGAGCGAACACTAATACATTAGATTAGGTTAAGTTAACATTTGTGTAATACCATTATAATTAGGTTAAGGTTGCGGATCGAACACCAGGTTAGGTAACGCAACAAAGACTGATTCGGTAATCCCAGTACTGTATAGCTTTTGATAAATTACCATTGAATATTAGATTAGGTTGCGAGGACATTGACACTTAAATTCATATATACATACAAAAATTTTATACTTATAGTCGTATAGATAATAATATTTTTTATTAACTACTATTGTATTATATAGTCATTGATAACAATATTCATGCGCTTTATATTTATTAATATTAATTTTTTTATAATTAGTGTATTATTTTGTTATATGAGCTCAGGTATCTAGATTTAGTTTTAGTTAGGTTTTAGGATTTTCCGCGCAATAATTTTGATCAATAAATGTTTATTAGGACCTAATTAATTGTTTTCTGTTGAAAAAAAAAAATTTTCTCGTACGGGCCTAAACTTTGGTTAGGCCTAATATTCAATTTAATTGATATTTTTAAAATTAGTGTAAAAACAAATTCAAATACTTTATTATATTTAATCAATAATTTATTTTTTTTACATTATGTTAACATTAAATTTATAAATAACTAATAATAATATGTTAATACAATTTCAATTATTTTATTTAATGTGAATCTAGAGCTTAAATAAACTATTTTAATACAACGCAGACATTGTTAGAATTTTTTTCAAATTATAATTATCGGTATTTATTTTTTTCTCAGTTTTATTAATTCATATTACAAACAACAATATGATTAAGACTAGGGTTGCTAAAGGGGAGGGGGTATGGGGTAAGACTTCTTACCCCTACGATCGAGAAATTTTTGCTTTTACCCCCTGGCCTGAAGCCAAAAAGTTAGGGGGGCCCCTACCAATTTTCAACTATGTAAAATTTTATATTAAACAAAAAAATAAATATTAAATTAGTTTTAATATAAATTAATAGCTTATGTATAGAAAATAAATAGATAAAAATACTTAATTACATCAATTTAACATTATTTACACTAAATAATATCGTAATATATGTAAGAAAACAATAAAAACTTAAATGTTTTTATATTTAAATATAAAAAATAATTATTTATTTACTAATTAACGAAAAATGTGTTTTAAAATACTAATTATGATATTAAATAAATATTACATAAGTAGAGTTGGGGCACTCTACAAGGGAAAAACGTTCCCTAATAAATTCCCACCAATTTTCAAGAAAAATAATATTTTATTTTATTTTTTAGCTCTTTATAAAAGATAGTATATATTTTATTTTATATTAAGTCGAAAACTAAAATTTTTACCATAAATTTTAAAATAATTATATTTGTGTTAGTTATAGTTCAATATGAAATACTATATAAAGATATTCTTAAATTTATTATTTAGAGTTAATTAATAATTATTTCTGACATTATTATTATTAAGACGTTATAATAAATACAGTACTATATCATTAATTTTTTAATTAATTACAATTTTTTAAAAACTAAATAATTTTATTTTTAATTAATTATCACAATTAAAGTTATATATATTTTTGCATTTCTTTATTTTTTAAATTTTTGTAAAAATGAATATTAATTTTAGAAAACATTTTGAATATTGAGATTAAGTTGGGAATATTTTTAATAGTTAATTTATAGATAATTTATAGGGAATTTATTGACAATTTAGTGGGAATTTATTAAGATTATAGGGAATTAATGGAAATATAATGGGAATTTATTGAGAATTTATAGGGAATTAATGGGAATTTATTGAGAATTTACTCAAATTTGGCAAAATTTTGGCAAGCTTTTTCGAGATTTTTGCCATTTTACCCCCTATACCCCCCTGAAATCGAAAACCTTTAGCAACCCTGATTAAGACAATTTTAAACTTTTGATTGTTTATAGATAACTATATAACGGTCAGTAGTGGCCAATCACTGGTATAAATAGTAAAATATCAATATTTATTAATAATAACATTAATTTTATAATATAAATAGCCTATAATTAACTGTATAAAACATATATAAAATTATTAAACTTATTGTAATTATAAATTATAAACTTATTAATAATTATTTTGTATTAGAATTGGGAATTGTATGGAACTGATCAAAGATAAAGTCCGGAATATTTTCGACTACAACTTTACGCTGAAGTCCCGAAAATTCTATTAAATTTTCTAAAAATTCAAGAGTATTGTATACTTCTGGTGGCAATTCTGTCACTTTCGGTGAACTATAAAATAAAATAATAAATTTGATAATAAATATTTAAACTCTATATTATATACCTAATGGACATTTGAATCTCAGTTTGAGCGCAAACATATTGAGAGCAATGAGCTATATATTGATGAATAGTGTTTTCATGAAATTGTCGCAACAAAGTGATGACTCCAAACACAAACGGCAGTCCATCAGACAAATCGCTTCCTTTTTTCGCTGTTAATCCGTGAATGGATTTTAAATAAACAAATTTTCCCATTTGAGTGATTGTCATCAATAATAATATCATCTCTAAATATGATGGCGCTCTCGATGTGATGTATATCTATTTGAAATTAAATAGTTATGTGAAAACATTTGATTTATTATAAATATTTGTTTGATAAACCTTTGAAAGTGGATCTGAAATGCCTGTCCACTCCAAATAGTTGGTCAGTTCATATAGCAATGGTGTATCTTCTTTAAGAAATGGTTTATTAGATGTGCTGTAGTGATGCTCCAAATCCGATATAATTGCTCTTAAATAATACAATAAATAAGTAAATAAATTTACAAATTCATTAATTTGTTTAATAGACGAACTGATTAAGCGTATTGAGAGCATTAGCCAAATGTCTTGAATGAAGTTTACACGTCGTGTTGAGTTCGTGACCAATATTGCACCTAATTATCTGCATTTGACCGATGCGTGCGATGGCGTCGAATACAGCCGGTAATGATTTGGTTGCCTTTGATAGGGCTGATCCAAAGATTGAACTAAAATGTGTTCCTAAATTAATTTAAGAAAAATTATAATTTTTGTTCACTAAATCTAATTAAATATTAATAACAATAAAACCTATTATCTTTCCATCAGTTGTCCCTAAATTTTCATTAATTTCTAACAGTATTTGTGGCCAATGTTTATCTTTTGTAAAATTTCGGTCCAAATATTGCATAATGTTTTGAATTTCAGTGACAATCATGAATGATATCAATCGATCCAAACCATTAATACCAGCTGTTCCTATGCTTTTCTAATAAATTTTTAATTTAATTAATTTAAAGATACATAAGTACAATGTAATTGTGTACCATCATTAATGGGAACAATTTTGTATCGACAACTTGTAAATGAGTCTTATTGTCAAACCATGTGCTCATTGAGTGCACATATATTGTGTTCCTATAAATAAATTAAAAATTAATATTTAAAAACTGAATACTTAATTATCAATTACTTTGGATCAGTCATTCTTAATAATTCACGTGCGAGTCGACCAATAAAATTGATTGAATAGGGATCCATAGGTAAGAATTTGGGTATCGGTATAGAAGCTGATTGATAAACACTCTGATAGTCGAGCACTTTATGTCTCATAAAAGCATTGCATTCCTGTTCGACATTATAGTTGACAATACGTGACACCTCTTGTTGCCACATCTTTAGGCCATATATGCAGACATAATCTTGAATGTATTCAAACGATCGACGAAAACCGTCCATCACTTGTGCCAAAGCTTTGAGTTTAGGCACGAGTTCACTCGTTTTTGCTTTACTATTAAATACAAGTCCTTTATGAAGAGCATTGGCCGCTTGTATGACTAGTTCTCTTCTGATGCCATCTTCAAGAAGTCTCTTGGGATCAATTTGAATTATACCGATTAAAGTTGCCTTCATTGCCAAAATACCTTCAGTGAACACCGATATAGAGTGCGTGAGTTTTGCCACTTCATGTCTTTCTTCTAATTGTGAGTATGTCTTCATTTGATCTTTCATAAGACGTGTTGGCAGCTCTTTAATGTTATTCGTTTGTAATTCAATAATACGTGCCATCAAACTAAACATTGTTTCTGGTATTATATGAAGAACTTTGCGTACATAAGACACTAACTCAGATGAATAATATTGAGAAACTGATATCAAATCATTACTTGAGGCCTGATTTATGCGAAGAAGTGGCATATCTAAAGCTGACGCTAATTTCAAGAATGTTGCTCTCAGTTTGATGACTAGTGTTGGATCACTTTTAATACCTGATTGCATATATTTAGTAAAAGATGTATCGATTATCTTCCACGCAAACGACAGATCGCCCACTATTTGCAAAGTAATCAAAACATCTTCTTTAATATTCTGTGTTTTAATCATATTGTGTAACATTTTTTGACTTTCAATAAGAAATTGTCTCACATGAAGATTGCTTTCTAATTGATGAAACTCTTGTACTTCTTCTAAGGCTTGAATTAATTTAATAGTCTTCCTATTTGTCACATTTGTTTCGTCATATATCAGTCCATCAATTTGTTTTGACATTTCTCGCAGCCATTGCTCTAAACTTGTATTTTTCTCAATTCGTGTCAATGGTTTGTTACCTGAAAACACTTCCGCCAACTCTGATATCCTTTCAAATGCCTCTTTCTTATAGAAATTCCACTTCTCTTGTTTGTCACTCAAAAGCTGTTTATACATCTCTTTGATCTTAAGCTCAAACTCTGCTGTATTCAAAAGCAATTGAAAAACAACTAACGGTTGGTATTTACTTTCAATTATAACTAAATCTCTCAATTGTTTGCACTTTTTGTTGACAACACCATTGGATTCATTTATAAAATGATGACACGTGTGAAGTGTTAGCCATCTAAGTGTGACATTACAGTCACGAATAATATTCATTAGTTTAGAGACATTGTTTAACAGAAATTCTTCAGTAAGAGTCCCTTCTTTCAATAGTTGTTGTAATTGTGGCAATAATTTTATGATTTTAGAGTTGTATTTGTTTGCATGAATTTTAACATTTTTCTGATCAATTGTGTTATTTAATGCCAATTTTGCAGACTTATATGGATCCCATTCCTCGACTAAATTGGCAACAAAACCCATATACATACTTATTATCCAATTATCTGCAAAACATTTGTCGACAATCTCTCGCATAGCGGCCGACTCGTTGTGTAAAATATGTGGTGAAAAGTAAAGAACAACGTATAACATGACGGCCTGAGTGGCCAACGCAACACTTCGGTGTTCGGGCTGAGGAAAGGCACTGCTCTGGTTGTAGATGTCATCCGATCTCAATCTGCCGATAACCAGATTAACAAAATTGGATCCAATTTGTGCTCTTTTAAAGTAGTCGTCCGGATAATTGATGGGTCGCTTACCATTTGGTGTATATCCTGTATTTCTTAATAGTTTGCACACATCGTCAAAATTTGACTCCGAAGTTGACCGCTGACCACTATATCGGTAATACGATACTAAAATACGTTCTCTTACCAGACCATCAATACGCTGGTCAACCATCAAAAGCATAACTCCCGACAAATACAATGCTTCGCACAGTAATTGTTTGCCGTCATTGTCGAGAAGTACCGATTCAAGAGATTGTTGAATATAAACACCTTCTTCAAGATCTTCGACATAACGATTGATATCAACAGTAAACCTGTGGATACTCTCGAAGACTAAATAAAATCGAGTAATAATTTCGATATAATTTTCGCGAAACTCGTCGTCTCTATCGAGCAGTTGTCCGTTGGATTCAATTCGCTGGTCAAACGTGTCGCTCGTCTTAAAGTAACTAAAATCTTGTATAACTTCTGAGTACTTGTTTTGGTCAGACTTGGTCTCCAATCGGAACACTGTGGGCACCACTTCCGAGAGCCGCAATAGTTCGGCAATAATGGCATTACCTCTTGAGACCAGTCGAACCACATTTTGACCACAACTTGACGAAAGAAAGTCACTCATGTCTTAAGCGACACTAAAGACAAATCAATGGTTAAATCATATGAAACACCCATTCATTGCATAAACAATACTATAATAAWAAAAACATATGATTTGTGTTTTGATTCGCATTTCCAATACATTTAATACAGTATTACAATAAATATTGTAAATATTTAACAAACAATATATACATATGTATTATAATATGTATTACATATAATAAGTATTTATAAACGCATTCCTATAGTTGACATTAATTGCCATTAATTTTCATTAATTGACTTTTTATTGACTTTTATTATAAATTTAAATAAATGTTAAACAAATGCTACAAACAATAATACAAACATTACTTTTACAACATTTATGTAATTTAAATGACAGTTTGGCTCTTATTATACAACACTTGTCTCTGATTGGCTGACAATTAGGGGTAATGTTATTGACTGACACATTGAGTGAGGCGTTTGCTATGCTTTGTGTGTCTTATTGTGTGTGTGTGTGTGTGGCCTACATATAGGGTTATATACTTAATGGACGTCCAATGTTTGTACAATTAAATAGTAATTAAAATTTATATATAAATTGTATAATAAATAGAAATTGATTAGAAAGTTGTGATTATATATTATTTTAAAAATAAATTTTTCAAATGTTTTATTCCTATAAAACTCTATAAATATTTTGTGGATATATTTGACGTCAACTGAAACCAATTTGTGTCAAATAAAGTGGACGTCCATAACGTGTGACTACTGTTTCTTAGATTTAATAAACGAAAAGCTGTTTTTGTGTCGACTTTTGGATCATATATTGAATGAGTTATTAGTATTGAGTGACTCATTGACTGACAACATATACACTGATATCATATATGAATCGTCGAGACATCGATTGGTCACATCTGTCCACAAGACTGTCTCCGACGAGTTCCGCAGATATCCATTGAAATCGTTTTTTTTGGTGACAATTTGGTTATCAAAGCAATTGATTGATTGCTCCTTTACTTCTGTTTTTCAACAACAATGTCATCTGAAATGGTTGTCCGTCGGGCCTCTCACGCCAACAATTGGTATTCAGGATCAGGTAATCATTTAGTTTTATGTCATATCTTGAGTATAATTTGATTGTTTATAAAAAATAGCTAAAGAGTTACGAAATCAATTGGAAACCTGGTTGACCACCGCTGGATCGTCAACTCACGGACCCGCGCGGGCTATAATTGCACCGTATGTTGACTTGACTTAGATTTCATAGAAAACTAATTTTATTTCTTTTGAATGACCAGTCATGCGGGCTATCATTATTGTGGCGCCTGTGCTGCCTATGCTTACAAAGAAATATCACCGCAAACAACGTATATAATTAAATAGATTTATCATTTATCCAATAATTAATTGATTGGTTTTTAATTACAGGAAACGAGTGTTTATCTTAGGTCCGGCTCATCACATACGGCTGGGCGGATGCGCCCTCTCTCCGGCCAAGGTTTACAAGACTCCTTTATATGATCTAAATATAGACCAAAAAAGTATGTCGCGATTGTTAATCAATTTTTAAATAAATTTTTGATTTATTTAATGTTTGGTGAAAACAGTTTACAGCGAACTGTACGAAACACAGATGTTTGAAGAGATGACTCTTCACACAGATGAAGACGAACACAGCATTGAAATGCATTTACCATATGTGGCCCGAGTTATGGAGGGACAATCATTTACTATTGTTCCCATCCTTGTGGGCTCATTGACCACCGAAAAGGAGGTTCTTTATGGCAAATTGTTAAGCAAATACTTGGCTGATATTGACAATGTCTTTGTCATCTCATCCGACTTCTGTCATTGGGGTAACCGTTTTGGTTATCAATATTACGATAAGAGTGCCGGAGATATCTACCAATCAATTCAAAAATTGGATGAAATTGTAAGATAGGCATAACTTTTTTTAAATTTCTTTTAATATATAACTTTGTTTTAATAGGGAATGAATGCAATTGAGAAACTCATTCCTTCAGGATTTAGCTCTTATTTAAAGAAATACGGAAACACTATATGTGGAAGACATCCAATTGGAGTGCTTCTCAATGTTAGACATACTATTATATAACATACAGTACTGTACTAATAATTATTGCATTAAAACATTATTTATCTGATTAGGCCGTCCATGAGTTGGGCAACTCAGGCAATGAACATAACGCTGCACTCAAGTTCTTAAAGTACTCCCAATCGAGTAAATGCTTATATATGGGCGACTCTTCAGTAAGCTATGCGGCCGCCAGTCTTAAAATGGACTGATATATGATATGATAACAATCAATATATGAGCACTTAATTATCAATTGTGCCTATAATTTAATAGACATTTAACAAAGTTTGTGTATTTCTTCTATTTTGATTAATTTCCCAATATTTGTATTTAATGGATAATAATTTAGAGAAAACTGCTTTTTAAAAATCAATAAAATATTAAAAACTAATTTATTTTGTCTGAAATGTCAAATGAAAACTACAATAAAATGAAAAATATTGTATTTACGGTATGAATACATTATATAATAATTATAATGAATTTATGGACTCTCAATGTCTGGAATTACCTTTTCTTCTTTGTTTACATTATCATCATTTGATTCATTTTCTTTCATAATTTCATCCTTTTGGACATTTGTTTCAATGACTAATTGTTTATCAGAGCCGGTGCTCAGATTACCGCTAAGTTTATTATCAACGGTATTGTTGTCTTCCTCTTTGTTTTTATCTTTATTGTCAACATTATCTTCGTTAGCATTATTTTCTTTAATATCTTGAGCTAACTCCACAACTTTCAGACTATCTTTTGAATTATCATTAGATTCTTCTTTATTCACATCTTTGTGTGAATCATCAGATTTAATAACTGATTTTATGTCAATTGATTCTTTAACATCTTTGTCATCATCTAAACCCTTAAGAATATCATCGACAACTCCCTTCAGATTTTTACTGTCAACTTCTTCGTCATTATTCACATCGATCTCTAATTTAATGGGAGAGTTGGGAGCTTTGACTTCAAGTTTAAAATCTTTTGGTCTATCAATGAGTTTAATGAGTTGATCGCAATAAAATCTTTTAGCCGTCTTTCTATTCAATCGCGTCAAATGTACAAATGTCTTCAGTTTAAGTTTAGGATCTTCATAAGGATCACCAAAGTATGTTCTTTTCTTTCTCTGGTGTGAAGATGATGGCGAAGAATCATCAGATGACGAATAAATTCGCTTTTTATTCTTCTCACGTTCTCTTTCTCGACTCCTTTCCTTGTGTTTATCTTTTTCTTTAGACCAACTCTTACTGTCTTTAGAACTTTTGAGATCCGTTGTCACGTCCTTTAGTCTGAATCTGTCTGAAGAATTGCTGGTTAAAGACTTGTTAAACTTATGTCTTTCTTTCTCTCGCTCTTCACGTCCCCGTTCGCGCTCTTCTCGTTCTTTATCTTCTTCTCTCTTCTTTTTTTTGGCTTCTTTTTCTTCTTTAATCCTCATTTCTTCCTTCTTCTTCTGTAAAACAATTTGTTTCTCTTCCTCTTCCTTTTGTCGTTTTCGTTCTGACTGTTGATGTCTTCCCAATGCCTTTCCCTTATCTGTACTCCATTTGTGTTCATAGTCTTGATTATAAAGTGTAAATCTCTAGAAAAATAATTATTAATAATAATTATTTCAAACTAAATAATTGCAGTCAAATGTAATTACTTTATATAATCGGTTATGTTTTGCTGACTTTAGATGTTCTTCAGCCACACTATTTTCAGCCATATATAAGCTACAAATTGGACAATAAAATCCCTTAATTGGTATTAAAAACTGAGCGCCTATTCAAATAAATTAATTCAAAATAATTATCAAAAACATTAAACAAAATCATGTATTAATGCAACCTTTTAGCGCTGATTTAGTTTTTTCTTCAACTTTTCCATATTTATTAGCGTTATGTCCGGAAATGATTTCAGCAATCGATGGTTTCTTTGATTGTTTTCTCCACAATTTCAATTCATTTGGCGCTAACTTCCAATGATCCTTAGAGTGCAAGTGTTCAAAATAGTCTTGAATTTTGGGCACCATTTTATCACAATCTCTACACCAATGAGATCCCGGATCGAAGTACTCGAATAAAGAGTTTTCGTATTCAAATTCATCCTCTTCTTCGTCTTGTTCGTCATCATTAATAGATGAAGTAATGTTTGAATTTTGAATAAGCAGTGCTTCATAATTGCTGGGTTGTGATAGTCCGGCATTATTTGCATTGTCTCCGGTGTCCAACTGATTCCTCACTATTTTATTGTATTGACGAATCCTTTTGTCGATTTCGACATTCATTTTATACACTTCGTCTAATCGACGTTTGATGTCATCTTGTAATCGGCGACACTCGACAAGTGCCGGGTCTTTATAACTATCGCGGTTACGGTTCTTATTTCTTAAGATCTCACCTTCTCTTATGGCAGACTTGTCGAGAATTGATTGCAATTGTGTAGCCTTTTGTGAGTACTGTTCTTTGAGCTGATTCGCAACCAAACATCAAAATTTAATCATTAAATACATCAATAAAATTAATCAATGATTAATCAATACATACAGTGATCAGATCGTCAATAGTGTTGATTCCATGGAAAACAATTGTCAACTTCTCCTGAAACAACTTTTCCTCCCTTTCCTTCTGAGTCATACCATCTTCATCGACATCGCGACCGTAACCGGCGTTCGGATTACCGGTTGGCGGCTGTGGTCTCTGATATGACGATTGACTTTTGTTTGAATTATAATTTGGATTTGAAGTCGGGTTTGAGTTTGCATTTGGATTGGGTTTGGCGTATGGATTGTTGGCATTAGGATTGGGATCAGATCGCATGGCATTTGCATTTTGAGATGAACTTTGATAGGGACTGGCATTTGACGGATGACTGTATATACTGTTGGGATTCGGGCGGTAAGGGATACTGTTCTCCATTTCGGGATCAATTGGATCAATTGTCACTAGGATTTGTCATATAATACTAAAACCAATTATTTATTCAATAATAATGATAACAAAGTCCGACACTCTTTACATTATAATTGCGATAATTATTACAATTAAAGTCAAATATAATTACAATCAATGGTTGGTCTCGAGTGACGGCTTAAGACTCTAACGTATAAACAATTGAAATAACAGTTGCATTGCTTTCATAGTTATTGATGTTCTGTAATAATGTTTACATACAATACTAGATATTCACAATATATATACATTAAACACATAGATTATGTAAAACATTTACACACAAATTCACTTAATATGTGTGATACTTGTGAATCCTTATAAGCCCCGCCTCCTATCGCTTTATATATTGTAATATGAACTTCGTATATGTTTTCTATAATTTTATTTGTTAGTAATATTCCTAACAGTAGTTATTGTGTGTAACAGCAAAAAGTGAGCCAATACTTGCATAGTGTGACCATAAACACAGGTTTATACCATATTTGATACAATCAGGTAATTATATAATACAACATTAATATATAAATCATAGCAAAAGATATAAATAGTAATTATAATTATTTATAATTTTTGCAATTTATTAATTGTTAATAAATTTTAATTAATTTATGATTAAATTGTTATTATGTTATAAAAATGTTGATCACTCTATAGTTTGAAATAAATAACAAAAATAACGTAGAGTTTAATAATATTATGACTTTGAATACTATTAGTGAAAATGATGTTCACTGAAGTGGATGTCTTCATCTGCAACAATACACTCATTGATCCCGATATATACCAATACTGGTTGGATGGCAATACAGGTACTAATTGTTGTCTATCGGAACAATTGAGTGACTGTTTGAATGATGATATGATTTCTAGCACAAGAAGCGGCACTTTTGGTGCGACAGAAAGAAAAATCAGTGTTAGGTTTTGTTCACGAAGATCTCATAATCAGCGATATTCTGGATCAGTATCGGACTTTCCAATTGATTGAGAAGTTGCTGCCGGTGCCAACCCAACTGTCCGAACAATGGACTTTCCAGTTGACACCAACTACTCAACGAATACTTATCGAAAAGTATTATAATTTTGACGATCAGGTGATTCGCGAGATTTTAGGCAAAAAGTTGTCGGGACGTAATCGCAAGGATTTAGATGATGTCAGCGACAAGACTGGTGTCGGTATTAAGAGTTGTCGGCGACAGTTTGATAACGTTAAGAGAGTCTATAAAACAGTTGAAGACATGTCCGGCAATCTGTCGCTTAACATTCAGACCAACTTTCTTTTGCCCACAGAATTAGCACAAAAATATGCAGCCGTTGTCTATATCGCCAACAATCGCTTTGAGACAAACAAACGAAAACTACAGTATTTACAGTTTACCGATTTTCTTCACTGTTCTACCGAAATGATGACCAACTGGTCGTGTACTGACCCGGACTGCAAATACGAGGAAACATCGATGGATATCGACCGCGAGTTTCTTCAGAATTTGCGCGAATTGCGTATTCTTTTAGAACGAGAAGCCATTGATGAACACAAAACACTTGTAATTAGAATCTTAAAAAACAAAGTCTCCGATCGTAAGCTCGCGGACATCGACTCAATGTTTAAAGTATTTAAACAAATTTGATATCTTTTGTTAACTCAAAAGATATGTAACTTATTGTTATAATTATTATTATTTTTTAATTAAAAGAGTTTATCGCGAAATGTCATAAATATTGCTTATGGTCTGAATCACAGCAAAGAGATACGAGACCTATACTTAGACATCGTCGAGAAGATCATAGAGCCGGCAAAGAGTATTAAATTAACACCAAATGATATGAATGCTCTTATGGTTCTCTACAAAGAAAGTCCACAATTTATGGAACCCTACAAAACGTATAATATTTACTTTACTGTATATTTTTATCTTAATTATTATTTTTTATTAAACTATAAATTTTTAAGTATTAGTAATTTTTATCATTTTTTTTACTCACAGTAATAAAGAGCTGCTAAGCGTTTGGGAAAGATTTATGAATACATTCAACAGTTGTGTATTGAAAATGTATCGCTAATAATGAATGACTAGTCATATCTATATTTGTGATTATTTTAAATAAATGTTTATTTTGCGTAAAAATCAATATTTAAGGAGTTATTAAAAAATACTTTAGTGACACTTTTCACACATTTAAGTAAAATCACATTTATATGCTATATCTCTGTTAATAAATAGCACTAAATTTATTGTCATATAAATTAATTAAATAAAATAAATTTTTGAACTAAAATGTCGATTACATCTCTTATTGTTAAAGACATCCGATTTCCCACTTCTTTAAGTGGTGACGGATCTGATGCAATGGTATTAATGAGTTTTCAATTAATTTTCTAAAAATATTTAAAATATATATTCGAAACGTTTTGTCTGATAGCATACAGATCCTGACTATTCTTGTGCTTATGTCATCCTAAAGACTGACAAAAGCAATATAGAAGGCCATGGATTGACATTTACTATAGGAAAGGGTACTRAAGTCGGTATGTATTGATATTTACTAATTTTTATGATAAATAAAATACAATATATGCTAATAAACATTATAGTTGTTGCGGCCGTACGAGCGCTGCAACACTTAGTGATTGGTCAACAATTGGATGTTATTTTTGATAATTTTGCCCAATTCTGGAAATCATTGACCTGTCACAGTCAGATTCGTTGGATTGGACCCGAAAAGGGTGCTTTACATATGGCTACCGGTGCTATAATTAACGCTATTTGGGATTTAAGATCAAAAATTGAAGGAAAACCTCTTTGGAAACTTTTGACTGATATGGAGCCCGAAAAGTTGGTTTCATGTATTGACTTTCGTTATATGTAAGGATTATACATATTTGACATTTTAATCAATTATTAGTTAATTATAAACTTATTTTTTTAATGATAGAACCGATGCTCTTACCAAAGAGGAAGCGCTGGAAATTTTAAAGAAAAATAGACAATTTAAAGAACAGAGAGGTATTTATTATTTATTAAAATTTGAAAAAAATATCATAATATCAAACGAAAACTATTATTATTATAGAAAAAGAACTGTTAGCTAAAGGCTTTCCCGCTTACACCACAGCGTAAGATAATTACAAATATTTAAAATATTTAATATATATTTTAATTAAATGTAATAAAGTGTTGGTTGGGTTGGTTATGACGAACAAAAAAGGAGACAACTTTGCCGACAATATCTATCCGATGGTTACACAGCTTTTAAGGTTTGTCTAAATTTGTCATTACATTAAATAAATATTTATTTTAGATTAAGTCAACTACTATTAACTGATTAGTAATACTTTAGAGTACATTAATACAGTATATAATTTTATTATACTATTTACTGTATTATACTGTATATATGTATATTAACTTAATAATAATTTAGACTCAGGGCTAAAATGTTTTTATTCAATATAAAATAACTTTATCTTATTAAAGCAAATACCATATTAATAATATCAATAAAAACATTTTATCAATAATTTAGTCATATTTGTAAGCTGATATTAGTAATACTAGTATAATATTACAGTATTAACTTTTAACAATTAATAAATAATTATCGGTTATAAAATTAATTCAAATTATTAAATAATTTTTATATCATTGGCCTTGTAATAAAAATTATGTTTTATAAAGATTGGACTTAAACTAATACAGTGCATATAACTGTATGTCAAATGTACTTATAAATAAATAAAAGTATTAAACAATTATTTAGATTATAATACCGGTAATTTAATTTATAACTAAACAATAATTTCATTTTAAGCAATAAAAATTAATACAGTATTTACTAATTTTTAATATTATTTTTATAACTATCACTAAATAAAATCAGGCAAAAGTAGGCACAAGTATTGAAGAGGACAGAAAAAGGTTGGATTTTTTTTTACAAATAAAAGTAACAATTTTGACAAACAATTATAATATTATCATTAATAATATAATAAGATTGCAAATAATTCGAGAAGAGATCGGTTGGGACAACAAGTTGATGGTCGACGCAAACCAGAAATGGGATGTCAATGAAGCCATTGAATGGATGAAACAATTGACAGATTTTAAGCTTTTATGGATAGAGGAGCCGACCTCTCCCGATGATGTGTTGGGTCATTCAACTATTTCACGGGTCAGTTAAATATCATAGATAGTAATCATAAATCTGTTTAAAATAATTTTCAAATTAAAGGCTCTTAAGCCATATGGTATAGGAGTAGCCACTGGAGAGCAATGTCAGAATCGGGTGTTATTTAAACAGTTTTTGCAATCAAATGGCTTTCAATTCTGTCAAATAGATTCGTGTCGTTTGGGAGGAGTTAATGAAATTTTAGCCATCATTTTAATGGCTCATAAATTTGGAGGTAATTTAATTGAAATATATAATTATCCTAAAATAAAAATTTATCATTTAAATTCAAGTACCGGTATGTCCACATGCGGGAGGTGTGGGTTTGTGCGAATACGTTCAACACCTATCTATGTGGGACTTTGTTGCTGTTAGCGGTTCAATGGAAAACCGTATGACTGAATACGTACATCACTTGAATGAACACTTCACATATCCAGCTATGGCTAAAAAGGGCAGATATATTGCACCACAAAATCCAGGTTATGGCTGTCAGTTAAAGTATGAATCTCAAGATTATTATGAGTTCCCAAATGGAACTTATTGGTTATCAAAACAATAAAATATTAAAACTTAATTAATTTTAATTTAGAAAAGTTAATATATAAATAAAATATTTTGTTTAAAATTTTATATCATTATTCTTTAATAAAAGAAATGGCTTTAATCGCTTCCAAAAGTTTATTCAATTCGAGTTCCGATTGTTTTAGTTTTTCAGAGTTTGCGATCCGAACTTCAACGGGAACTTTGTCTTCATAATCAGGTTTTTCGGTGGTGTCTCTCAACCTAATTAGTGGTCCATTGATCTTCTCTTGTTTTGCTTTCAATCTTTCTATTTCTTTGTTAACATCAATAAAACCTTTTAGCATAAGGTATGCCTCACAGCTGTCTGAAACAGGAACTATAGCACAGCCCTCTGGAACTGATGAACTTTCGTCCACAACATCAACAGATAATGAATTGGTTAAAACCTAATGTTATTTAAATGTTAATTAAAAATAAATAATAACATTAATTCTGTATTCCATACCTTAATTGTCTCAACAAAAGGTAATAATCTTTCTTTAGTATCGATGCCATCGAACTTAAGATAGAGATTTACTTTGGTCTTCGCTAAGTTGTATTCCGATCTCAAGGATCGTATGCTATGAATGATATTTTGCATAAACGTCACGTCATTTTCCAACTTTTCGTTGTATTTCCACATAAATTGGTCCACTTCTGGATAAGGTGTCACTGAAATACTTGGCGGTTYATTACTTGTCCTTCGAGGCAATCTTTGGAATAACTCTTCGGTAATGAATGGCATAAATGGGTGCAATAACCGCAATCCTGTGTCTACACTAGTATATAGTGTTTGTTTTGCGGCATTAATAGCCACGGCGTTACCGCTTTGAATAATTGGTTTAAGAGACTCGAGATATACATCACACAATTGGTATAACCAGAAACTATAGCAAGCGTTAGTACATTGAGGAAAGTCATACGTCTCGAAACCTTTATTACACGTTTCAGTGGCCGTATGTAAAGCACTCAAAATCCAAAGATCTACTTTAGATTCATTTCCCGTCAATTTATTTGTAGAGTTGGGTATAAAATCAGAGCCCAAAGTCATTAATGTAAACTTAACGGCATTCCAGAGCTTATTACAAAAATGTCTGTAACCTTCAACACGTTTTATATCCAAATTGATGTCACGCCCGGGTGTTAAGTATGAGCACAATGCAAATCGCATTGCATCGGTACCACATTCGGGAATACCATTGGGATAGTCGACCTTTTGACCGGCTTTTGCCTTATCGATCTCAGAAGGGTCTAAGTTTGAGTTATATAATGTCTTGTAAAGATCATCCAATGATATACCATTGATGACATGCATCGGGTCTATAACGTTGCCCAACGATTTGGACATTTTCCTTCCGTGAGCATCACGTATAATGGTATGAAGATAAACATCTTTGAATGGAAGTTTACCCATAAGTTGTAATGACAACATAGCCATTCTTGCGACCCAAAAAAATATTATGTCGTAACCCGTCTCTAACAGAGTTCCCGGAAAGAATAGTTCCAAATCTTGGGTCTGTTCCGGCCAACCAAATATAGCAAATGGAAACAATCCCGAAGAAAACCATGTGTCCAATACATCTTCGTCTTGAATTAGTTCAATGTCTTCAGTTTTCACATTAAACTTTTTCGATGCTTTTTCAAGAGCCTCTTCTTCAGTTCGACCACTAATCCAATACTCTTCCGATTCATTTATGTCTTGTGGTGTCTGACCCTTAACTTTAGCAAAATAAACAGGAATTCTATGTCCCCACCAATTTTGACGAGATATACACCAATCTCTAATGTTGTCCAACCAATGAAACCAAATCTTTTCGTGCAATTCTGGTATAAACCTGAGTTCTCCATTTCTCACAGCATCTGCTGCTTTCTTAGCCATATCCTTACAATTGACATACCATTGATATTTAATTAATGGTTCAATTATATCCTTAGATCGATTACAAATGGGTACAACCATAGGATTGTCCACACATTCACGATATAATCCTTTTTGTTTTAAGGCTTCGGTCACTGATTTTCGGGCATCAAATCTCTTTTGTCCACTAAATTGTCCGCAATTGTCAGATATTAATCCGGAATCCGTTATTATAGTAATAAATGGAAGGTTATGTCGTTTTCCAACTTCATAATCATTGGGATCGTGAGCCGGAGTAATTTTAACGGCACCCGTTCCAAACTCCTTGTCCACAAATTCATCGCAAACAATTGGAAGTCTGCGCTCAAGGAAAGGATGGACAACATATTTGCCGTGAAGATGTTTATAACGGGAATCATTAGGATGGACAGCAACAGCCGTATCGCCTAACATTGTCTCAATACGAGTGGTGGCCACAACTATTTCATCATCGCTTTCCTCAACTTTATACGCAAACTTATGCAAAACTCCAAACTCGACTTTTTGGTCATAATTGGGAACAGTTAAAAATGTACGGCCAGTTAATTCAAATTTATCCACTTCTATATCAGAAATAGCTGACAGCAAAGTGCACGACCAGTTGACCAATCGATTAAACCGATAGATGAGTCCCTGTTCATGAAGTCTGACAAATGCTTCAATAACCGCGCGACACATTTTAGGATCCATTGTAAAGACAGCTCGATTCCAGTCAGTAGAGACTCCCAAACACTTCAATTGTTTATAAATCGCGTCTCCCTTTTCATTCTTCCACTTCCATACCTCTTCAACAAACTTGTCGCGACCCAAATCGTGTCTCGTTATCTTCTTTTGTCTCCAAAGTTGTTTTTCGACCACAATTTGTGTGGAAATGCCCGCGTGATCACAGCCCGGGTTCCATAAGGTTGTCCTGCCTTTCATACGGTTCCATCGGGTCACTGAATCTTGTATAGCATTGGTGAGTGCGTGACCTAAATGTAAAACACCGGTCACGTTAGGCGGCGGTATAACCATAACAAAGTGTCCCTTCGGGTTAGGTTTTGTGATGTCATTGTTATATTCGGGACTAAAGAAGCCTTGCTTTTCCCACCACTCATACCAAACGGCCTCAACATATTTGGGTGAATATGAATCAGGCATCGGATCAGATGTTACATCCTTTTTCTCTCCCGGTTTGATAACTCTATCGTATGTGATAATAGTTTTGTCTTTTTTATCCTTTTTGTTATCACTTTTGTTGTCTTTGGTTTCATTCTTGTTTTTTGCTTCTTTGACAGCTTTTTCTTTCAATTTCTGTTGTTTTTCGGCAAACTTTTCGAGTTTAGCCTTCTTTAGCGCTTCTTTTTTCAATTCTTTCTCCGATTTCGGCGGTCCGTTATCGGCGGACACCGATTGTCCACTATTTTGTTGATTGTCCGACTCGTTGGTCATAATGTCAAGCAATATGTTGTCAAATGTGTGGTAAATGTATTGAAAATCAAGCGATTGATTGATTGACTACTCGTTGACTGCAAACGTGTATTCAATGCCTTTACTATTGATGTGAATGAGTGCTCAACTCATTGATTGATGCAATCATTCATTCATTTAAATAATGAAATACACGTTTAGTATTGCATTCACTGCTTATATCATACGACTATCGTATCAATAGAGTGACCGAATGTACGGCAATAGTCTATATTATACAACAAAACAGATTATCATATAATCTATAAAATTTTATTAATATCTAAAATTTAGATTATAAATCATAAATAATTATATAACCTAGGACATTTACATTATACAACAATCTAAATGTATTATCATTAATAAATAGTAGAATAATACAATAAAAATCTATTTAAAAATCTATTGTATATACAAAATGTACAATTGACCATGCTAATACATAAAATTATTTATTTAATTTTAGAAAATTAAAAATATTTGCTCAAAACTTTTTAAACATTTTATACGACAATAGCCAGTAAGGGATGAAAAGGGGGGTAACAATGATTGTGTCAATCGTTACAATAATAATTGTAAAAAACAATTAAATAATTAGTCGATTGTAATGATTGTGAGTTTAATCTATAGATGTATTGAATAATAAAATTTAATGATATTATATGTGTTTCATAATAATAGACTCAAAATGTATTATAAGTTAATTGATTGTTCATTGCATTCAAATACAGTAATACTTTAGTTTACAATACATTACATAATATAATGTATTATAAGTTATATAGTGTTTACACAACAGATGTCAGTCAATGTTTGGTTTAAACACTCATTGAATACGAGTTTTATTCGAATTTTCAACAAAAAGTTCTAAAGTTTATAATCTTTACAATAAAGTCATAGGTTTTCGGAAAATTAAATATTAAAACAATTAATGAAAATAAATGACAAATAAATGGATTGAAAGACATATTTATTGACCGAAAATACTTCAAACAAATAGACATTTAATTGAATGAGTGTTTAGTTTGTACTTTGAATTAGTCGTCATTTAAGTGGACATTGATTTGTTGACCACTTGTCCAACCAATCAGTGGTCAAACTAAACGTTTAAGAGATGAATGAGTTTCGGTTTGACTTAAATAATGTCCGAAATGATCACCAAAACCATACTTTGTCTCAATGGGTGGTCAGAGCGCAAACCCGAACTGATATCGACCCGAACGCCAGCAATCAATTGGTGCGCTCAATGGTCGCCGACAATAACAATGACATTACCGACCAGTACTCGACCGACGGTACGCTATTACGCCGCGTCTCGGAATTACCGCCAAAATATCGGCCCATTTTTGACCAAAGATTTCCAGTGTTTAATGTAATTCAATCGAAAGTCTTCGATGACATACTTTTCACTAACAAATCAATCGGTAAGAAAACAATTATTATTTTATTTTTAATAATTATTTATATATTTTTAAGCCATTTGTTCACCGACTGGATCCGGAAAGACAGCGGTCTTTGAAATGGCAATTATTCGACAATTAATGTCTTTGGATAAAAATGATTGTCCATTGGATTTGCTTAAAGTTGTATATATGGCGCCACTGAAGAAACTCGTTGACGAAAAGTATAGAGAGTTAAAGCAGTCATTTGATTCATTTGGTATCAATTGTCTCCAATTGACTGGTGATAGTGATATAAAAGATTATGAACTATTGAAAAGTGTCAATATTGTGGTGACGACACCTGAAAAATGGGATTATATGATCAGAAACCACGAAAATACATCACTGATCCGTTCCATTCAATTGATGCTTATCGATGAAATACACTGTATTTGTGACGAAACCAGAGGCGCTACCATTGAAGCAGTTATTAGTCGAATGAAGACATTGCGTTCAATTGATATGAATACCAACTCTGATTGCGAACTTCGATTTGTGGCGGCGTCTGCCACAGCACCTAATGTCGATGATATATCTCATTGGTTGGATCCAAACAATTCTATCGGATATAACCTTTCAGATGCACAAAGACCTGTACGACTCCAGAAAATAGTGATCGGATATCACTTCCAAAAGTCATGGTCTGAGTTCAGATTTGACATTCAATTATCATATAAATTGGATTCAATTATTAGGACCTATTGTGAATCTAAGCCGACTCTTATATTCTGCTCGACCCGAAAGGCAGTCCTTATGACAGCACAGACACTATGCAAGTCATCTATTAATGTATTCAATTCATTCACTCAAAGAAATACTTTATTAATGAAAATTAATACTTTAAAAAATTTGGAGCTCAAGATGTGTACACAAAAAGGTGTTGCCTTTCATCATTCGGGTCTTGAAAGAGCTGACAGATCACTCATAGAAAGTTTGTTTATTGATGGTCTGATACCGGTGCTCATATCGACTACAACATTGGCTATGGGTGTTAATCTACCGGCACATTTGGTTGTAATCAAAAATACTGTTCAATACACACAAAATGGTTGTCAAGAATATCCTGAGACACAAATTCTTCAAATGATAGGTCGAGCCGGAAGACCACAGTTTGATAAGAACGCATTCGCTGTCATTATGACCAAAGAAGAGTCTCGATTTAAATATGAAAGACTATTAAATGGGACGCAAGTAATTGAAAGTTGTTTGCATCGAAATTTAGTGGAACACCTGAACGCTGAGATTGCTTTAAAAACGGTTACCTCTCTTGATATTGCCATCAATTGGATTCAATCGACGTTTCTATACATCCGAGTTATGCAAAACCCTATTTATTATGGTAATACCAGTCAGATGTCGACAATTGATCAATGTTTACAAATGGTGCACAACTGGTGCGCTAAAGAGCTGACTGGACTAAAGGATGCTAATATGATTGCAGCTGACACTGGCCTAACATACGTCTCACCCACACCTTTAGGCAAAATTATGGCCAAATACTCTGTTTCATTGCATACTATGATTGAGTTCTGTAATATAGTGACTCAAGAATTTACACTCAGACAGACACTCGAAGTCATCTGCAGATGCAATGAATTGAAACATGAAGTACAGCTTAGAGTTAATGAGAAGACTATTCTTAATGAATTGAATAAAAGTCAAAAACAGCCGACCATTAGATACCCATTTAATGGTAAAATAAAGACAGCAGACATGAAAATCAATTGCTTAATACAGGCATCGTTTGGTGCTTTAACTATACCGGACGCCACTTTAAACCAGGAATTGACTCAAATTATGAGAACCGGTCAACGACTCACTAAATGTTTGGCTGAAGTCATGTATTTTAATACAAAAGATAAAATCAATGCAATCAACTCAAAGACTGTGCTAAACGCTATAATACTTAATAAATGTATTAAAGCAAAGCTATGGCACGATTCGCCACAAGTGACCATACAATTGAACAGAATTGGTCCCAAAATGTCTAAAGCATTGGTTAATAAGGGATACAAAAGTTTTAATGATATTAAAAATGCTGATCCAAGAGATATTGAATTTTGTCTTAAAAGAAATGCACCCTTTGGTCGACTATTAATTGATGAGGTTATCATTTATTGCATTTATTTCATATGAAAATTATCAGTTTTAACATTTTCAATAATTAGATACTTATATTTGCATGTATATAATAGTACAGTATATTTTATTTATTTATTTATTTTTAAATTTTAAAAACTTTATATACTTAATCAAAAGTATTTGGAGTCAAATGTTAGAAATATCTTAATTTGATGTGTAGTACAATATGTGTCATCACTTAAGGATACACTAGTTATTAAATTAGTTATTTTGTTATATCAGTTATATAAATACATTGACTGATGTAAGCAAATGTTATATAATTTTTTGAAAATATTTTCTAATATAATTAAGTTTTATTGAATAAATATTAAGAATGTTATATTAAGTACATTATAATATCAATCATAGCAATTATAGATAAATTTATTTATAAAACTAGTGTACAATTATGTACATTATAGCAATCCTTTAATACTTTTGAATTTTGTGTTTATTAATTATATTTTTATATCTACTCATTGATTATTAGATAAGACATTTACCATATTATTCAGTGACTATTGAAGAGATTATCAAAAACAAAAGCAAAAGAGATAAAACATTAATCAAAATAAGTGTTAAACTGGAAAACTTGGAAAACCTATTTGAAAGATCAGTTTTGGTACAAAATCACTGCTGTTATCTCATTGTTTGTGATGATGACAATCAATTGCTTTATTGTTACAAACTATTTGATTCACAACTGATCAAAAACAATGGTTCTTATGAGACAAAAAATATTGATGTTTTTCTATGCGATCGAACCAAACATGTGAGGGTTCACCTCATTAGTGATTCATTTGTGGGTCTCGATGTCGAGTGTACGCTAAGACTCGCACCGGCAGATGCTTACCGTTCGACAGCTGATCCAAACCGTTCGAAAGCTTTCTCAGACACATCGTGGGAATCGAGGGACAACAGTGAGAGCGCTGAGGGCTGTCAACACAAATGCGCCGATAAGAGTAGTTGTGGTCACAGCTGTTGTAAAAAAGGATTGACTTCAAGCTATGATAGCACTAACAAACAGGTATTGCTTTAATGGCTATTTCCTCACTATTATTGCACAGTTAGTGTTTGCCTTAAAGTCCAATCAATTTAATAGTAGCTTTAATATAGTTTTTCTCAAAACTCTAATCGTTTTAATATTGAAAAATAGGTCAAAAAAATTAAGAAACAAAATGTAGACGAAAAACATGAAAATCAAGTGAAAAGACTCAAACAAACTAACAGTAGTTTAGATGATTGGGTCATCAAAATGGATAAGACTTCACTGCACAAGACTCACATGAAATCTGAATCAACTGATTGCACACAAAGTCATTATTTTAACAATAATTCACAACAAAATAAATTAGTCATTCCAGACATTACTGATGATTTTAATGACGACTTCACTGATGATTTTAATGAAGACTTCACTGATGAAGACATACCTGATATCAGTTTCGATACTTACCTTAACGTTAAGTCAGAGCCAACAGACGAAACTGATTTCAGTGCAGACTTAGAATTTGATACTAAATGCGAACAATTGTTTACTTGTAGTGAAGACTTCCAAAGATTTGACAGTCAAACTACTAATCAATTGATTGATAGCACAATAAAACAGGAAACCAGTCATCAGTATTCACAGTCTAATACTATTAAAGACTTACCTTTCTCTATGTCTCAGTGGTCACTGTTTATGCCGACCATTCATTTGGAGGGAAAGTCATTTTTTAACGACCCTCACAAGTAATTTCATTAAATTATTACCAATACTGGTATCAATACTTATATAATATTTAAATTAATAACTTAATAGACATTAATTCATATTTTAAGTATATCTCTTATTATTCACAAAACAAATAATATAATAAATACAAGTTATTTAATATAATATCTAATAATAAAACATTTATATGTATTTAAATAATTATTACAAATAAAAATTACATTTAATATATATTTATATATAAATTACAAAAAAATGATTTTAACTGAAGACTAATGGTTAGTAAAGGTTGAGATTGGATGCAATTGAGAGCAATGTATGGATCGATAAAACAAATGAAATGTAATCAAAATGACAACAGCTATGACTCATAGCCGATGGGTATATGGGATTGGGATGTGATTTGCGATGATTAGGCAACGCAGTCGTAACCAAATGCCGATCCATATGTGTTTGCCATCCATATGCACGTCAATCTGGTACTGTACTCCATCTGCACTGTTATAACAGTCAGTAGACCACCCATTCCTTCATCAATGGTCTCATCAAATCATTATTTTCTTATGACGACCACATCTCTGCCAACGGTTGCCGAAGCGATTGGAGGGCTGAAGAGGAAGGACTTGAACTATTGGATGTCTGACACGTTGGTGGATGTGTGTCGAGTGCCAGTTGTAGGTCAAAGATATAGTCGATGACGTACTGAATTATCTCCAGTTTAGACAGTTTTTTATTGCGAGGAATATTTGGAACCAATTCTTTCAGTTTGGCTAATAATAACTGCATTTCATCTGTAGATACATTGGTATCCATTCTGTTGTGATTATTGGTTGACTTCTTGACTTTGTTTGTCGTTAAACTCTTCGCTGGTGGCATACCATTAGACTCATTGCATGAAGAGTTAGATGAATCGTCTTTAACTGGCGACTCTTTTTGGTTAATTTTCGTCATTTTTGTGACACTTTCTTAAGTAGTTGATGTAAATATTGAAATATTGTATTCCAGTGCTGGAAGTGTTTCTTAAGACAAACTGTGGCCACGAATTAAGTATTGATTGGTTTGACACAGATTTTTGGGTTCACTTTAGAAATGCAAACATCACTTCACTGAATGCTATGATAGTTGTTGTCAATAGTGAACAACCATTTCTGAACTAATCATTGACTCCGAGACTCAAATGCCATTCACTGCGCACAACACCAGTGCTTATATACCCATCGCTGAGCACTGGGAGGGAACCATAGCTTTTGGTTGGCGACGCAGCCAATGGTTAGACCAAGAGCTCAGGCAATGATAACAGTGTTATATTGAGTAGTATTGGTCTTAACAGTCTTATAGCAAAACTGGTTAAGAATCGCTGAGAAGTCCCCACAATGTCTGCACTGCACCTGTGCCTCAACATTGCCTCAACACTGCCTGAGCCGTCTGAGAACAGGTGTGCTCCAGACTTTCTGGAGACAAGAAATCTTCTCACAACTTCTATCCTCACTCCTCACACCTGCATTCAACTTCAGCTCCAATCTCAGCACATGAGATGCCTGTCCTCTCACTTATCGCAAACGTTTACTGAAGACTATAAGAGTAGTGTATATGCCTTTAGTGTGCCTTTTATTGCAATCACCAAAATCCGAGCCTAACTTATAATAACTTTAAGGATATGTTAGTTATGTTTATAAGAGATACTAATGTTATACTCATAATGTCTCTGTTCTCTGTCTATAAGAGATCTCATAAGTTATGTACACTTTTATTAAGTTTCCGTCAAATTGATCACAGCTTTAGTCATTTGCTATCAAATCTCATGAGACAAATGCCAATGCATTGCATACAGCGTTGAATATATCTTTAAGTATAGCAAATGTATCCCTTTTTTCTATCAAACCCTCATAAGTAACAAAATATTTTCAAATTATATTTTTTTATTAACTCATTATAGACAGTGATAATCAAACTTATACTAAAAATTCATTTTCAGTTATATTAATTATTTTTGTAAAGTCATTATTCAATTAGCATTGTATTTAAATACAGATATAAGAAATAAATTATTTAAAGATTTTGTGAAATTGATTGACAATTGATTATATAGAAAATTATGTTAACTCTTCAGCAATTTTTTTAGATTTTAAGATTTACATTGCATTACATGTTATGCATGTTATTTAAAACAGTTGTATAACTTCACACTTGAGAGCTGAGGGCAAAACCGTCACCAGATTGACGACTATTTTCTGTATATAACTTACTGTATGTTAAATGTCTGTAACGGTTGATGTCAAGAGTCAAAGTGTGGTAATATTTCTTGAAATTAAACAAATATATTTGAAAATGTTTGTCAAATTTATGAGAAAATATATACAATATATGTATATTTAATATTAATTTAGAAAATATGTACACACGTTATGCACATGTTATCATATAAGTTACTTTTTTGTATAACATATCAAACATAATTATCTTTGACTGAGTCAGATGAAGACCCATATATGGCATAATGTGGTGGTAAACCCATGTGCGACCTCATTGTGCTGAATGATGTGCTTATCATTTGAATGTATGGCCAAAATATCGGCAATACTTTAGGCAATGAAAAGACAATCTGAACTAAAATTCAATGCATTAGCAATGATTGCGATTTGAGGCCAACTCTTAAGTTGATTAATACAAATACCGGACTAATATCGGAATATTACTTATGGAAATAATTTTGATAAAAGTCTGTTCTCATCAGTAAATGTTTGCTACTCTCAGTCGGAGTCGCATCTGTCTCAACCATCTGTCCATCTGTACGTACGGTACGGATCACTGATGGCTCTGTACTGTACTGTTCAGATGCTCGCTCTTCATAAGCAACCGACACATACTCACAACACATATGCAAAACATGGTCTCTCTCTCACTCTCTCTCAGTGAAAAATCCTGAGAATACCCCCTGAGAATTGGTTCCAAATATGTGTTACCCGAGTGATCACCGGTGCGACCACTCCTTACCTCTTATTATCAAACAACTGGTTACTAAAAAAAGCGCATAAATAAATTTATATAAATTATCAAATAAAACTGTATTAAAGTTATTTATGAAAGGAGTGGGAGGTGTCAATTAAAATAAATTTTAAGTTTTTTATAAAAAATTTCTATTTCAACATAATATAAATTTCATGCTTTTTATATTAAAAATGCATTCAATGAGTGAATCAACTGACAAGTTGTCAGTTGTGAGTGCATTACTGGTGTGGACATTGAACTGACTGTATATTTGATTACATTATTATGACTATTAGAGTAACAATTTGTGAAACAATAGCAAAACTATTGGTGAATGAGTCACATCATAGGCCACGTGCGCCGGCATTTGGTGTCCGGTGTGTAAAATACAGTCAACTTTATATTAAATGCAATTTTTTCAATGGAAATCCTCTGCAAAAGACACGCGACTTGTCTGTCGATGAAAAGCTCCGTATTGTCACTCTTGTAGGCCTGAGATGTACGCATGCAATGCCTGACCAGAGATAGTAGTGTATAGTTAGTGATGTAGTCGTGGGAATAGAGAGCAGACACGTTCCCATCAATCGCTACATTAATATACTTAAAGCCATCGAATATATCAAACATTTTAGTTGTAAAAGTGCTTTCATTACCACAGTATTAATGTTTGCTTTTTCTATGCTATTATTAAAAGCAGTCCTAACGTACAGCTGCGGGTGCCGGGACTCACTCACTCACTCACACATACACACCAACCAACATATGATGCATATGAAGTCCGCACACATGTATATGGACTGGAATTTGATCACAAAATATTGATTTATTTTATCTGCCGATTAATGTATATATTTTGTATGTGAAAGTAATATACGAGGAAAGTAAATGAGTGACTGATGTGTGTGTGTGTGTGTGTTTATGTATATATATGTGTGTGTGTGTGTGTGTGTGTGTGAGAGAGAGAGAGAGAGAGAGAGAGAGAGTAATTAAATTAAATACTTGTATCAAATTCATGCATTAGATTATAATGAATACATAAATTGTAACAAATGTTATGTTTGAATCACTGCACTGATGCAAAACTACATATTTTTCATATTAACTGAGTTTTTCATTTATTATACGATATATTGAATTGAAATTCATTGGATCGGTTGGGGCTGAAGAAACTAAAAAATTTTTGCCGCCCTTTGTATTGTATTTTCAATACTTTTTGAGAACAAATGCATTTATTCAGTAATTTTGTGTTAAATACAATACATCATGACTTTTGATACTTTTTATTGATAAGTTTTATGATATGCTGTGTTATAAAAGTTTAATAAACGCATTGCTATGAAATCCGTTTTGTTATTTTATTAATAAATTCCAACAACAGAAATGCTTTACTTATCGATATTAATAATTTTTTTGAATGTTTAATAAATCTAATTAAATAATATAAAGAAATTGCTAATATAATGAAATTACAAATATTTATATAGCATTTAAAATAAATTTATTTAAATTAATACCTGGATATTATAGATTCAAAATTAATTTAAAGATAATTCATTATTAAATAATATTTTTAGATATAAGTTGAACTGTATATTGAACTCTGGATTTAATGTATTGAAATACCGGAAAATAAAATAAAAACCAATATTTAGAGCTAATATTTACTTTTAGATTATATTTAGTCGACAATTGTCTTTACTATAACATTGATTAGATGAAAATAAGAGTCAGTAAAAAGTATATAAAAATATATCACTTATAGATTGTATGGCTTTTATAAAAATCTAATAAAACATTGAATAGAGTGGGGAATAAAAATAGGATTCATTTTCAATAGGGATATACCATAGCGTAGACAGAAAATGATGGCAATAATAATGATCTCATCCGAGATATAATGTATTTTGAATTGAAAGCGCTTTTAGAAAATGGACAGACAGTCAGTCATAGAGTATGGATAGGGATGCGGCAGTCGACAGGACAGATGAGCCTAAAGGAAAAGACAGTCAAGCATTAGGAATATTTAAAGAGGAGAGATGTAGCACATCATAAATAGCTACCGTTGCTATGGACTACAGCACAGGGATGTAGCACTTGATTCACTTCATTATTTAGAATCACTCTGTATATCAATGTGTGAGCCAAAGGCACGTCTTTCAACTCTCCCGAGTAATGCTCATCAATGCCTGCATTACTTTACTTTGAGATACACTGTACTACTCTATCACTAACTCCTCATACAAATAGTTAGCCCAACATTACTATAATACCAGTGCTTTCTATTGACTTCTCCCTATTAAGCCAACCAATGCTATCATTGCCTAACTATTATTGCAAACGATATGAAAAATACAACAATTATCAAACCATAGACTATATGATACTTAGACTGACGACTCATTCATTCAGTGATGTCTTGTGTCGTGTATTTGATTTTAGAGACATTCAAATGTTTTAACAAATGTTAGTTTATTTTCTATGTTTGTTATTAGCAATAGTTGTTTGGCATGAGTTCAGTACAGTTCAAGAGCTTTTCACAGATATATACACCAAAAAACTAAAACAAATTATTATTAATATTTAGGATTAAAGCGTTTGGTTGCGCACCTGTCGTTGCAGATAAAACTGTACTTTACTTTCCATATACTGTATACAGTATAGTACATGTGCTGCCAGAAGCAACAGCATTTATATGTTATGTGCTATAAATTGGTGACTATAAAGAGCGGTGCAGTCATTAATTTAATTGATAAGCCGTACTATCGAAGCATAACATAACACGAGTGCATCCAATCATCTAATGATATGACGATATGACTGCACACCTGCACACCAAACCTGTGCTACACTACTATTACTAACAGATATTATAAACTATATTATGCTATAAAAACATTTATATATACACTTCATGTCACGTATGACTTAAACCACATATGAATATCAAAATTGTATCCAAAAATAATTTATTCTATCATTCATTCGTTGTATAAAAATTTTAATATATATTCTCTCTCTCTCTCTCTCTCTCTCTCTCACTCACTCACTCAGCACTCCTATTGTTATCAAAAATTCTTTATTGTGGTTATTATCTAATATTTATTACACATTATTTAGCGATCGATAAATGAAGTCATGTTTCGCAATGATTGCAAATTCAATGGTATTTAAAATGATTTGTTCAACGCTTTAATGGTTTTAAACATTTTGAGACCATTTGAGACCATCTGATCAAATGATTTCAAGACTTCTGAAGTACAGAAGTAACTGTTAAGTCATTCTTATAGCAAACACACAGAAAGTATATATAAATAGTGTGTTGTGTTGTGTTGTGTTACAGATGTGATCCAGTGATCAGTATTTCCTCAGTCGACACATCTGTATGTTATGAAAGCAGTTTTGCCTCTCATTTAGACTACAGATTCCCGTGAGAGCTGTGTTGCCTGTAATCCAAATGCTTTATCGCTTATATAATAATAATATAATTTTTTGCTTCGTATGCCTGACAGTGCCTATGCCTATACAGAGCACACATAACACAGTACACTACACACCTGCACACAAACTCACTGTAAAAACTCTTAACGAATGCCTCACTCATACAATACAACATTTACTCTCTCTCTTTCTCTCTCTCTCTCTCTCTCTCTCTCTCTCTCTCTCTCTCTCTTTGACTGACTCACTGACTCATTGACTAATAGATAGCTTCACTCCTCAGTCACTCATTTTCTCATTCATTCATTTATCCACTCTTTGGTAAGTCTTTTAAAGCAAATATGTTTTACGAAAAATACAGTACAAAACCTCACGAATGTTAGACACAATCACTGCAAACACATGAATGACTTACACTACACGTCGGTATGATTTTTTGAGAGACAATTCACTGCTTATATGATTGCAATTTAAGTCAAGTTTTTTCTCTTAACTTTTTTATTTCATGCCTCACATAATACTATATTCAGGTTTTTAATGATAACAACTATACAGTGTATATACACTCTATTATTATTAAATCCAAAAAAATTAATGATTTTAATAATACGTTTATCTCTTAATACTTTTTAGATTCAGTATTTTGAGAATACATTTTATAAAATGAAAGAAAATCTTTTGAATACACTTTTTTGATATTTTTATTTAATAAGTCTTTTCTATGAAAATTGCATTTTCCCACTGTTTTTGTTCAATAAATTGCATGTATTTTGTTAAAAATAAAACAAAAGTCTTAAAGCGGTCAACAATTTTGATGACCTCCTCGTGAGTTAATTCTGAGAAAGTTATCGATAGATGTCTAGCTTCGGCACAATTGTTACACTACAGGCTAGCGGTGCCATTGGGATGCATACCTGGCTTTGCACCCAAACTTGTGGAGACAGTAGACAGGGGAGAGGTATGTTAGGGTACGTTACTTAAAGGCAAACGTCAAAGGAATTTGTAAAACTGACGCCAAACTCGATATGAGTGCCAATAGTGAGCCTATTATTGAACCTTTATATCCGTAAATACGTGTCGGCGCCGGACGGCTCAGGGCTGTCATTGTATTTGTATGTTTAATGACAATTCATTAGAAGCAAACAAAACTAATGATACCAAAGGTGTGTTCACGTATTGGCATTGATTGCCATTTATTACAATATATTGCTATTTACTGAACACTTTTCTTAAAGATTATCATTGATTTATGTGGTGTTTGTTCACACACTCCTTAAAATAAATATTTATTTCAAAATTTTAATATTAATAAAATTATTTTATTATTAAATTATAAGTTATTTCTATATAAATTTTAATAAAATTTAATATATAATAAAAATTTGTTTGTGTATGTGTTTAGTTTACAATTGATTAGTTTAAAATTATAAATTAATTTATATAATTAATGAAAAAATATAGCTTTCAAAATGTATTATTTGTCTCTAAAAAACAAGAGATGTATTGAAGTCCTTCCCTATCTGTCGAGGAGTTCAATGATTTTACAAAATTATGTCAGAAAAATAAGACCTATTTTTAGGTCCATTCAAATGACTAATCTTTCTCTTTTCAAAATTGCATTTTTTGGCGTAAAGAAGGGCTTTAAAAGTGTTATATGAATACAAAATGTATTTCAAATAATATTTATATAATACTATTAGTTAAGTACAAAAATAGACAAATTATTAGTGATTTTTTTGTTGATGTTTTTTGTTGAGGCCTTACATTTGATAGCCATTACATCAAAGGTGTCGTTAAATGACTGTTTTAATTGTTAGTGAACTTTAACAATGATTAGAGATTATTATTATAATTATCCTAATTATTGCCCGATATTTCAGACATTTATATAAAATATAGTCAATTATTAAGTAATTAATCCATACATTAACACAATTGTTGATAAAATATAAAATTAGTTAACAAAATTAAATTTTAATAATTTTTCCACTCCTGTCTGCCATTTGTCCCATTAGTTTTGGTCGATGTAAAACCCAGTTTAGTTCGGGTCACTGATTGGCTCCTGCGTTGTTGATATCCCTCAAGACTTTCCACTGACATATCACTTCCAGCTCTACTCGATGGTCGACTTGAATGACGGCTACCGGGTCTCGAGTTTGGTTTACTGCCAGCTTTTAAAACAAATATTTAAAAAATATGTATTGAAATCAAATATAATAAATACAGTATATTTCATAAAATCTCGGCTTTTTTTAACTGCTCATAAAAATCGGTAAATAAATCACAGGAAAAAAATAATTTTTAAAATTAATAAATAAGTATATAATAATTAATAATATGTATAATTAATTAAAAAAATTTAACTGTAAGCCCGCTATTCGGGTAAATAATTTCGGTTATTTTAGCGATGGTGGGGGCAATAGCAGTGATTTATGTGTAGAGCACATACACTACCCCTATTTTTTTCGGTTGGCATGTTTTCGGGCGGACTTTCAATGGTCGCGCTCACTATTAGGAATGGTGTGCTTATTATCATTGGAAAGTGTATATAAAAACCTTTCCAATGATATATATCACCCCTTTCTATATTTTTTATATTTAAAGTTATACCACTTTTAGTGATAGTAGTAAATAGCCGAGATTTTATGCAATATACTGTATAATGTTATGTTATATAAATTGCTTATAAAACTTAAAACCAAACATACATCCAACGGTTAGACGACTAATTGGTCTGCCTTTAGAGGCCCCGGAGCTGTCTGCCTGATCACTGAAGCTGTAATCGCTCGTAGAATTTCCATATCGATAGTGATGTGAGTGAGACATCGGAACGGAACGCTCGCTCTTTTCGCGGATCTATTTATATCAATATATCATATTATTTATTACTAAATATTATTTATAATATAGTTATATATTTTATTGTTAAGAAAAATAAATGAATAAATTGAAAGAATCTTCTTATGTAATCTCTGCAAGTTTTACCCAAAGATGAAGAGGAATGGGTATACGCGATGACAGTTCAAAGGGTAACGGCCGGTATGAACACAATTCAGGACAGGCCTGAACAGGTAGACAACGGCAGAGACCCATTGCATCAAACAGTCTGATAGTTAAGGTATAAATGTAATGGCAAAGGATTGTTAGATTTATTAGTAATAATACTATTTTAAAAACAACTATCCATTAAATCGGAGTTTGGATTAATATTACATTCAATACAAAATAATATTGAAAAAGCAAATCAAAGTATTAATAATAGAAATAAAACATTAGTTAATCATTTTGCAGTCATTTTACAAATACAAACCTTAGTTATGGGACCCGTAGTGCTAATGGTTCCGTCCGGTCTTATGGGAGACTTTGATTTAAATGGAGTCATCGATTGACTGACTCCTTCGGCCAAAATAAATTGCTCCCGAAGTTCCACATTTGTACGACCCTTAGCTATCGGTGCCATTCAAAAGCAATCAAACAAACAAAATAACATGCAATCAATCAATTCATGCATAAACTCAAAATTAAATTCATTATACATTCATTAACAACAAATGCTGGGATTTTATAAATTAAAAAACATATAATAGATGTATAACTGATACTTAACATACCTCTGCACGGATCGTTCTTTACGAGGAACTCATCGAGTGATACCCAACCGCCACCCACTCTAACCATTACAGTACTTCTAAGGATACGAACCAAACGAAGTTTTTGTGATTCGCCAAACTGTTAGTCAAAAATATCATTAAATAGTAATAATATTAAGTAAATTATAAACAATAGTCAACTAACCCGATATCTGCCTTCTCCGACCTGATGGACCTTATATTTGGTCAGACAATTACATTTGTTCACCTGTCGCTGCACCTCATCTTCAATGATCTCAGCCTCGGTTTTAGGTTGATCTCTATCGGGTCTCAATGTATCCAAATACTCCTTTTGGTCAACGTATCCGTCATTGTTTCGGTCAAATATGTCGACCACGCGAGTCATCTCAAGACGACTTGTAGGGAACTTAGAGTTGAGGAATCCTTCAACAAACTCAGATTTGGTAACCTTTCCGTCATTGTCTGTGTCTATCTTTCGGAAAAAATCCATAATTCTGGCCTTTTTGTTGTTCATCCATCCGAGGAACCGACGGCGCCATTCATCGAAATCAAAGTTTCTCATTCGATCCAATTCTCTGTTGTAATTAAGTTTATCCTGAAGTCGTTTCATACGATCCATAGCCAACTTCCAGACAGTGCTCCACTTCTCGAGTAATTCCCGAGCGCGCGGGTGTTTAATCTCAGGTTCAATACCTCTCGTTGGAGTTGATGTGCGCGGAGGATATCCTCGTCTTCCTTTGTCAATACCAGCTCTAATCTGTTCTTTTGTTGTCCTCTTTGTTGTGAAAGCTTTGGCAACTTTTTCAACGTCAGGTTCTTTGCGAATCATATCATCAATGAAACGCTGGTGTTCTTCAATAAGACGCTCTAATGCCAACACATCGTCGGGCAGTGGTTCAGCTTCAGCGGCCAATAAAGATGCTTCTGCGCCAATAAGCCATGCGAGCAGCTCTTCTAATAGATCCATAATATTTTTCAATGATCTTAAGTGGTCCTGTAATCTTTGTTCTCTCTGTTGAGCCCAAGCGGCCACTTCCTCCCAACGCGACTGTATTATTGTAATCCAGTGGCGAATAACAGGTGTAGCGTCCGGATGACACTTCTGTAAGATTTCTTGTGCCAAAGCAATAGTCGCGTCTTTGTTTTTCTCTTGTGCGGCCATTTCGCGCATAAACCTCTCGTGTTCAGCAATTTGTTGTCTTGTTGTGGCCTCATCTTCAGGCAGTGGACCAGCAAATCTCAATTTCATCTCAGCGTCGGACAGCCATTCAAGAAGCATATGAACGGATTTGTGTAACTGTTCCGCTTGTCTGAGAGCGTCCTCTAAACGTATTTGTTTCTCTTCACTCATTCGCGACACTTCTTCCCATTTGTTTTCCAAGAGACTCATCTGTTCTTTGATATGACGAGCATCTTCTGCATTAGCCGTTTGCAATAAATCACGAGATGTTTTGCGGACTGATTCCAAATTCTTGGCCCGACTCTTAAATTCTTCTTGGAATGTCTTGTGGTTCTCGACCAGAGCGGTCACAGTATCGAGATCTCCATAGACAGGCATATCCATAGCCAACTCTCTTTTTGCTTTATCTAACCAATCAATGAGTGCTTGAATGGCATCTTTGAATTGACCAGAATACAACAGGGCTTCTTCAAGTTTGCGCTGTCTGTCCACTGATTTATTACATACGGAATTCCATTTGTTCTTAAGTTCGTCAATCATATCCTGAAGTGTTGGTCCGTCAGATTTTGGTGCCTTTTCTTTGAGAGTTCGACCCAATTTAATGGTCGCGTCATAGATGGACTGTTTGGCACCGAGAGAGCGCTGAAACTCTTTATGTTTCAAAAGCATTTGTTTAATCAATTCGGGATTATTACTCATTTGTTGAATTGAGTCCAATGTCTTTTCTGCATCGCTTAGCCAAGACATGAGTTCAGTCCAGGCGTCGAGAAACTCTTTGGCTTCTTTGAATCCGTGATCGAGAGCTCGGGTGCGTTCGGCAGCTTTGGAAACAACTCGTTCCCATCTATGCTGAACACTGACCAATAAGTTCTTTATCAAAATTACATCTTGTTTTTGACTAAAATATTTCAAATGAGTTCCCTTTTTGTCAAGATTAAGCATTGTCTCCCTGTGTCCAGCAATGTCTTTCTGGAAGTTCTTATGTTCCTCTATTTGTTGCAATACACTGTCGACAATACGGCTGACGGGCTGTAAGTTTGTAAGATATTTTTCCGAAGAAGTCAACCAATCGACGAACTCTTGAAGCGCTTCATGGAATTCAGTTGCTTCTCGTAATGCAATTTCCAGTTTGATTTTGCGATCATTGGCACGACTCAAGACATTTTCCCATCTTTGGCGAAGAGTTTTCACGTTGTGTTGCAAATTAGTTGCCGCGCCTTCAGTCGAGCGTCTCAAGTAGTCCTCTCCCTGTTTAAGCACTGATTCAACCTTAGGTCGGGTGGCTTCGAGTTCAGTATATAATTCCATAAATCGATTCAATTGCTCTCTTGCTGTCTCTGGTAGGCCTCCAACTGGTTTAGATGAGGACAGTTGTGCGTCGACATCATTAAGCCAGGCCAACAAATTCTGAATTTCTTGATTAAAACCCTGAGCCTCTCTGAGTGCATCTTCTAGTTCTCGTTGTCTTTGGTGAGCTTTGGCTATAAGTTGTTCCCACCGAGAGTTCAATTCTTCAAGCTTTCGTTTAGTGCTTCGGGCGCTCTCAGTGTCTCTCTCTAAGGCCAACATTTGTTTGCCAGCGATGTTAAGTGAGTCTAGACTTGACTGATGAGCCAGAATGTCATTCATTAGCACTTTATGTTTAGCCAATTCTACTTCAATGACCGGCGGATCTCCGAAAACAGGTCTCATTTCGTCGAGAGTGCGCTCAGTCTTTGTGATCCATTGAAGGAAGTCATTGAGCGCGTGTTGGAATTGACCCAATCTTAGCAATGCATTATCCAAATCAGTTTGTCTGTCGTTAATGTTTTTCAAGAGCTCATCCCATCTTCTGTTAATTTCATTGACTGGTCCTCTGATACTTCTTGCCTGATCAGGCGATACATCTTCAAGAAGTTCGTGTGCGGCTCTATTAAGTGCTTCGATCTCAACCATATGTTGATTGACTTCGTGTTGGAATTCTTTAAGCTCGCGTTGTTGTCTCTTTACTGTATCGATATCACCAGCAATTGGTCCCAAAGACTCATATTTGTGCTCTGCTTTGTCCAAAAAGTTGAATAAATTGCGGAGCATTTCGTGAAAATTCATTGCTTTATCCATAGCATCGATCAGATTCTTCTCGCGTTTGGCATAAAGTGAGGTCACATTATCCCAAGCATTGTCTAAGTCATCCAAATGTTTCTTAACTTCTGGTTTGTCGGGTTCACCACATAGTTTCAAAAGATCGCGACCGGTTTGTTTGCAATGATCTACCTCTGGTTTGGTCTGATCCATGTCGTGTTTGATTTCTTTCAATTGGTGCTGTTGTTGTTTGATTTCATTTGGTTCAGTAGCGGGTGGTTCCTGATTGTTGAGAGTATCCTGAAGATCGTAAATAGCTTTCATTACATTATTCAATTCATTCCAGAATTTTTCGGCCACTTTAAGCGCATCATTAAGTGAATGATCTCTATTTTTTGAATTTTTCTGGACCTCATCCCATAAGTCATTCAGTTTATCTAATTTCTTGCGAATGTCTCTGATGGCCGGTTCATCACTCTTACCAGCTTTACTAATGACATCGCGTGCGGCAGATTTAAGAGCTTCTACAGCACCAGCTTTTTTGTCTAAATCGTTAATAATGGCATTGTTATCAACAATCTGTTCCCTTATTCTATCGGGATGTGCAGCAATGGGTTCGGCATTTCTCAATTGGTCGGCCGTATTATTCAATGCATTCAACATTCCGTCCAATTTGTCGGCAAACTGTGAGTGTGCCTGAAGTGCGGCCTCGAGTGCCTGTTGTTGTTCTCTTAACAAATTTTTTAGTCTATTATATCTGTCATTATCACTGTCCATAATCTTCTGGACTTGTCTGGCGTCCTCCTCATAAATAATTCGCATCAAAGCGGCACCGGTTTTGTTAAGTTTATCAACTAATGGCTTGCGTTCTGCTATCGATTGGATCAATGATTTAGTCATTTCCTGTTGTCGTCTAATTTGTGTGGCATTAATGCCAGGCTTTCCGAGCATTTGTGCTTCATTTTCGACCTCATCTAACCATTGGGACAGTTCTATATGCGCTTCAAAGAAATGTATGGCCAAAGGCAGTGCTTGTTCTAAGGCATTCAGTCTGTCCTGACATAACTGCGAGACATGATTTGCCAATTCTCTCAAATCTTCAGCTTTGTCTCTGATTTCAATCAAATCTTCACCACTCGATTCCCGCAACAATTTTTTAGCGTTTGTAATGACATCTCGTACTCTTCCCTTTTGACTATTGATGTCATCATTCAATGCTTTAGTTTCCTTCAAAAGAATGGCCAACGCATCGGGATTCGGTGTAATTGGTTCGGCTTCAAGTAGTTGTTTTTCGGCGTCTCTAAACCAATCAAGCAGTTCATCGATGTCAACCAGTATTTGATTATTTCTTTGTTTTTCTATTTCAATGCGCTCTGCTTTACGTTGGATTTGTTCGCAAATGGCATCAAATCTTCTGGAGGCTCGAGTGACAAAGCCTTCAATAGTGGCGGCCCCCTGTCCTGGAGATATCTGTGACAATTGTGGTCCCAAATGATTCAATGTTTCCAATAAAGTTCTGTTGTCTGGAATTTCTTTCTCAAGTTTTGTAATTATCTTTTCTTGAGAACTCAGATTCAAAGAACCAATATTTTTGAGTTCTCTCTCTGCGTTGTCCATCCAAGCATTCAGATTGTTGTGAGCCTTATGAAAGTTTTGGCAAATGGGTAGCGACTCCTTTGCTTGCATTAGTTTTTCAGTAGCCTTATGTGTCAATTCACTAAATCTAGATTGCAATGAATCCAATTTTTCTTTGATGAAAATGGAGTCACCGCCTGACGAGTGCTTCATTATCTCTTGACCGGAGCGTACAATATCTGACACTTGTTTCTGATGGCTGTGAATCTCTTCGGACAATTCTGTCAGTTCATCGACTTGTTCTTTAAGTTTGTCTACAAATACACTGAGTACTCGATACCGGTTAAGACGTGACTCCATCTCCTGTATCCACGCGAGTATGTCCTCGAAACTCAAGACAAAGCTGCCCAACACTTCATGAGATTGACTCAATAGTTGTCCCAAAGCAATACTATCCTCAACTAATTTGGCGTATCTATCGGTTAGTCTTTGCAAACGCTCGACAACGTCTTGTGCTTCATCATCACCGATAAGACTCATAAGATTTTGAGCAATTTCTGTTAATTCCTCAAAGTCTCGTTTATGACCAATAATATCACGATGTAGCGATTCGTGTTCTTGAATACGTTTACGGATGCGATTTTGGTCAGTAGGTATTTGGGTTGACAGTTGAGCCAACTTTCTTTCTGACGACTCGAGCCAATCACCCAATGGACCAATTCTCTCGGCAAAGGCGCGAGCGATGGGAAGTGTTTGCTCAAGAGATGCCATTCTGTCATTACAGGCCGATAACAATGCATCAAATCTTCGTGTGATTTCATGCATCTGTTTCTCGATGGGCGCCCTTTCATGAGAATCCATACTTTGGATAAGAGTTTTAGCTGAAGAAAGCAATGATCTAACACTGGTTTCTTTATCGGTGATCAACTTCTTAAACAATTTTTGCTCTTGAAGCTGAGCCTTTACAACCTGATAGTCGGCCGAAATTGGCTTTTGGTTGGCCATCTCCTCCTCCGTATCGGACAGCCATCTAAGAGTTGCAGTCAATTGGTCCTGAAATGGTTTACAATTATTAATAAGCTTTCAAAAAGAAAAGCAATTTAAGCGCAAGCATTGCAGACAAGAAATGCATAGCTTTTATGGCAGTATTTTCATTGCAATCGCAAAGCGTTTCATAAAATTATTGACAAAACAAAATGCAAAAAATGACAAAAATAACAAAAAATTGTTTAATTTAATTATATTAATGTTAGGCTTATTTTGCGTTAGCATTTGACGACCCGCCACAACACCAATAAAATATTGTTAATAAATTGTTTGTTAATTTTTTTCAGAAATTATAGTTTTTTATGCCAAACAAAACAAAACAAATTTGAGATGAAAAACAAATGAATAGCAGATTATTATTATGGCTCCAAATATACTTTTCTGGAAACAAACATCCGATTTGTTCTCACCTCTAAGTTCTGCAAATCGGATGGAAATAATGTCGTCGAAGTACTTATCTCTCGCTGACGGCTCACTTCAGTCTGTGATTTGGTCGAAGCTGTTGTCCTCTTCTCTGGTTCAGTCATAGAGTCGGTTTGAATTGTTTTACTTTCACTTGTTTTTTGTTTGACAAGAGGTTGTGCGGCCACTGATTGTGTCGCGTGCACCGGTACGCCCACAACAGTTAAAAGACCCCGAGTTAGGGCTTCCGTAATGGGCAACACTTTATTAGCTTTGGCATCAATTATTAAGTTTTCTGTTTGTATATCAATCCTACCCTCTCTAATGGCATCGGCTGTTGTTTTAGTTTTCTCTTCAATACTATCATATATAACAGCATCTAAATCAATGACACCTTTGCTAACCAACTCATCAAAAGATATTAATTGTTTAGTTTCTGGTTCTCTCCATTTATTAGTATTACTATCATAAAGATTGTTGAATGCACTGAAAATTGTATATTTATCACCCGTTTGTGTCGACATTTCAACTGCTTGTGACCTTTTAACTAAAGGTTCAGTAATTTTCAACGGTTCTCCTGTTGTTGGAGAAGTAACTGTTCCCGCAGTAACACTTACTGTAGCCATTTTGGTGGCGTCAGCCATAGATTGAACAGCACTGGATGTTCTCATAGTTACTTCACCGGTGGATGTGATAACTGTCTCAACTGTTGTGTGAACTACTTGTGCGGCGCCTTTTGAATCAATCGTAACAACAGTGCTCTTAGGAATGGTATCACCGAAGGGTAAATCTTTTGATTTAATCAATTGTTTATCATTTTGTTCTCCCATTTGTAAAATCATATCTTTTCCGGTTAATTCAGTTAATTCATTTGATTGACTTGTCTTCGCTGAAGAACTTTCTGTTAGTGTTTCTGCCAATTGTTTAGAAATATCTGTGACTGGTTTTTGAGTGACTGTAATATATTGTTTATCTGTTGGTAATTCAGTAGTTTTGACTTCATCTATGAATCCTTTTTCAATGGCAGTATTAATTGGCATCACTTCTTTAGTTATAGGGTGAGTAAACTCTTGCGATTCTTTATTTAGAAAACCACTTTTTAAAGCGGCTGTATATGAAAAGGCTAATTCTGGAACAGAAGATGATTTCGGTTTACTCGACTCTTTGAATGCCACAGTTGGTAGTCTTAAGTAATTAGTTTTGATGGCCTCTACTATTGATAACTTACGATCACTAACAGTGGTCACATCACCCGTTACTGAATCTATTATTCCCTTATTTATTGCTTCCTCTAAAGTAATTGATTTTTTAGTTTTTGGATCCATTAATTTACTATTTTTGTCGACTATATCATTGGCAATGGCTTGAGATAAAGTTAAGAGTTGACCCGTTTCTGGATGTATTAATAGGCGTTCTTTTGGATTATAGAGACCTTTTTGAATAAGTGAAGGAAGAGATAGCGAGCGTTTTAATGGATAAATTAGTTGTTTGGTGTCGACATCAATAAGTCCCAAATGTAATGCTTTTCTTATAGATACAGACTGTCCACTTTGTGGCTCAATAATTGATCCCTTATCGCCGTCGATGACATTTTCAATGATAGCTCTATCCAATGGCATTGTTTGAGTTACCGATTTAATGATATTAGCCGTTTCTCTATCGATTAATTGTTCTTCTAATGCAGTATTAAGTGATAATTTTCTTTGCGCTACCTTTTCAATAGCAGTTACTCTTTCAAAAGATTGTATATCCTGTGGGCCACTCAATGACAACTCAAAATGCGACTCTTCATCACTAACTCTACTCTTTGGTGATCTCAAACCAGATGGTGATTGGGTAGGACTCGAATGCGCTGAGGATGAAGAATTTGATTTCGATAGACTACTAGAGCGCAAAATTTTAGTACTAGTTTGAGGTTTTTCTATAGTAGTAATATATTTGCCATTTATGGCCGACTCTACGGTTTCAGTAGTGGTCACCACATTGTCTATTATTTGCCGTTTTTCTAAACATTTTGCTGTCTCTGAATCAATGAGACCTTTTTCAACAGCAATATTTAGAGGTAAAGATTCACCGGTTATTGGATCAGAAATTGTCACTTCTTTAAGTGTCACCTCTCTATGTCCATCAACTTCATCATCGAGTGCTTTAAGATCATTAGCAGTTTGACTGTCAATTAGACCTAACTTTATTGCTTCATCTAATGGCACTTCTCGTTGTGTTTTTGGGTCTTTAATAAATAGTTCTTTAGATTTAATTGTCTGAACCGTTTCGCGAATCAATTTCTTATTAGTTATCGGGGATTCTGAACGAATGTCACGAATAGTAACAATTTCTATTGGTTTTTCTTCAGAGATGGTAACAGATTTCCTAACAGGAGCTATACTATCGGATGTATACGTTGATGATAATGTATGCGCCAATGCTATAGGACTCGTGGCTAGTGCTAGTAGTCCTCGTTTAGACATTTCAGCGATTGATAATTTTTCATCACCTTTTTGAGCAACTATTAGTCCCGTCTCCTTATCTATAATTCCCCTTTTAATTGCTAAATCATATGTTACACTTTCATCACTATCAGAATATGAAACCATTGACTCAACATTTTGGGAATCAGTTATAAGTGATTCTTTATGTGCACTACTTTTGGTTAATTTATCACTTATATCACTGTCTGATCTGATGTTTGGATCAGAAGGTAAAGACTTTGTTTTAGATATGTAAACACTTTCCCTACTTTTCTCACTTTCTTTTGAATCATTTCTTTTAGATTTATATGATTTTTTCGTTTCCCTTTCTTCATAAGTTGATGAACTAAATTCAGATTTAGTGACAATATCTTTGGAATAAGATTTCATGGATTGTTTCATTGATTGCGACATTGATTGTGACATTGAAGACGACATCTCACTAAACACAACTCCTTTTTCGGGAGAAGTCCTTCGAGAAGATTTTGCTTTTGGGCGAACTGGTGAGTGAGTGGGAGAACTACTGGATCCACTATAACTCATCCTTTCTGGAGATGAATCTGACTTATCACTGGTCGGAATGCTATTAGAGCTACTGTTCAATACAACAGTTGTGTGTTTGGTTGGAGAACGGGATCTAATATCAAAACGCGACTCAACTTTATTAGAGAGTCTCTTAGATTTCATACTTTCTCTGACGATATCAGAGGCAGACTTTGCCTTTTTAGGAGAGGGTGGGGACGAACTTCTGCTCGTACTTCGAGCACTGGCTTCGGGTTTGTCTGTTATCTCATCCGTCTCTGTTGATTCACTTTTCTGTCTCCGGGAACTCTTTATCTCAGAAAAAGTTAAGGTCTGAGTCCCTAATTTATTAACATTTGAATCAATTACACCAACAGCTGAATCCTCGTCAACATTGGATACTAATTCTTTCAAATTTTGCTTAATATTTACAGACTCTGTGTCACCGGTTTTAAGGACAAGAGTTGATGTAGTTTTGCATGTTTTGGCATTCATTTCATACTCTATTTTATTGTGATTAAAGTCATTTGTTTGACTAATAATTGGTTTATCTGTTTGTTGGTTAGACATAGTTAATGAAGTAGTAGTGGTAGTAGTAGTAGTAGTAGTTGTATTGATATCATTATTAAAGTCCATTTGGTTAGATGTTTGGTTAACAACGGCTATTCCCAAGTCATTATGATATGTCTTGAATGACAATATGTTGGTTAGCTATAAGACAATTGGTTTGAAAGTGGTTTCGAGTAAAAGAAAGAGAGAAGAAATTTGTTTTAAGAATTTATTTTTAGAAGAAATAAAGAAATTAGAAAAAGTGTTAAAAAATTCTGTCTTTAAAATCCGTTAACTATTATACAAATACCTTAATTAATAAAAGTAATAAAAATAATTAACTGTAAGACAATAAAAACATATCATTTCATGCAATTATCTGTTTTTATAAATAATTAAAAATCAGTTATATTAATATGTTATAATATTTTGTAAGTGTTTTTCAAATGAATCATATGTTGTATATTCAATGCTATTTCATAATATTGTTATTTTATGAAACATTAATTTAAACCATAAAAACAAAAACGCTGCAATACACTGTACTGTATAATAACTTTATGCAATAAAACAATGACAATCATAATATCAAATCTATGTTATATCTAAATAATATCATAAACATAACAATTCTTTATAAATCATAAAACAATTAAATAGTTTCAGTTCAAAAATAATAATTAATAATAATAAATATCAAACTATATATACCGTATACATATATTAATAAATAAATTGCTTAAGTTTTATATAATGTATAAAAAACGCAAGCATTAATAATATAAAAATTAGAAACAATCAAAATACACAATACATACTAAAAACTAATAGTCGCATGCCTTGCAATATAACAAAAATCAATTAAAACAATTATTTAACAATTAAATAAACTATAATCTAATAATATATGTGTCAATCTAAAACCTCTATCGATTAAAGTATTATAATTTTTTTTTTAAACTTACTTTAATTTCTTGAAGTTGTTTATTGAGAAGTCTTTGCATATTTTCCAATAGTTCTTTATAGTCACTATTCAATTGATCCAACTCTTGGATAACAATATCAGCGCCAGGAGTACGACGAGATCTCTTGGCACTGGCATCGAGACTAGGATGAGAGTCCTCCAGATTCTCTCTATAGCTCTTAATTTTCAAATCATGAATTTTGGCCTCACGTATGAATCGGGCGCCGGAAGCGTTCGTATCCTCTATTGATGGCTTTCTTTCGACTAATTGTTCATTTAATCTCTGAAATATAACATAAAAATTATTATACAATCATATTTTACATAAGTATTTGTAGTCAATTGTGTCGTACAATGGCTGACTCCTGATCGGGTCGTGTTAATAGTGTATTAACTTTGGCAGCAATTTGGCTGATCCACGATCTTTCGCTGTCCATTCTCTTCTTGTACTGACGCAATAGATCAGCGCAGGCCTCCAACAATCGTAATCTTAAATAAATTTAGTTTTATTAAAATTATTTTTTAATTAAATAAAATTAGTCCTACCTTTCAATCAAAGTCTCGCCGCAGTTATCCAAACGTTTGATAAGATTTTTGACGTCATCTTCAAGTCGATTGACATCGGAATGAGTGAAAGTCTTAGATCGGGTTCGTTCAACAATTCGTCTAACTTTAGTTATACTAACAGTCAACTCTTCAAATGTAGATTTATTTCTTTGAATGTCATTCTGTGTGTCAATGAGTTCATTGTGCGCTCGTCTGAGAGCCACTTCATCGGCCGGCATATCATCGCCTGAAGCCAATTGTATTTCGGCTTTTGTTATCACTTGAGATGCTTTCTCTAAATCGAAAAGAACAGTCTCGACAGTCTTGAGACGTTCGATGTAGAGCTGAGACAAATTCCAAATACTGTTCCACTTTTCAAGAATTTCGTCGTAATTCCGCTGAACAGTCGGTGACTTTTGAGGAATGTTCTGAAACAACTCCTTACATCTCTGTACTTCAGACTCATATGATTTTGTGTCGATTTCCCATTCTTTATGTTCAACAACCAGCTGTTCCAATGACTCACGATTTCTGGGAATAGGATTCTGACAGCGCTGAACCAAAATTCTCTCTTTTTCTAATAGTTTTTCCAATAAATTAGACGCCGCATCTGTATATTTCTTAGTAAGTGTCGAATTAGATTTTTCTTCCTCTTCAGCACGTCTTCTAGCATCAAATTCGGCAAACTTTTTCCTCAAAGCGTCCATCTCGTCACGTAAGCGTTGATTTCCCGGATCATCTGATGGTCCCTCCCGACAGATTTTGTCGATGTCATCATCAAGAGCTCTAAGAATAGAATCACGTTGGTGTGGATCCATTGCACAATATGTAGGATAATCCCAACCCTTGACTATCTTCAAAGTAGCAAAAATCATGTTTTGTCTGAGTTTGTGCTGTTTTCTCGCCCAAAGAGCTACTAAAGCTTCATATCTTTTTCTCAAATCATTGGCAGTATCAATGGCCTCTTGATCTGGTGGTGGGATCACAAAGCAAACACCGGGAACATTGAGTTCGGCACCGGTTGAGGTAGTGATTCGCCATTTGGACAGTCTTGAGTTGTCGTGAAGAGTAACCGATTCGTTTTTAGTAATTGTTTTGTTGTCCTGTTTGATCAGACAAACAGATCGTACTTTTACAGGTCGCGGAAGTGCTGCACGTCGTTGTTTGAGTGGATGCACATCTTTACTCTTGGAGACTAAATCGTTGACAACTGAGCCAAAACGGGTGATGTCTTCTTTAAGTCGATTCATTTCTTTAAGCAGTTGCTCTCCTTCTTCGAGTGAAAAGTTTTGTTTGCTATAAGTGGTGTTCAATTTGTCTTCAGTTTTAGCCAACCATTGATCACAATCTCGGGCTTCATTGAAGAATTGATGATAATCACCTGCATTTTTGGAATGTACTTCAAGACAATTGATGAGCTGCAGAAGCCATGACCATTGAGATTGCATACGTGCCATAAGGCCTTCAATGCATTTGGTTGCGGGATGTCGTTGTCTGATAAGGCTTTCTCCCCGTTCTTGAACTATATTAAATTGATGCTCCCGTCTCTCCATATCACTAATTAGCTGCCGGTGTTGTTGTTCTACTTCAACTAAATTAAGAGTCTTTGAGCTCCAATCTCGTGATACTTCGACATCTTCTTTGTCAGTCAACCATTTGAGTTCATTAGAGGCCGACTGAACAAAGTCGAGCAAAGTGTCCAAATCACTCAATCGTTTATTAGAAAAGACAATAAGTTCTGAAAATCCTTTATTAAGTCTATTCAACATTCGACAATAAACTTCATACTCTTCGCCTTTAAATTCCAGCTTATTTCTGTCGCATTGGTCTACTTTACTCTGGAACTGTTCAATTGATCGATGCTCAACCTTTTGCTGATCTAAATTATCTTTAACTGATGACAAGTCGTGACCATATTCTAGACTTTCAAGTTTCTTGTGTTTCTCCTGAACCCATAATATACATTCGTGAATAAATCTGAAAGAGTGATATTTAGCAATCAATTCTTCTTCAGTCAAAGGTTTTTTAAGTGCTTCGGCGCGTCTTTGAGCTAATAGTTCGACAACTCGAGTCTGAAATTCAAGTTTCATATCAGACCATCTCTGATGAAGTTGTTGGACACGATTGTGAAGTTCAGTTGCCTTATGATAGCGACCTTCACGTAGAGACTGTACGTCTTTAAACATACTCTGAATGCGTTCGCCTTCATCTCTGAGTTCGGCCTCTATTTTATCGATATTGAACTTTGTGTCCAAAGGATGTAAACGTTGAACTCTTTTCTCTTCTTCAACAATTTGTCTCTCGATGTCATCCAATTTGATATCACACTGTTTGATGTCTCGCAACAATTTTTCGGCCAAACGGTGTAATCGTTCGAGACGTTGGATCTCTTCATTGATTGCGTGATCCCTTTCCGAGTGAGCGGTTATCACTTTATTCCACTGATGTTCAATATTTTCGATCTTATATTCTTCTTCAATGCGGTGATGACCACCCGGTAAAGCTCTCACCATTTTAATGATATCTTTGTAAGAACTGGCCAATCGTTGTTTGTCATGAAGTTTTGGTGGTATTTCTTCAGTTCGGAACCGATTGTTATCCTGTTGTAAAACTTTCATTTCTTGCAAAGTGTTTGGAAAATTTTTCTCTCTTAGTCTGACAATGCTTTCCCGCATCCAAACACAGAGACGACTCGCCAAATCCTTATATTCGTCAATACGTCGGATTCGCTCGAGATCTAGAAGTGGGTTGTGTTCGGGTGGTTCGGGGAACAGTTCGTACAACGAAGATATATATGTTATCAAAGACTTTTCGTCCGGATGAGGAGTGTCCACATCTTCGGGATCCAAGAGACGAGTGACTCCGAGATCTTTATCAGCGACATGGAATGCATTCTCCAGGTTTTCGCGGGCAGTGCGACCACGACAGGAACGGTAGTCAAGCAAATCAGGCCTAATATTGTATAATTAATGTTAATTATTTCATTAATTTATAAAAACCAATGTCAGAACCTATTGCGATGAAGAATTGCATTAAAGGCGAGTCCATCCCTCCAGCTTTGAGTGAAGTCTTTAACATTAACTCCGGGATAGCCTTCTGTTGTCTTTTGAGCCCATCTGAGAAGCGCTTCTTTAAACGATTGGGTGTCGTCGTGTAACACAATATCAGATAACTATTTTGTGGATCAAAATCGTTAAAAATTTCAAATTTACATAAAATAATTCAGGTAAATAAAATAAAAAATATTATAAGTCAATCAATTAATTTGCAAATAAAATGAGAAACTATAATGAAAACCATTAAAAATAAAAATAAATTTAATACCAAATTGTATGCGACAAACAATTGTCACAATTGGATAAACACAAAACAAATAAAAAACATTAACTACAATAATGTTATGCATAAATATTTATAACAATTACTGTATACTTAATTTGGCAAAAATTTCAATTAAATGGGAGATTAATGTAAATACAATTATGACATATTTTCCCTATAAATCTATTGTATCAAAATGAGAGAAACAAAATTGTATTTTAGATATTCATTCATATAATTTCATTAGTGAATAATTTTGTGTTAATTATCATATATTTGATACCGAAATCGGAAAAGAGTTTAACACAAGATTTCAAATCAGATTTTTGTTCTCATAATCATTAATATCATTGAATACTACACTAAATGAGTGGGAGTATGGTTTGAGATGACATTAATTGCCTATTTTAGTAATTTTTATGTCCAAAATGATTGATCTAATGTGTGTCCATATATCACATACCGGTTGCTTTTGTTCTCCGCGCGTAACTGTTGTAGACTTACGGACCACTCTTTGAGTGTGAATAGTCTTCAAACCATTTCTGTTTCGAGAACTGGTGAATGTCTCGCGAGACTCCTGACTGGCCGAAGCCATATGAGTCTTGGTCTGTAAGTCCATACATTCCCTTTCAGATCTTTCATCAGCTATTAGCTGTCTTTCGCTGCCATCGTGTATATTATCGACATCATCCTTATCCCGACTGCCCCTTAGGAACAATCGGTTTCCTTTAATAAAGGAGTACATCACTGACACTACTTATTTACAGTTTAAACTTTTAGATGACTTTAAACTTAATGGCACTTCAACTCATTAATATATATATAACTTTTTTGTTTATATAATTATTATTATTACTATAGCTATTGTTTGTTTTATAGCTATCACTGATTTTTTTAGTGAACAGAGTCTTCAATGGATGTGTTTAGACACGAATCCAAACATTGTCAGCATTGAAATGAAAATTGAAATTTTCAAATCAAATGAGTATTTTGTGAAAACCTGTCACGAAATCTCATTAAACCAATAGTTATAAAAACTGATCCAAAAGGTGTCCGCCTCTTCAACAACAGCGCGCACAGGTATCCTCTCAATTAAAGCACTGTTATGTGTTGTAACTTGCAGTGGGAAAGGTATGAATAGCTATATAGTGAAAGCCAAGACACGTTTAAACGTGTCTACAATATATAAAACACAAATGTACTCCTTATAAGTTGGTTAGAGGTTGTTGTTGTAATCAAATTTGAAGTTTACTTAATATCTCAATAGTAAACAATATTTTTTAAAACCCACTAATTTTTTAGTCAAACATTGCATTTAACAATACTTTGTAATGTGACGGCTCTCACACATACAGAATATTCTCCACCCATTGCTGTGCCGTATATTTTGAGACCAAATAAGGAATTGATTCCTCAATACGTTTATTAATATTATTTGTGAAAAACCTTGCATATAGTTTTGAGTGGGCATTCAATATAACTATATTTGTGTCAAAGGTTTGACTAATAATATTATTATACATTTATAAAAATTATATGAATGAATGAGAGATTTCCAAACAAATTATATTAATATTTGGGACAATCCTTGAAACTGTGTTTACAATTAATACAATTAAATATACTTTTTATATGTATATCATGTTATATATATACTTTTGTATAGATAAAAACAAGTATATAAAAACGTAAATATGTTTTTATGTACACAAATGAGTTGTCAGTTTAGAAATAAAACACCATATTATAAATATACTTTTAAAAAACAATTATTTCAATAAATAGTGGTATATTAATAATTCATTTCAGTATATTTTCAATATATAAATAAATATATTGTATAGTAAATTGATATAAATATATAATAAAACAAATAAAAAATGAATTGATAAAATCACACAATAATTTGTTACTAAAAAATCAATTCAATACTTTTTAAATCATTTGAGGCTAAAGTGATATCCACTCAGTTATGAGTGGCATTCGATAGGAAAGGTATGTCTAGCGACTGAATTATGGTTAAAAACTGGTAGAAATAGTTATAATGTAAATGGCTTTTGCCTTAACAGGTATTTTGGGTTTGAGAGTAGCATTAATAGCAATAAATTTAATGATATTATGATTTATAATATTGTTCGCTATCGACATCTCTATGACGAAAATCAAGTTCCCCGAAGACTCTCCAATTTTGTTGCCCTTTCTAATTCATACCAAACCCTTACCCATACCATACCCATACATACCCCTATACTATACTATATATATATATATATATTGCATAACTTAACCCGACTATCAAGTTTGCCACCAATATATGAAAAGATAGGATCGTCTTATCTCTGTAGGCAAAGTGACTAAACATCGATATGCATACATAGGCTGTATTAATATACACTGTAAATAAGCTGTGTTTATATAATACACTAAATTAATTAATTATATCATGAAAATACTAAAGTCTAATGAATGCTTTAAAACTTTATTTAATTTTGTTGCTATTTTAATGGTTTTCATTTATAATTTTTATTTGCAATGAATAAATGAAAATATTGTGAATACATTTTTTCGCTTTAATTATAAAATTACTGAACAAAAGATCCGGTCTAACCTGAAAATGCAATATTATTGTCCAAATAAGGCCTAACGTTAGCTTTGGATTTCCATCCACGATATCATCAGCTCTGATGTTAACCAGTTTTATCTATAATTTTATTATTATATAATAAAAATGTATAGAAAAAAATATTAAAACATTATTTTTATTAAAAACATAATAATAGCATGCAATTTGGTAAATATCACGAAACCATTCAATAATTAATAATCGGATAATTTTTTGAGTATTTAATTAAATAATATTTAACTTAAAACTTATTTCTCAAACCTTTCTCCGTTTAAGGAAATCAAGACATATTTGAATGTTTTGTAACATATGAACCCTCATACGCCCCCTTTCACGAGACTACACATTATAACAGATATTAGTATTGATATCAACATAAATCACCTCTCAATTAGTCAACACCTGTATGCAAATCCATTGATACAAGTGTTAAGCAATTGAGTTGAGTTCAATTACTTACCAATATTTCTCCCGATAACACCTCCAGCAATGATATAAGATTGTGTCCATCACGAAGATCCTCAAATAAATCTACCACTCCTTTGGTAACCTATTATTTCAATTAATTAACAATAAAAACAAATCAAATCAATTATAGATTTCCAATATTTATTACTTTATATTAAATACAATAACTTATATTTCTTGCAAAATAATTACAATAACTTTCAAATCAACAAAAAATACACTATTTTCATACATTATTATAAATATATAATATAAAACATGTAATACTGTATTATACAAAAATATAAAAATAAATAATCATTATTAAATAATCATTCCTATAAGAAATTACTAATAACAATGAAAGAATATTTAATATGATTATAAATATTAATTAATAATAATATAATTAAATCATGTAAATGTGGTAAAAATATTCAACATAAAATATTATTATTATTAAAAATATTGCATTTTAGAAAATTTATCCAATATTTATTTATAGACCATTTCAATGATTTCTAATGTGACTGTTAATTTTCTAAACATATTTATTATTATAACTTAATAAATTATTATTTTTATTCATATAAATTTTATTAATTAACGTACAGTTACTATTGTAAATATAATTATCAGTTTACGTATATTTAATTATAATATAATAGTTTATTTTAAAAAATAATTGTATATATAGAAATTAAATATATATAAATTGTTATTATTAATTAATTAATTTAAATGCGATAAAAATGTATGAAACAAAACAAGTTATTAACACTATGTGAGAAAAAGTCATTTTCAAAATAGTTTTTGTAAATACAGTAACTTATATGTGAGTGAAATTGTAACCAAAATATTTTTATTGTAACTTATTTACATTTTAACTTATGTTTCCAATAGATTGTTACAATAATTTGGATTTATATGGGAACCGGTATAATATTTCAGACAAATTTGATATCTCAGAAATTCAAAGAGATTCAAATTCTGTAAAATTTTAATAAATTAAAAATAATTAAACAATTGTTTTGTCACTTTAAATTACAGTTTATTAAATAGTTTTACAATGATTTGACCTTGATTATTAAAAATTAAAATCTTATAAAAAATAGAAACTAGAATGTCAAACTAAATAATGAAATTTTAATTTAAATTAATTCTATTTTACAAATAAAATATTTTATCTATTTAATAAAATTTGCTAGCTTATATGATTTTCCACATAATAACTATTTATTTATAAATCTTAAATATTTATTAATCATAATATCTATAAGTAACTAATTATATAATGAAAAATATTACTTTTGTTAATTTCTCAATAAGCTATCAAATTATACCAAATAAATTAAATAATCTGTAATATTAAATTAATTTAAATTAAGGCATAACATTCATTTTCTATCTAATTTTATAGAATGTTATTAAATTTTTAATAATCAAGGTCGTATTATTCGAAAACAATTTAATATGATTAAAAAATATATATATAAACATGTAAAAAATTATTTGTTAAATAATATAATTTAAAATTTACAAAATTTAACTATCTTAAATATCATTACCTCATTGAGCTAACATATAGGTAGGTAGACATATAAAATCAAAATTTAAAGACAAAATATAATTATTTCTATATTATAGAAAAACTAAATCTCAAAAAACGAGTCTCACCTATTTTGAAAATGATCTTTACTGAGTCTACATATCTCCCAAATAAAAACATTATTTTCTAAATATTGTCTAATATTTTAGTAAACATATGGTGACAGCGATAATAATTAGTATTATAGTAGTATATACTTGCAATAAAACAACAATTTTAACTTAATAAAGATATAATTAAACTATAAAAGTAATTTAATGATTTCATATTGGACAAAATATAGAAACGCGCGTGAAAACAATTAATAACTTACTTCATTACACTCAGTGAAACAGTTATCATTGCAAACGTGTAAACACGTGTAAGTCTATAGTATAGAGATGACAGTGAAAGCAAAAGTAAGGATTTAATGTTAATTTAAAAGTAGTTGAAATTGTGTCAAATATACCTCAGTATAGATCCAATGCTATTATGTTAATGGAAGCAGTTTAACAAATAAGATAATTATTTAGTTTATAGTATATAAATTTGTATCAATAAATCATATTTAAAAATTTACAGTTAGATTCTAAAATATGTTAAATATTTGCATAACAAGTAAATTAGTTTAGTTTTATTTAAATTTTATGTTTTATTTTGGCATATGTATAATGAATAAATTATTTCACTCTATAAAATAACTTTTAAAATATATTTCATCTAATGTTACAAGATTTGTGATTATTTTATAAACAATATAAATTTTATTAAGATTTTATAAATATATTAAAAAATAATTATCTGTTTGGTAACAAATAAAATAATTATAATGAAATCATACCTTAATTAGATGTTTGTTAACCCATTTTGTGAACGTTTTCTTCTGTATGGCATCCCTTTCATCTGAAATTTTCATAATTAACAATTCATCATCAATTGTATCATTTCCTTCAATATAGGGGTACATCACTGCCAGTAATTATTTATGGTATAAACTTTTAAATGACTTTAAATTTAATGACACTTTAACTTTATATATTTTTATATTTTTTGTTTGTTTATATTAATAATAATAATATTATTATTATAGCTATTGTTTGTATTATAGCTATCACTGATTTTTTTAGTGAACAGAGTCTCAATGGATGTGTTTAGACACGAATCCAAACATTGTGAGCATTGAAATGATAATTGAAATTTTTAAATCAAATGAATATTTTGTGAAAACCTGTCACGAAATCTCATTAAAGCAATAGTCATATAAACTGATCCAAAAGGTGTCCGTTTCTTAACTATTTCGCGCACAGATATCCTTTCGTTTAAAGCACTGTTAGGTATTGCAGTCATAAAGTTATGAATAGGTATTTAGTGAAAGTTAAGACACGTTTAAACGTGTCTACAATATATATAACGCAAATGTACTCCTTATAAGTTGGTTAGAGGTTGTTGTTGTAATCAAATTTGAAGTTTACTTAATAACGCAATAGTAAACAATATTTTTAAAAACCTACAAATATTTTTAGTCAAACATTGAATTTAACAATACTTTGTAATGTGACGGCTCTCACACAAACTCAATATTTTCCACCCATTGCTGTGCTGTATATTTTGAGACCAAATAAGGAATTAATTCCTCAATACGTTTATTAATAATATTTGATAAAACCTTGCTTACAATTTTGAGTGGGCTTTCAATATAACTATATTTTTGTCAAAGGTTTGACTAATTATACGATTATAAAAAAATTAATGAATGAATAAAAATTTGGACTAATCCTTGAAAATATAACTTTTAAATCTTGATATAATGACAAAATTAATACTTAAATAAAAGCATCTGGTGAAAGATATATTTTTAAAATAGTTTATATATTATTTATAGATTACAAAATTAGAAATTAAATAATTATCATTTATGAACAATATTTTATATATATATTAATTTAAATAATTATGATAATTATAATAAAAAATAATTAATCTATATTAGGAGCCGTTCACATATTATGTTTGTACTTTTTAAGAAATCTAGACCCCTCCCTCCCCCATGTTCGCTATTATTCGTAGTCATTTTAAAAAATTACATTCACATATCCCTAACCGCTAACCACTAAGAATATTATCCAAATGCAAACATTCTTAAAATCTCTACCCCTCCCCTCCCCCTCATTCGCAAAAGTCCGCTTTGGCTGACCCCCTCCCTTCAAGTGTAAACGTAATATGTTAATCACCCCTTATTGATTATTAAATTTAAATAATCATTGTTTTAATTTTATTATGTAAATCATATAAATATTAATTATTTTAAAAGTGTCAACATATGTTTTTTGTTTTTTAGTAAATGTTACAAATGTTTCTATATATAAAAAACAATATAAATAAATAATTTAAACTTTGTTTCAACTTAAAAAAAATTGTTAAATGAAATCTGTGTGTCTGTCCATAAAATTTAATTTTGGTAATATTAAAATTGTTAATTCAAAAAATTATTTCATTGACTAATTTATTCTAGCTAAATATAGAATGTATTGAATCAAATTATTTTACTAAAGACCAAGGAACTTTTTAGAATTTTCAAATATTTTTTGTTGTATTGAAATTACATTATTTTTTGTAAATAAACTTTTTAAAAATATTTTCACTAAACTTCTTACACTACTTTTGTTATCAATTTTATACATATAATATCATAAAATAAATTAAAGTATTAAACAAATGGGCAATAAATGTGTGTTTGTAACCAAACAACAAGTAATACCTATGAAAAAACAGACAAACTTTAAAACACTGGAAGAGTTACTATCGACATCTCTGTGCCGGCAAATCAAGTCTTATGAGTTGTTTTGCATCACTTTCCTCATATGGACTCAACAAAAGTCAATATCCCTTTCTTTTAAAATGTTAACAACTTTTCATATTTGTTATGAGATTTTTAAGTTTGCCTTCAAATACTTGCCATATGTGCTAAACATATTGTAGGCCTTATTGTTCATCAATTATAGTATTATAACAACTGTGTGCCACAAATACAGTTGAATTAGTCAACAGATGTTCAAACGGCTCATTACTGACCAAACTATTGACTGTTATATGCATTTAGTTTAGTAAATAATATATAATATAATCTAATATAATCATAATATTCATTCATTTTATTCAAATGACTATCATTTATAAAACCCTTTTAAATCATAAAATACTTATATATTTACTCTACTTAACAGTTAAATACTCTATGTATTAGTCAATATCCGGCTTAACAAAGTATAGTTAATATTAAATTATTGACTAAAAGTTATACAAAACAATATTTTTTAAAATTCAATTATTAATTAACAAACCGATAACCAAATAAATTAAACACTTGACCATCATTTAAATGATTGCTTTTTTATATTAAAAAACAAATTAATTGTTATATTAATTAATTTCAAATGTCAATATATTTATCATACCATATATTACTATATAAGTCAAATAATGAATCATAACAATAAAGTGATAATAATTTTATCAACATTTTAAATAGTCATTAAATAGAAAATATATGATATATAGGGTATTATATTAAGTTAAATTAATACTCTAAATTCATATTTGATTTATTGTCTATTTTTTGAAAAATAAAAACTAAAGATAATTGAATAAATGCAATAAATAACAGACAAATTGAATAAATAAATAAATTATTAAAAATGATAAATACCTTCAATAGTATTAAGCATTTGTAGTTTATATATGGGTTCATATGTTTGATGATTGACATCATTCACATCATTCACATCATTGGTATTTATGTCTGTATTAACTGTTTTAGAGTTTACGTGATTCAAGAACTTCCACATCAGTCGACACTCTATTATATTATATATTTAGTGACAATAATTATATTGTGATACTTATGGCAACAGTAATAACAATAACATTACCCGACTTACTGTTGTTGCTCTCCATTAAGTCAAAAAAGTTATACAATATATTAGACTTTAAACCAATTCACTCATTCATTGCTATTATTTAAATGACATTTATTTAATTGCTTATCAAAATCATTATTAAACAAATAATACTACATTTCATACAAACTTTATTATAGTTTATATCATAAAATAAATTGTCTATAATCTGTCAAAATATTATTATAAAAACACGTATCTCAACATAAAATACGTCAAACATTTTACCCCTAAAACTGCAAATATAATAAATCAAATTATATAAATTTATTTAAAATTATCATCATAATTTATTAATTTTTAAAATATTTATACTTGTTTAATTTAATAGTATAATGATTAAAAGCTAATTTTTAAATATTTTTATTAATAAAGTGAATAAGTTAAATGAATAATTATAATTTAAATAATGATTATATAATTTAATATAAGAATTTAAAATTACAAAAATGCAATGTTTTAAAAGCTAAGTTATTTGTGTTATTTTTTTTAATACATAAACTTATTTATATAAAATTGTTTGGATATATCGATAACATACTGTATATAAATATAATATTTACTGTGCGATAACCTTTTTGTTTGAGCAAAAATGTATTTAAAATATGTTAACAATATTAGTGTCGAGTCATGAATTTGAATAAATAACCAGTTGATAATGCTTGATAATGATAGCATTGCCAAAATAAAATTCTAGAAAGTATAAACTACGGTAATTAATATTCACAGCTTTTAAGGTAATGCTGTCAAAATTTACTTTACCATACGAAACCTATCATCGCTATTATTTCTATATTAATTATATATATTTTTATTAATTTAATTTAATTTAATATTAATAAATAAAACCATAAAAATCTTTCTTCAGCTCACAATAATAACTTACAAACTAAGATATAGTTTATAATTACTGGTCCACACACTCACACTTATTTACAGACAGACAGACAGACAAATTTAATTAATGAATTGAAGTTCGTTGATAAAGTTAAATACGGTAACTATTTGCTTAATATACGCCATATATAAAAGTCAAGGATAATAAATATTTAAATATCACTTAATTTAAAACAATTTTAATTGTAAAACAAATGTATTGTTAGTAATTATAATATTACTAATGTTGTGTTTTATAAAACTCAATCAAACATTTGATATTATTTGATATAAAATGGTAAAGAAACGGCTCATTGGTTACTGAAATTGTAAATCAAATGAACTTTATTTATAAGGTATTAATAGTTACAACAATTATATTGTAATAATAATTTTGAGAAATTTGTTATTTATTTAATAATAAAATGTGGGAAAGTTTATGATAGACATAATAAAATCCGTTTCCAAGTGATTACCTATTGTGTAACTTTAATATACCGTAAAAATGTCCAAAATATGTAAGTTAATTAAATATCAAATTACAAGTTATTAAATGTTTTGACAATTACTTGTCATTTGAAATAACTGATCAAGGATACAATGCCTTAAAGGGTACTTATAATATAATATTGAGTAAAAATACTTTAAATTATTATATATTTATTATTATAAAATCCGATTCAATTGATTATTTATTTAATAAATTCATTTAATAAATTCATCAAATATTTAATGCATTAATAATAGATTTATTAATAGATTTTTTTAACTTTTAAAGTTTGCATTCTTGGTGTTGACTTTGTAAACATTCAATCAAATGTATTATTTAATGTGAAAACTTGTGTCAATAATAATTTACAACTTGTGAGATAAGATATTATACGATAAAAAACAGTGATTTGAAAATTAAACTAAAATATATTCTTTGAAAAACTGTTAAAATTCATTATTATTTAAATTATATTTTTTATAAATGTTTTTCCACTGCAGGATAATAAACAAAAATACTTAAAATTAGTTTTCACATAAAAAAATTTCGCAAAGATTTTTTTTAGATATTCATAAAACTAATCTGAATAACGTGTTTTGACTGTATTTAATATACGATAAGATTTATACTCAATTCCTGTTAAGTAATATTAAGCCTCAAATCTAAGCAATTTTTGATTTCATGTCATAAAACTTGAATATTATATCATTACTTTCACGAAATACTCTATTTTAAAGTTAAATATATTTCAAATAAAAAATAATTTTAGATAATAAATTGAAATTACTTAAAATTATCATATTATAGCATAAATTATTATTTAGTAATAATTACTATTACGATTATCACACGTATTAAATAATAGCAAAAATACAATCAATTTGTTCAATGATTTCAATGGCATTGAATTGGAGCAAAACATTTTGGTCTAAAATAAGGACAACATTTGATTATACGTTTAAAGATATTAGTGGTCGAGATATGGATAATTGGTATCAAATTTATAAATGAAAAGTCAATGAATTTTGAGTTCAATTGAAACGGTTATAGTCCGCAAACAACATATAAGACAAGGTCTAACCAGCAGGTGATTTGATATACCAGTGCTTACAAACAAACTCCAGTATAATATAGCAGCAAAACGTGCTTTCAGTGCATTTGAAAAATAGTTTCAAATTTTATGGCATTTTTTAGGAAAACACTTTCTTATTGCTTGTAATTAACATTTTGTTTGATTTTTATTCATTTTACTGGTATATAATAATAATAAAATATTGCTTTATTCATAATAATAACGATAAAAGCTTATTACCTATTCATTAGTTAACAACAACAATATAATAATTTATAATAAGTAAACTTTATTATTTAAACATAAAAGACAATTATGTAATATAAATATTTTATAGAACGTAAAAATCAGACAAAAGCACTAAAAATAATAATAATCTATAAATAAATGAATAAATATGTAATAATTAAACAAAAATTAAGAGCTCTTATATAAACATCTATAAAATTCAATGTCAAAATTATTAATATTATTGTAATTAATAGTAATATACTATATTCAATAGCAGGTGTTTATATTATATGTTGTTTTAGAAAATGATTTTTTCTAAGCATTATTTGATGAGAAGATATGTAATGAAATATTGAAATCAATTGAATAGAAGAAAAAACAACAAATAAAACCAAATTCAATAAAATTCTTCAAATATTTGAATTCGTGTCCATAATTAGTGTGTAAGTGTATTATAAACAAGATTTTAATTAAAAACAATACATTATCTAATAATATAATAATAAATAGTAAATTATAATTATTTAAGAAAAATATTGGTTTATTATTTAGACTCTAAGCGAAACCTTGTTAAAACTAAGCATAAAAATTGTTTTAAACTTTTTTGACATTACAATTGAATTGCGAGACAATCAGCAAAATAAATCTTTAATATAATTTTCATGTGTAACTAAATAATAATAGATTGGATTATTGGCAAAAAACAGTTATTATTGTAAAGTGTGTTATGTATTTAATTTGATTTTCTATAGATAACAACAATCATTACAATTAAAAAGTTGAATAAATAATAAAAATATAAAATACATTATATTTCCTTTAAATTAGAAATGCTTAAATTTTTCAAAAACTATACTTTTAAAAATATTTAATTTATATAACCAAATACAGTCAAATATTTATTAAATCTTTATTTAAGAAAATATTAGAAATAATTAATTTAGATGAAATCAAAATAAAGTGTAAAAACAAAGTCAATAAAAATGTTTAATAGTAAAGTACAATAACACTGATATCTTTACCAAAACTATGACTATAATTGATATATATATATATATATATATATATATATATATATATATATATATATATATATATTGTAGTTTATACACTAAAGCGATGACATTATACATAGATTTTAAAAATGTGTTTAGAAAATACAGACAAATAATGAAAAACATTAATAAACAAAAAACTTTTGCTTTCTTTAATCGCTTGAATGCATTTTTCTTTAATATTTTTGAAGAGTTTATATGTCTAACCTTTGAACGTACAGGAGTTGCCATTAGTATTACAGTAGTTTAAGTCATAAACCAATGATTGTGAATAAGAAAAACATTGAAATACAGACAGGAAAGCGAATAAAAGTTTACCCGACAATGACTCGGATAAAAATATTTCAAATCAAATACATTTAAATAAAGATAAGTAAAAGTTTGAAATACAGTATATCGAAAGTAAATATCATATATTATATGATTGTTTTTTTAAAGAAAAATCTCATAAATCATTGATTGAGAAGATCACGGCTGACTTTCATGATTTTCAGGGGACAGACATTTAATGCCAACATATTAAGTGTTAACTATTTTCATATATCAATACATCAATACATCACCACATTTCTTAACTTAGATTAATATGAGAATTCAATGTTAACAATATTACCACAATACCGGTACAATGCCAATGACTCAATAAATCTTAAAAATGTACTGTATTTAATACTTAAATAAATATCTACTAAAAATTATACTGTATATTATATATATATATTTAATATTAAATTTGAAATTATTTGTATATGAAATAAAGTACTTTTTATAATAAAATATTCATATTTATCACATTCAATGAAAATCTATTTCAAGTAATTTCTGTCAAACATTGTCATACATTATGAGATAACATAACAAATATAAAGAATCAAATCTATGCTTACAATTGCTTTAATGCTTTAATAAACAATAAAAAATCATTATTCTGTGTTTCTAAACAACACCCAAATTGTCTAATACTGTATATTGTCCTCTATATTGTAGATCATTGATAACTCTTTTATTATCACAAAAACAATATTCAATTATTGATAAACAACTCATAAATATCGGCAGATATGTCTAATATAATTGAAAACCTTGAATAAAAAAATATTCATTATATAAATAGAAAATATTATAATAAAAAAATTAAATAGTTATAAAAACAATATACTGTACAAAACAATACATTGCTTTTAACTACTGAATAGACAACATTTAATAAAATGTTGAGTATTTTTATGCCTCATATTTATACTGTATTTATAAGAGATGTAAATATTACTAAAAGAAGTCGTGCTGTGTTTGTCGGTCTCTTATTAACGGAATTTTATTCAAGTAATAAAACCATTGAATTGAATATCTATTTGACATTTTTTATTTCAAAAAAAAAAAAATGATCCGGTGTTTCAAACATAGGATTCATTATTATGAGGGTTTTTGTCAACAATTCAATACAAAACTATTATATACATTCAAATGCATTTAATAAATTTTTAAAAATCGTAATAAAAATCTATATTATTGTTATTATAATAAAAAATTGTGATTTTTATCAATAACTTAATGGGTGTAGAATTCCGTTATTTTTTAATAAAAGTCTATGAAATAAAAAAACTTATTTAATTGTAATATATTTTTATATAATTTTTTACCAAATTAATTCCAACTATTCCAATAAAATTTCAATTAATACTAATATATTTAAAAATTTTATACTATTTCAGTGATAATAAAAACATATTTTCTTACGAAATATTTAGGATATTTTTAGCTAAATTTTGAAAAAAAGAGAACACATTTTATTTTAAGTAAATAATAATAGAATTATTGTCATGTTTTTCAACATTAAAACTAAATCAAGTCTTAAAGTATTGCAATAATACATTAAAGTTTGGTTTAAAATAAGTTTTATGAAAAAAAATAAGTTTATTATTAAAATAAATTCATTTCAATGTTTTCTGTAGTCGGTTTTGAAGATACAAATTAGTAAAAAAAACAATAACAAAACAGTCGTCTATATTAATATTAAGATATAGTATTCATAGATTAAAATATTTTAATTGAGTTTCAAGATTCAGATCAAAAAGTTATGCTCAGTTTATCAAAATGTTTGTCAACTAAACCAACGCTAATGCTATAAATAAAAAATAATTTACTAAAAATAATTTAATTACATATTTGTTTTTTTAATGAGAATCAAGGATCCAAATTCAAGAATTTAGAAAATAATAATAATACTACTAATAAATATTTAAATATAATAATTGTCATTAAATTTAAGTCATTTTAATTTTTTTCACACATTTTAAGAATAGGAAAGTATGCTTAAAATTCACAGATTTTGCATAATATATGACATATGGATTATAAGTGATAGTAAAATAGTAATAAATATAGTGATATATATTTGTTGTAAATACCATAAATTTCTTTGCGAATAAATAATTCAATGGCATTTATTATAAGTTATTATAAAACATTTCAATATTATGTGTGCTATATATGCTCTGCGTTTGGCATTCAATATATAGTATATGTAAATGACTCTTACATTAGAGTAAATTATTAGAGAAAGAGAGAGAGAGAGACAAACCGGCTATAAATAGGACGATCCTATCGGCCGCATCCAACTGAAGGATAGAGAGCGGCTGTTGTTTAAGCCATTCTGTTATTACCGGAAACTCTTGGATATGTTGATCCATCGGACAGTTGCCTAACTTTGGATACCATACACCAAACTGACGGATATCACTACTTGAGTGTCGTCTCTTGGCTCGAGAACCGACTGCTCTATCATTTAATGATTTGATGTCAATGTTGTTATTATTGTTGTCGGTATCGTATTGTATAGAAAATAATAATTCTTTGGTGTTGTTGTTGTGGTAGAGATCATAAAGACTAGAATCGGATATATATTTTCTTAAAGCATTGAAATACACTTTGCTATCAATTGTTGAATATTCTTATGGTTGACAAACACAACACACCATTACATTATACAACATATGATACAATATCTTTGATTGGGAACAGCATTGCCATCACATACACATCGAGAGCCAAATTGAGTCTATTCAATATATTCACGCCTTTATATCATTTATATATAAATAAATAAATATATATATAATATTATAAGTACTGTGTTATCTATAAGGGAAAGACAATTCAGTGTTAAAAATATATATATTAAGTATTAGTCAAGAATATATTAAGTATATTATTGTTATTTTTTGGGGTAAATACTATTATTAATATATTTAATATACAAAACATACAACATATAGATAGACAAGTTTATTAGATAAGAGAGAAGCTAAAGGAGAGCACCGATAGAAAAACGACAGCAAAAAGGCTTACATCACAGATATGCGCACTCAATGGGCACCAGTAGTTGGATAGTCCTAAAGTGACACACACTCTATCTTTATGTTTATTATAATATGTGCCAAATAATAATTGTATTACTTCTTGAGCTGATCTCTATTAGTTTGATGACAAAACAATTTCCGTTTTGTTATTTTCAAATTAATACTATTAATAGTATAATTATTTTTATCCAAAATTTATCTAAATTTATCGATTGTTTAACTTTTCATTTAATATAATAATTGATATCATTATATTGTAGATGTTTTAAAATTAAAAAAAAAATAAATGTTATATTTTTGTAATTCATTCAATAATTATTTCATTAAAAAAACAAATAAGTGACTTAAGTGGGGTTAAAAATAGTTAAATATTAGTCAAATGTCATTAATGACATTAAATTGTGATTTTAAATATTTTGTTGATATATCCGGTGTTGTGTTGTGATGAGTACTACAATTATAAAATAAATGTAGAAATAATTATTTTTGAATAATTAAATATATCATAACTAATTAGTACATATATATATATATATTAATAACTTGATAAACTTAGCTTTATCCTCCAAATTAATAATAATACTATCATCCAACACAATTTATAAATTTTTATTTAATACAGATATATTAATTTTAATTAAAATAATAAAATTAAATTATATAAGCTTTTAATAAGTAGTGCCTGAGTTGAACTTAATTTATCAAATGCTATACTAATTCAAAATAATTTTTTTTTTCATAATATCTTTTAGTTCAACACAATTATTGTCACAATTTTTTTTAAATAAATAGTGATATTACAAGACTATTAATGTTGACCTTATATTTTTGATAGACTATTGTCTTCAAAATGATCGGACACTAGTTTAATAATAATATGATATATCATTTTCTCATTATATAGTTAATTATAATTTATTATTATAATATGGCATATATTATAAAGGTTTATATAAATTATATATCATATAACTCACTTGAATAATTTTAATACAAAATAATATTAATAAAATATAATTAAATGACTTACATTACATTATATTAGACTATCATATGTTGTTGTATTGGAAATAAAACATTGATTTGAAACATAGCAACACATATATAACTGTTATGTTAGTACTGTATGATAAATATCGAGTAAAAATATTTTTAAATATTATACAATTAATACTAATACTGTATTGACGTTAATTAAAATTTTAAAAAATTGTTAAGTTATATCACAATTAAGTTTTATTTGAATATAAAAATATAAAAATAATATTATATTGATATATACAATATTGACACGTTTTTTGGTAAACACATTGCACTAAAACAGTTCGCTTATGTAATCACTATTGGAGTCAATGATAACACTTATGATTATTATTACTATTATTACAGTTATATTAGAGTTGAGTCACACATAGTGTACATATAGTTATAGTACAGTCACTATTGAATACTGTATTCAAAATGTATGCAATACTTGCCAAACAATACATCGATTTTTCCCATAATTTTCAAACAATTTTCTCACAAATAGATACTAAAAATTATTATTTAAAAAATACAGTTTTATATTGAATGACACCATAGTTTGCAAACAGTAGTCTATTTATTATGATATTTGCAACTAATATCGTGTTGTTTGCTATTGAAATGAATTCACATATTAATTAATTAATGATTCAAATGATATTGAATTATAAGGCAAAGTCATGTATTATTATGACTCGTGAGTTAAACATTAGAGTAAAGACTTGAATAGGGATTGCACTGGTAGTCAGGTCTGTATATACTGTATATATTTATTCACTAATTGTGTGTCTATGGGAATGACTGACTGAGAGAGTGAATAGGGATTAGAGTTATACAACAAATCGATTCAATCGTCACTATTTATAACACATACTGACTCTGTCAGCACTGGTATGTGTAAAGTGTTGGTCGAAATAAAGCCATTTAATGGATATATGAAATATAAGAGATACCGTCAACTTTTTATATGACATAACTAACCTCTCAAAGCCATAACAAATACTAGTCATATAAAACTTTAAACTCATTGTGTATTTTATATGTGAATGAAAATGTAGTGAGCGTTCAGTCAAAACAATCGGTGCAATAGTTTTGTTGCAATACTTGTATCGCTTTTTTTAAATACACGCTTCACATAAGTCAGTGTTATTTACCTCTAAATATTGTCTGTAAAGACGTCAAACAGGTATATCTATATAGTATATACTTTATATACTATGAACATAACAGTGCTTATTATATAATACCAAACCATATGACTCTCAGTGAACTCTTTCAGTTACAGCTCATACACCCTATAACCCCCACACCATTCACTATATTCATTATCTCATTACATGTCGACCTCAACCACAACTAACGGACCACTATTTCATCAAATTTTTGCTTTTAATCTCTAAAAATAAGTTTTTTATTTTTTTATAAACGTTTTGTTTTATTTTAACTCTAGTTTGCTTTTTATAAATTTGAAAACTAATAAACTTTAAGCTAATTACTGGTTAAATATTTTTTTTTGAAACAATTTTAATACTTTATTTACTTATTTATATTATTATTTACTATATGATAAATATAATACGAATTATAAAAATAAAATATATGTTAAATTTTTTTTGCTTTAACTTTAATTATTTATTTTTGTATTTTAGTTAAATATACTGTAATATTGACCTTAAAAAATAAATAAAGTTTTTCGTACTATAAATATAAGATCATTTTTATAATGATAATTAAAATAAAACAAAGATAACAACAAAAAAAAACAAACTCAATAATTAAGATTTTGATAATTTATTATTTTAATACTTATATCATAACCACATTTATATAATTACAATATTTCTAATTAATATAATAATTAAAAGCTTTTATCAGACAGATATTCAACTAATTCATCATAAATTAATGATTATTAACTTTATATTTTTCCTCAATCGTAATATAATAATAAATATAAATACATGTACTGTATATTAAGCATAGACATCAAAATATGTGCTATCAATATGTATTTTAAAAATATGTAATAAATTATTTACTAAAATAAACAAAATATGTTAAAAATCTTTAATTTATTATAATTTAGATTTAAATTTTAAATATTTATAAAAATAAATTTTAAAACATAGTGTTTAAGTCAAAAACAAAATATTTTAGTTTGTATTTAATTGTGTTATATCACAAGTCATTGAATATAATTTAAATTTAAATATATATTTTGAACACTAAATTTCGAAAGTGAATAATCCTTTTATTTTTACCTTTTTTCCTGAATGGACACAATTTTCCTGAACAATTAAATTCAATCCTTATTTTCGATGGATTGAAAAGTGGATAACACTAAATGATCATGCTCAATCATTATTTTACATTTCAATCGCCAACACTATTAAGGATTGAATCATTTTTAATCCTCAATTCTTTAACCAGTTTCGCTCACATAATCAATAACATAGAGTAATGTTTGAATTTAATGTTAAAAATTTATATTTTATTTTTATTTATGTAGAATTTATTTAACAAATTTATTTAATATGTTTTTAGTAATCTATAAAAACAAAATCATCCTGTTTGTATTTTAAATATTAATGTACAGTAGTATTGTATATAATGTAAATTACTATATATTGAACGGAAATGCAGTATTAAGACTTTATGGCATTTTACTAAATACCGGTAATGCTTTTTTGTGCTAAATCTTAACTATTTTGTTGATAACTATTTATTTACACTTGTTTTGGTAGTTTTTAAAAAAAATTAATTGTATGTTTTATTTATTAATTCTCGTTATTATTATTATTCTAGAGTATTATCTTTATAAATATTGATAGTATTTAATTTTTAAATATTAATATTAATAGATCACATTTTTAAAAAAATAATTCAAACTTTTATTTAAAATGAATATCATATATGATAAAATACTATTACCGTTTTATTGATATAAACGCTATCAAAATTAAAATAATTATATTTCCAAATATTTATTTAAGTCTTAACTGATTACTTCCACAATTCACAACATTTTTTAATCAAAATACATGTATTTATACATATTTACTATATTTACAGTTATATATGTAGATATATACATATGTAGTATAAATTTTATACTGTATAGTATATGTATATTATTATTGTAAGTTGAGCTCAAAATTTCTTCCGAGTCTTATCCCGTCCTACCCTGTATAAGACCAGGACCAGACTTGAAAGACCACGATCCCGTTTTACACATTTAATGTATATATTTGCAAACTATACCACATATTAAAATATAAAACTAAAAAATGACTTTCATGTGGTAATAATTGTTACATTTTGACCACCACTGAGACCATATATTGATAGGTCTATTGCAATATATTGATATTAATTTGTAATAATTGCGGTAATAATAAAAGTTTAATAATTTTTACCGTACATACCATTTACTAATTAGTCAATTGTGTTCTTTGATTAATTTATTTAAGTAAATAAAAAAATTTCAATAAACTTTATTAATAAAATTTGTTAGCAATAAGATATAAATATTAATAATATCTATAAAATTTGAATGTAATTTAAAAATATGTTAACTATTCGTCGCTATTAAGGGGCGGTCTATTGACAGCATTCCTCTGGATGGCCGCCACTGTCCACTCTATGCTCTCTTTTACACCATTACTGTAACAATAAATATATTCAATTGTCATCATTTCAATCAAAGTAAATCATAAAACAAATTTTTTTTTCTAATCTAATGTCATACCCATTGAGAGCCGATGCGGACACTGAGTAATACTCGCGTCGACCGATTAATTCATCACTCATGAAGAATATGTCTTTAATTCGATGCAATGAAAGTGATTCCTATAATTGCAATAAATATAACAATTTTAGTCGGTTTTAATATATCAATCAATCAATTAATTAATTACGGGAATGTCCTGTTTGTTGGCCACTAAAAGCAAAGGAACTCCACTCAGTGTCTCATTTGTGATCATTTTGTCTGTCAAAAGAAATATTCAATAATTGATTTAATAATTCAATTTTGAGTTCAAATAAATCCAACCAAAGGCTACTTTAGAGTCTTCAAGTCTTTCGGTATCAGACGAGTCCACAACATATATGACTGCATGAGATTCGGAGTAATACTAGTCATTCAAATACAGTATAAATTTATATCAAATGTCAACACATTTTCATCAAATTATTATTACAAACCTTATCCCAAAGTGTCTGCAACTCTGTCTGTCCGCCCAAATCCCAGAAGTTCAATGTTAGACCATTTGTATGAATGTGACCAATGTTTAGACCAACTGTAGCCGTTATCTTATTGAGTGGTACTCCGCGGTAATGTTGATTGATTTGTGTCTTTGACTGCTCCAGAAAAGTAGTCTTTCCTGCGTTGTCGAGACCAACGATCAGCACCTGATACTGATCACGACTGGTTAGATATTTCCACAAACCGTACAGTAATGAAAACATATCATCTCATCCAACGATCAACTCTTTATTGGTCACCAATTGTGGTCATTAAGTGATTGATGCTTACGATGTGTCACATCATATGCTATCAAATACTTTATTATTAATACATATTGTATTACACATTGTATTACACAACCAATTGATGTAAACATACAAAACATTCAAACATTACATTACTTATTAATATTCAATATATTAACTAATACTGACAATAGATTTTAATGTTATATCATATGATAATTGATTATTATTACTCTATTATACAGTATTTAATATTATTTTTTAATTAAAATATTAATAATTTTAATACTAAATAATTTTTAGATAAAATGTGTTTAATATTTTAATAAACTTATATAATTTCTGTTAAAATAGTTTCCGCATCCAGAAAACCACTTATTGGTTGACATCTAAAGCATCGGGTGTCGAAAATTGTGGACAAAAAGTGTTTATCGGTCGACTCAGTCTATAATGTAAGTATTTATAGCTTAATATCACATTTTGTTGATTGATTGAAGGCTTACAGTATTGCAGATATAACTATAGTATTTAAATAGTCTAGTGTTAAATAAAATGAATAAATAAAAAAAATAGTTTACTTTAATAGTAATTCAATTATTTATTTATAAAAATTTATATAATAATTCAAACATTAGGCGATTGTTTATTATATTTTATAGCATCCAATTCCTTGACATCGTGTTTAACAATAGATATGAGGTGTGATATGCCCTCCTGTTCCTGTTTTAGGAAAGTCTTGAGCTGTGAAGTTAAATCGTTGTCTAACGCGACACTAATGCCTGATTGATGTTGACTTTGAATTTGTCTCAACTGAGACATCAATTCATTAAGACAGCCCTGAAATTTGGTTGGCGCTGACAGTTCAGATTGAATGGCTTCCAGTTTGGCCTTTAACTGATCCTCATCCGCCTGAATAGGGTATCCACGTTTGCGAAGCATCTCCTGTGCTATCATTATTCGTAAAACACGATTAGAGAGTGCAATGTGTTTGCGACGACACTCATCCAACTTGGATCTCGTTTCCATAACATGTCTCTCCAATGCCGACACATCATCCGTAATAAGTTTAAGTCTCATCCTGTGTTGTTCGGTCTCTCTTTCCTGAAGTTTAAATCTTTCATTAAGTGCTGAAAACCCGACTAATGGGACGGCAATGAATCGGTTGGGGTCTGGGTTTTCATGTCTTGCCTGAGCCCATAACCTCTCATCAATACCTTTGGGAGGAGTATTGAGATATTCTTCGAGCTCTTGTTTGCCAACCGATGACATCTGAACAATGTTAACAAATGTATTCATAAATACATTATTTAATTGATTTTTAATGTTTTGTTGATTGAAATAATTTTGAAGTTGAATACTAGTTAAGGACTTATTAGTGGTCGGATCAGTCACTAAAAGAGAGAGAACAGCTTTGTTTTCGGGCAAGACTTTAGTTATCTCTAATTTAATCATCAGATTTATGCCAACAATTTGTTTCATATTTTGTTCAAATGTCAATAATTGTGTCTTAAGTTGTGATTCATTGTTTGTCATTTTGACCAAAAAACCAATTTTATTGTCCAACATATCGCTAATATCATCACTTTTTCTGTATTCAGAATAACCAATACTTTTAAAACGATTGGTGGGATCTGTTTGGTTGATGTCATAGGGCGGCATAAATGCTGAATAATAAGCCTTTCCGAAGCCCCAGAAGGCCTGAACTCTATTAAACTGAGCGATAATATCATCCCTTTCGTCGTTGTATATCTTCGGCGCAAATATATTAGCATTTTGTTGTGTTGTTTGTGGTATTTGTTGGGCACCGGACTGTGGCTGAAGTGTGTTTTGACCTAAAGTAGATCCCAACGTAAAGTTAAAAGTGGGCGCTTGTGGTCGTTGCTGTTGTTGTCCACTAAATAACGATCCACTAGTCGTTTGTTGACCTAAACCACCGAAATTGAATGAACCGGCTGTTGTTGTTGTGGTTGGGTTTGTAAATGAAAAGGGAGTCTGTGTTAAGCCAAAAGTGGTCTGCGCTGTAGTGGTGGCCGTAGAGCCAAACGGTTGAAATGAAAAGGCATTTGTCTGACCAGTTGTTTGACCGGTCGGTTGGCCACCGAAAGCAAACGATTGTGTATTTTGAGTGCCAAATGCTGTCGATCCCAACACTGATGGCGTCTGTGTAGTGGCCAGTGTTGGCTGCGGTGTTGAGCCAAATGTGAATCCGCCGCCACTTGTGGTCATTACTGGTGTAATGTTTGTCCGATAAATACAATAATAATGATATGAATCGTCAAAACACTGTTCACTCAAATGCTGTTATATTTGTTGCGAAAAACGCTCGCATTTGACGTCCAATCATATGGTTATCGCTATTCAATCAGTCGTTCATATATTATGTTACACTCTATTCATAAACTAATCAAATATTATACAAATTTTATCAAAATTAATAACTTTAAGATAATTGAACTGTAATTTCATTATTAATTATTTTTATATAACTAATTAATTTTAGAAATTTTGGTCAATTAATTGTTACTTATTTTAAGTTTTACATACATACATACATACATACATACATACATACATACATACATACATACATACATACATACATACATACATACATACATACATACATACATACATACATACATACATACATACATACATACATACATACATACATACATACATACATACATACATACATACATACATACATACATACATACATACATACATACATACATACATACATACATACATACATACATACATACATACATACATACATACATACATACATACATACATACATACATACATACATACATACATACATACATACATACATACATACATACATACATACATACATACATACATACATACATACATACATACATACATACATACATACATACATACATACATACATACATACATACATACATACATACATACATACATACATACATACATACATACATACATACATACATACATACATACATACATACATACATACATACATACATACATACATACATACATACATACATACATACATACATACATACATACATACATACATACATACATACATACATACATACATACATACATACATACATACATACATACATACATACATACATACATACATACATACATACATACATACATACATACATACATACATACATACATACATACATACATACATACATACATACATACATACATACATACATACATACATACATACATACATACATACATACATACATACATACATACATACATACATACATACATACATACATACATACATACATACATACATACATACATACATACATACATACATACATACATACATACATACATACATACATACATACATACATACATACATACATACATACATACATACATACATACATACATACATACATACATACATACATACATACATACATACATACATACATACATACATACATACATACATACATACATACATACATACATACATACATACATACATACATACATACATACATACATACATACATACATACATACATACATACATACATACATACATACATACATACATACATACATACATACATACATACAGTATGTGTTTAATTATGTAATACAGTATGATATTTAATATCTAACATCAACAATTTTTTTGACACACCATTCAATCATGTTTTAAATTTTTAAAGTTATATATTATTACATATATATACTTTTTTCTATTTCTCTTTGTATAAAAAATCATTTAGGATAGTAATACATAACTTATTTAACATAAGCGACTACATGTCCCTATAATAGATAAATTTATGTTATTAGTAAGTGTTGTCCATTTTATGATCCCTATCCCGCTTAACAATAGACGATAAAATAGTGATATCAATGTATTAATTCTACCGAAGTCTGTAACCAGATATTGAAAAGTTAGACAAATGCAACAAAACATAGAAGAAAATGCAATTTAATATACTGTATATTAAATTTAATAACTTGTTTTGTTTCATACATTTTAGTCACATTTAAATTAATTATTTATAATAACAGTTTATAAGTATTAATATTTATTTATTTCATATATATTCATACAATTGTTCTTTTTTTTTATTAAATTACTATTACAATGAAATATACGTAAACTGATAATTATATTATTAATATTAGCTATACATTTATTACTAACTGAATAAAAATATTGATTTATTAAGTTAGTATTATATATTGGTAGAGCTAATTAAAATTACATTTTAAATTATTTGAAATTGTTTATAAATAAATATTGAACTTAATTTTTCTAAAAAATGATATATAATATTTTGATTTCTTATTGCAGTAAAATTTAATTAATGTAATATTTTAATTTTAATTAATTTAAAATAATTCATTTTTTAAGTTTTAATTTTTATATCACTTACATGATTGTTAGCTTGAATATTATTTTCTAATTTAATTATATTATTTTATATAATTATATTAATTTTTAAAAAAATATAATTAATAGTAATTTTATAAAGGTTATTAGGTTTTGTTAAATATCAATACTAATACATAATATATATTATTATTATTTTATAAGAATTATAGTCTCGTGAGGGGGCGGATGAGGGTTCATATGTTACAAAACTTTCAAATATTTCTTGATTTCCTTAAACGGAGAAAGATTTTTAATTTTAGAAAAAATAATTTTAATTAAATTCTCAAAAAAATAATTATTTGAATATTAATAATTTAATAATTTTGTGATATTTACAAAATTGAATGAAAATATTATGTTTTTAATAGAAATAATGTTTTAATATTTTATTTTTTATATACAATTTTAATATATAATAATAAAATTATAGATAAAACTGGTTAACATCAGAGCTGATGATATATTGGATGGAAATCCAAAGCTAACGTTAGGCCTTATTTGGACAATAATATTGCATTTTCAGGTTAGACCGGATCTTTTGTTCAGTAATTTTATAATTAAAGCAAAAAATGTATTCAAAATATTTATTGCAAATAATAGTTACAAATGAAAACCATTAAAATAGCAACAAAATTAAATAAAGTTTTAAAATATTCATTAAACTGCTAGTATTATTATACAAATTATTGTTTGATTTTATTAATCGATTCTTATTTGTTTTATTATACTGTATATCTGTATTCATATCAATTTATTACAATATATATATATTGAAAATATACTGAAAGGCATATAAAATTTACAGCATTTAAATTAATATAAACTATTTATTGAAATAATAGTTTTTAAAGAGTATATTTAAAATATAGTGTTTTATTTCTAAACTGACATCTCATTTGTGTACATAAAAATATACTGTATTTACGTTTTTATATACTTGTTCTTAATTATAAAAAGTATATATAATATAACATAATATGCATTTATAAAATAGATTTAATTGATACACCGTTTCAAAGATTGTCCAAAAATTTTATATAATCTGTTTGAAAATCATTTATATAATATTTATAAAACTATAATAATTTTATACTGTAAGGCAAACTTTTGACACAAATATAGTTATACTGAAAGCCCACTCAAAACTGTATTTAAGGTTTTATCAAATATTATTAATAAACGTATTTAGAAATAAACAGCAATTCCTTATTTGGTCTTAAAGTATAAAACACAGATATGGGTGGAGAATATTCTATATGTATGAGCCGTCACCACAAAGTATTGGTGCAAATGAATGATACAAATAAGAAAAATTTATTATAAATTATACAATAATCAAATAAATAAGTTTCCATCAATTTTGTATACAATTATTTTTCATATTTGTAATTTAAATTTAAATAATTGAATACTTTTTAATATTTAAACTGTGTTTTATTTAAAAATTCATTTAATCATTTTAAGAATCATAAAATAATAAACAGAATTTATTAATTTTATAAATATATATTTTACAAATTATATAATAAAATTAACTATTTAGTATTTTATATCTAAATATACCACAAATATCTAATTTAATAAATAACTATAAATTAGTTTCACTCTTGTCGATGATGTTTATCATATAATGTAAGGCAATAATTGTTTTTGACATTTAAGGGTAATATTTGAAAGTACTGTTGGTTTGTTTAAGTACTGTAGTAATAACCTTATAGATTGTGTCCGACAAATGTATTGATTGCTGTAAACACTGTTCAAACTTCACAGTATTATCTTTGGATTTTTAATAAAGAATATAAATTTAAATATTCAATAGTAAATGTTTGAATCAAATATCATAGTTTGACATAATTTTTATAACTTATGTCTACAGTATATATACAAACTTAGTACACATACAAGTGATAAGACTTGTATTTATTTTTATTAAGATTTGTTTATTTAAGGGATTAACTCAATAAACTCTCTTATTTCTACCAGAGCTCGGAGTAAAGTTTGCGCCAAAATTTTTTTATGTAATAATAAGTTAAAAAAAACTAGAAAATCACAAATTTACTCAAAATTAATAATACAAAAAACATTCAAAATTTACAAATAGAAATATTGAAAGAAAACCAACAGTCATATCATTTATATTGCATTTTGACATTCAATGCATAGATAATCTTTTAGTTAAATTAAGACAATTGTCTATTAATTGTTTGTATATTTATCTTATGTTTAAAGATTAAAACAAATATTTCGCACTTAGGTGTGAAAAATCCGGAGATATTATAGTAACATATAATGTAAACATATTTAAACGTTCCTTGGCTTTCACTATATAACTATTCATACCTTTCCCACTGCAAGTTTGCAACACATAACAGTGCTTTTAAATGAGAGTATACCTGTGCGCGCTGTTGTTGAAGAGGCGGACACACCTTTGGGATAAGTTTTTATGACTATTGGTTTATTGATGTTTAGTACAGGTTTTCACAAATATTCATTTGGTTTGAATATTTCATTCGTGTCTAACATATGAATGTTTGGTTTGCTGTCTAAACACATCCACTGAAGACATCTGTTTTCAAAAGTCATTGGAATCCATATAAAACAATATAATAGATATGAGATTAATGTTTATATTAATAATATGATCAAAAAAAAAAAGTTTTAATAAATCAAATTATTATGAATTAAATTTTAATTGCGTTTAAAGTTATCTAAAAGTTTTTAAGATAATAATAAATAGTGTCAGTGATGTACTTGTTTATCAAATTAATTATATTAACTGTTGTTATTGTTGAACACATAGAAAATGTTGATCTATCAGAGGGTTTGTCGCCAAATGTGTTTAATCTGGCGACCGGTGCTATCATAACAGTGAACGCCACTTGTGGTGAAACGGGTCCCGAATATTATTGTAAATTAGTAGAGCATGTGCTTAAACGGTAGATATTTTTTTGAAATTTTATAATCTTATTTATTTAAATAAAAATATTTTAAAAATAAATAAATACAGTTTTTTGTATACTTTTAATAATATTAAATTAATATTCAATAGATAATTTTATTTAAAAAATATATTAAATGTATTTTTATTAAATATTTTAGTTTAATCATTTGCTTAATGTTTTCCAAAGCCCATCGGACACTACTCCAGGTCAGTGCAATATATGCGATGCGGCCAATGTTGACATCTCTAAGCGTCACCCGATTGCTAATGTCATCGATGGAAGCGAATCGTCAGTTGATTTTTAAAAATTATTTTACAAATTTATTTTGATATTAAAACTGTCGGAAAACATGTTATGATATTTGATTGCATCTGTACTCAGATGGTGGCAAAGTCCGACATTACAGTACGGCAAAAAATATGAATGGATTACTATTACTTTAAATCTCAAACAAGTGTATCAGATCTCACATGTGATCATTAAGTCGGCGATATCACCACTTCCTGGCAATTGGATTCTTGAACATTCAGTTGATGGCCAAACATATAGGCCGTGGCAATACTTTGCACTGTCAGATACAGAGTGTTGGGATACTTACCGAATACGTCCTACAATTGGCAAAGTTAGGTACAGATCTGATGATGAAGTCATCTGTACGTCGTTTTATTCAAAGAGTGATATTCTTGAGAACGGAGAGGTATTAATGATAAATATGTTTAAATACTAACTTTACTGATAGTATTTGATATTTAATGAAATCAGGCACACGTATCATTGATTACTGGTAGACCTGGTGCTGAAGGACCCAGTGATACATTGAGAGTGAGTTTTTTAAAAATATTTTTAATTATTTAGTTTATTCATATATTTGTTCAATAAATATATTATAAAAGGAGTTTACAAAAGCCCAGTTCGTTAGGCTTAGACTACAAAAAATTAAAACACTTCATTCAGAGCTAATAGATCCCGAAAAGATGGATAATGCTATTACCAGAAGAGTAAGTGACATAAAAATCGGTTACAGGTTTTAGTCAATTAATTTTTTTATTGTAATTAGTTTTTCTATACCATCAAAGACGTTACAATTGGTGGTCAATGTCTTTGTAATGGTCACGCACGGGAATGTAGGGCTAGTATTGGCTCAGCGCTACCAAAGTGTCAGTGCGAACACAATACTTCAGGTATTATTTACAATTAGAAATTTATTTTGTAAAATATTATTATATATTATGATATTTAAATATAGGAACCAATTGTGAGATATGTAAACCTTTGTTTAACCAAAAGAAGTGGAGATCGGCATCAAGTAGTTGGGGATTTGTATGCAATGGTTTGTATCAATATTTGTATTATAAAATTGAATTTTTATAACATAAATATTATACTGTATTTGGATACAGAATGTCAATGTTTTGGACATTCAGAAGAATGTTATTACGATCAGACCATCGCCTCCAAGAAGTTAAGTCTTTCCAAATCTGGTGTTTATGAAGGCGGAGGCGTATGCAGTAAATGTATGAATTAATACAACTTATTTGCTAACCTATATTTAACACAATTATATACTATTTATTAATTTATTTATAATTAGGTCGACATCACACAGTGGGTATTAACTGTGAACAATGCGAAGATGGATATTATAGACCAGAAGGTGTTCCACTGGACAGTCCTAATCCATGCTCTAAATGTCAATGTAGTGGACCAGGAATTTCACATTTGTGTATTAAAGATGTGTTTCATTTAATTGAAGGCCGAAAACCTGGAGATTGTCTTTGTAGGGAAGGTTTTGAAGGTAATCGCTGTGAACGATGTGCACCGGGATATAAAAATTATCCGCAATGTACTCAATGTACGTGTGTTTACGCCGGTATTATAAACACTGAGGTTTGTGACGGTCAGTGCTTGTGTAAGAACAACGTTGTGGGAACTCGTTGTAACAAATGTAAGAGTGGTTACTATAATCTCGATCACGACAATATAGATGGTTGTGCCGAGTGTTACTGTTTTGGTGCCACTAATATATGTGCTTCAAGTGATTGGGGACTAGAGATTGTCAATAATTTGGATGATTGGATGATCTCTGACCTGTCAGGCAAAGTGAAAGTACCGCCAACTAAAGAAACTGGACGTTTGGTTATAGCTAACGATGAGATGCCGTCGTCGGCTCAGAATTTGTACTATTGGGAGGCACCTGAAGACTATTTGGGCCAAAATTTGTATTCATATGGAAATGATCTTAAATTTCACATCAGTTATGTTGTTTCACGAGGAGATGTGTCCGGATATTTTACAGATGACGCTGATATGATACTTGAAGGCGGACCCGATAATATCAGAATTGGTTATAAATGGCACAAACCATCTGAAGTGGACGAAGTAAATACCACTATAATTATGCCATTAAGAGAAAAAGGATGGTTTAGAGTGGGAGACGACGGCAAGAAAACTGATGCATCCGTGTCTCGGGAAGAGTTTACTCTTGTTTTGTATGATTTGAAACGACTGCTGATTCGGGCAAAGTTTCATACCGACCAAATTGAAGGCGGGCTCTATCAGATCGATATGGAAAAGGCATCCAACACTTCAAAGAGTATCAAAAAAGCTGAGGGAACAGAAAAGTGTGAATGTCCTCCAGGTATCACTTCCTAAAAACTATTTATATTATTGAATATTATTAAAATGGTTATATAATATTAAAAAAGGTTATGCTGGACTATCATGTCAATACTGTGCACCGGGATATAGACGAGTCAATAATATATTGGTTAATGGTATCTGTGAAAAGTGTGACTGCAATAATCACGCGGAATCTTGCGATCCATTCACTGGAAAGTGCTCTCCATGTGAGTTATGGCCATAAAACTAAGTTAAATTCAAAATATATATATTTTTGTATTACAAAAACATTAGGCCTTCATAACACTACTGGTCCTAATTGTGGTGAATGTTTGCCTGGATTTTATGGTAACGCCACACAAGGTTTTGAGGACGACTGTAAGCCGTGTGGCTGTCCATTACTTATATCTTCAAACAACTTTTCTCCGACCTGTCACTATGAACCTAACAGTAGATACGGATACATATGTAACTGTCCAATTGGTTATATCGGTGATCAATGTGAACGATGCATTGAAGGATATTATGGTAATCCATTAGTACCGGGAGGTTTATGTCTTCCTTGTGAATGTGGACCAGAAACTAACAGATCAATACCGGGATGGTGTGATCATATAACAGGACACTGTAGGGTCATTGATGAATGTGCCGATTTGGATGATAAGTGTATTCTTATGCTTTTGGAAGACATGGAGTTTCTTAAAGTTTTGGTCGAAGAAGCGAATCTAACAGATGTAGCAAACCTTCCGTGGACTCGATTATTGCATTTAACGAATAGATTTACAAAAATATCGACAAATTTTAATGATTATCAAAGAGTGATATCTCGAGGCAACCAAATCATTGGCAATTACAGCATTAGCTTCGATCTCGAGACGTGGGCTGATATATTGTACTTAAAATCACGTGAATTGTATGACAGGGGACCAGTATTGGCCAAAGATGCCGAAAGGGTTAAAAATGAAGCTCAAGCACTACTGGATCTGCTTAATGAATTGTGGACAATGATTATTGGGATTGTCAATCAATTGCGTAAACATCACGATCCAATCGGACATATATCTGATCGTATGCTTCAAGAAGCCGAACGTATATTACGTGAACTCCAGGCCCGAGACTTTAGACCACGCGTTGAGGAAGCAGACAGAGAATTAAGAAAAGCTAAAAACTTATTGGAAAGAGTTAGACAGCTATTGACTGATCGCAAACATACAGATCCTCTAAAGCAACGTTTGGATCGATTAGCAGAACTTTTAAGAGATATATTATCAATAGTCCAAAACAAAGTTCAACCGCCTATACAAACAACAGTTAAATTGGTTCGCGAGTCATACCCCGTGACTGCATTTATAGTGGCGGCTGTGGCTAACAGTTCTCGATATGCAGATGAGGCCAATATTACACTTACAGAAGCTCACAAACTATTAGAAGCGGCAAAGAATGCGTTGATTGAAGCTGTCGTCACTTATGATATTCTTCCTCGACTTCTGGCCAAAGTGGACAACGATACACAAATGATCGAAGAAAGACGTGGTATACTGGCCCGACTTAATCCAGAATACAACGACAAGTATGTAATTCCGTGTCAGAAACACGCTGAAGAACTCATAAGACAAGTGAACTTTTTGAATGGACTTTTCAATGCTACTCGAGATGTGGCTGAATATCCATTGAAAGCGGCAAACGTTTACCAAAAAATAGTGGACGCATTGGCCGCTGCAGAAAATGCGGCGAAAAAGGCTAATGAAGCCGCAGAAAGAGCTTATAAAGAAGCGTATCCCGGAACAGATGAGGCACTCACTCTTAAAGCTAAAAATGCTAAACTAAGAAGTGAAGAGTTATTACAACAGGCAAAAGAATTTAGAGACAATAAAGTGCCGGAATTGGAGAGAGAATTGGCAAAGAAAAAGTTCAAATTAGATGTGATCGCAGATGACTTAGCAAATGGCAAACGCAATCTCGATCTCATTAACAAAGCATTAGATACCTTACCTAAAGACTTATCGGGTATTCTTCGAGGAGTTGAAGCCAAGTTGAGAAATATTTTAGATGGTCTCGAAGATATTCATAGACGAATTGATGATATTGATCGACGAATTGCCGCCGATTTAATGCCAAAATTAAACCGATTGAGAGCTGGAACTACATCTGGTTTGGACAACTTGACTAAAATCATAGACGAGGCCCGTAATGACATTCGTGACGGTTCACGACTCGCTGATAGAGCTGAAGAAATAGCAGAAAGAGTTAATCGTTTGCATAATCAGATGGAACTTAACTTTAAGGAACTTAAGGATAGAATATTATTGGCCCGACAGAAAGCGGCCAGTATTCGGGTGTCGTTGGGTACGGACAGGAGTGGTGTCTGCGCCCGATCTTATGAAGCACAGATTGAACCATCAGTTTCTAATAATATTATTCTTAACTATGCCATCAAAGATGAAGCACGCGATGCGCTATTATTTTTTATCGGAAACAAAAGAACCGATGACTTTATGGCCATTGAAATGGTTGACCGAAAGATCCGCTATATTTGGAACGCCGGCGGCGGCACTAAAATGTTGGCCCACACTCTCAATATTGAGACCAATGACCAGCAATTGTTAAAAGACAGTCAATGGTATAAAATAGAAGTGAATCGTATCCGAAATGAGGCCATACTTAGTGTTAAGAGGATACCCGACGCTAACAAATTGGATCCGTTTGAGATCTCCGACACTTCGCCCGAAGGCTTTAATCGAATGGATTTGAATCGTGACTCAAACTTCTTCATCGGAGAATTTCCTCCAGACTTCAGACCTCCGAGGGAAGTCAGAACCAACTCGTTTGCCGGATGTCTCTATGAGTTAACATTAGATGGAAAACCAGTCGGTCTTTGGAACTTTACCACCAATAAGGGCTGTGACGGATGTAAAGAGGGCGCTACCGAACCCAAAGACTTGAGTACTTTCTTGTTTAAAGGAGAAGACTCTTATGTCATAGAAAACCAAATTAGAAGATACGATAAGAAGAAGTTTTTGGTTTCACTTCAATTTAAGACTTTTGATGAAGAAGCGCTACTCTTTTTTACAGCCAATCCATCAACCGGTGATTATTTAGCTATTTATTTAAAAGAAGGAAAAGTTATTTATCAGTTCAATGTCGCAAATTCGGCGCGACTTTCGCTGACCACTAAAAACAAGTATAATACTGGACAGTGGGTCCGATTGAATGCTGAACGGGAAAAATTAGACGGAGTTTTGTCTGTTGATGAGGAATATCTTGAGGGACGCATACCGTCGGGAAGTCCTACAAATATGGAGTTATCGGACAGTGATTTATATTTAGGTGGCGTAACGCCTAACTTTACAGCCCATCACTGGCCTAATATCGTATTCAAATCATTCCTCGGTTGTATTAAAGACCCGCAAATAGATACGACACCATTGAATCTCTTACAACAGGAGGCATTTGGTGTTGAAGTGGGCTGTCGTGAGAAAACAGAGAAAGTTGTCAGCTTTAAGGGCTCCGGTTATCTCCAACTTAATAGTGAGCCTCTTAAAGAAGATGCAGATTTTAGTTTCACATTTAAAACAACTCAAGACGAGGCACTCTTACTATTGTCAACATTTGAGGGAACCAGAGGTCCCCGTTCTAGGGATTCGGTTAGTTGTGACAAACATTTTTTAATTTAAAATATTTTATTTTTGGTATAAATTATATAATAATAATATATCAATTTTATTATCAATGACAGCACTATTATTCATTATCAATTGTCAACGGTATACTTGAGGCTCGTTTTAATGGTGGTGTCGGTGAAACCATATTAAATGCAGAACTCATGGCAGTCAATGACGGGGCCTATCATACTGTATCTGTCTCCAAAAAAGTCCGAAAGTATGGCATAATTTTTAATAAAACTTTTGACAATATTTTTAATATTTAAATTTTAATATTAATTATTTCTTTTGACAGAATAATACTATCGTTAGATGACAAAGAAATCGGAACAACACGACTGGCCAGAGGTACTAAAGATATAGATGCGCCCACCACTGGCGGTCTATATTTGGGTGGTTTGCGTAAGTTATTTATATTCATACAGCAATTACTTTTAAGAAAATCCATATTAATTGCAATAATATTTTCATATACAGCTCAAGGAATGTCATTGAAGGGAATGGCCGGCACTAAGGAGTCGTTAAAGGGTGTCATCAGAGATGCCGTTTTTAACGGTAAACTTTTAAGACTTAATGAACCGGTTAGCTTTGAAGGTGTCGGCATCGGTCGCGAGAGTGAACCGCTTAATAGGTTGGTCGACAATTAAATTGATTGCCCGGTTTCACATATTTTCAACTCTTCAAATGCTTTTTCATGTCTGAATACCTGTCCAACAATTGCATGTAAAACAATGAATGATATTATTTTGCATAAAATTTTTACTAAAGCTTTACAATGTTATTGTTATTTTTTCAAAATTTATATTTTTATATTGACTGCAATTGAATGTAAATCTGGTCTGATTTGTTCACACTTTTTTTGTATCCACACTTAAAAGTCATTATAATATTACTTTATATACTTTTTTATATGTTTGCTATTTTAAAGTGCATTTTTACATTTTATGTTACATTCAAATTATGAAAATGTTGTTTATATATAATATATTTATATTTATAAACATTAATATTGAACAAAACTATAAACTTTAATACAGTATTTTATTTCAAGCTTTGAATTTTTTTATTGAATGTTTTATTCAATCTATTTCTCATTTTCAATAAAATTGAAACTTATAAATGAATTGCAACAAAACTATGCTTCAAATATCTATAGAAATGTTTCTTATATATATTTTTTGAATGGTTTGTTATGAATGCTTGTACCGTATATTAAGTGTTACGCAACTTATCTGATTTATCAATATAAAAAATATTAAGTTACTTAAAAATTATATGAAAAACAACATATCTTTTGAATTTAGCTATAATTTTGATTTGGATTTTGATGATCGGTTGGAGCGAATGATGGCGTCCTCTCAGTCCTCATATGATACCTGTGCTGAGATGAAAACAATCAAAATAAACGATTCAATTGATTCACACATTAGTTTATTTAGAGATCCATTAGAATTTTCCAAAGACTTTAACATAACATTTGAATTTAAGACCTATTATGCAAATGGTCTCATATTTTTTATTAGAGGACACAATGTTAAGCAACGTTTTGCACTTATAGTTGAACTAAGAGGTGGGTATTTGGTTACAGAGATTAGTGGACGCAAACAAATAGAGTTAATCGGTAGGAATAAGGAAGTCCTCAATGATGGTCAATGGCATTACATCAGTCTCTATAAAATAGACAAAACATTGTCTTTAGCCGTTGACGACAATAATTTAGTGGAAACAATAAAAGTTAAACGAAAGCTCCCACTCAAGAGTCCCGTCTATATTGGAGGCGTTCCTCAAACTCTTAATGAAGTTAATGGTAATGATATGAGTTTAGAGAGGGAGAGCTTCAAAGGCTGTCTCAAAAATTTTTACATTAATAATAATTATATCGACTTAAGCTTAAGTCATAACAAGAGATCGTAAAATTAATTTTGAATTAAATTATAATACATTATTAGAAAATACAGTATATTTAAAATACTTAGATTTGTTACACTTTAGGTAATAATTCTAAAAATAATATTCAATCGTAAAATTATACAAACTATAAATCCAAATAATTGTTTGTTTTAAAAAAATTCAAAATTTTCCATTGAATTTACAGATTTTAATTTAATTTATTTCAATTATAAATTCCCAATTTATTTGATATTTTAAAAAATTTAGAAACAAAACATTGATATTTTATCTGTTATTACATATAAACATAAATTAAATTTTGTAAAATATTTAGACAATGTTTTTATTATTTATCTTAAAACACATGTTTTGAAAAAAATAGTAAAACATAATTTAAAAGTAAAATTTTAACAAAAATAATGGAAAAAATAAATTATAAATAAAACGAATAATTTGAAGAATTTGAAGACAACGATGGCTTGGAATGACTTTAGTGGTAATGATTGTGTTGATTGTGATTATTATTATTGCAGTCATTGAAGAAGCGTTTCACAAATACACAGATAATACCAATAAACTTGAAAACCAATGGCAAAGTCAAACACTTTTTCATTTTTGTTGAACACATATTTCAAACAAACACATCACTTATGATTTGTCTAATATTTTGTTATCTTTCTTCAGTTTGTCTGTATTTCATAGTTTATGTTTATTTTGTTTGTTATTCTTTCCTTTTTTTCCATCCCTTTCCCATCTCTGACTTCAGATTCAGTTAAACATTAGTTTTATTTATAAGCTATTTCTGTGTTTTGTTTTTTTGGTGTAAATTTATTTCATTTTCTTAAGACTAGTATTGTATTTATCATTTGGTCAATAAATACTGATCTTTCGGTTCTGAGGCTCTAATGACCTGATATTAGACGAGTCGGTGTTTCAATATTGTCTCAGTTGTTTGATGACCCCCTCCCCATCTCAGGCATTCATATAATGTTCATTTATACGACATATATATATATATATATATATATATATATATATATCTGTCATTTTCTATATACATAAATCACAGTTTCCAGTCATTAAAATCTCAGTCACCAGTACTCCGACATTTCACTGACACATTCACAGGAAAACAAGTATTCATATTTAAAAATTATATTAAAGTCTTATTTAAGATTTTTTGATAAGTTTTTGATGTTCAATCAGTTGTGTTGATATTCAATTCAATTTAATTTAATTGTCACGATTTGACAATCTTAGTGTTCAAATAAAAAGCACAATAACAGCACAGATACTCTTGATTTTATTAATACTCAGATTTTTGATGACTTCCACTAAAAGTGCCATAAGTTTGTATTGAATGTCATCGTCTCATAAATACTATATAAATTGTTGTCATTTACACTGCTTTCCAGGTGTCCAATCTAAACAATATAGTATTTCCCATATGTTATATCATATACAGTATATATACACATATAGTAATAGAGATATAAATTTTATCTTTCATATATATGTACAATATATTTGTATACTTCGTCTCAAACATTATTATTTAATAAAATTATTGAGTCATATATTATATTTAATTTATATATATATGTATTTATATATAATTTCTGTATAATAATCCAAGTCTATAATAATGGCAAATACCAAACGATTGTATAACAACACGTTAACAGCACAAGCATTTGTGTCGATAGTACTGAACATGATGTCTGTCCTTGATTTAGATGCACTGATAATTAATAAAGAGAAATATAACAAAATATTATTTATCATATTTAATGTTAATGTTAACAAAATAATAATAAATATTATATAAATGAATAAAAATTAATTATAATGATGTCATTAGAAAGATTCTTGTATATATATATATATCAGACAATTATTATAATAATTCAATTATAATTAAATATTATTAATTAATAAACGAGTAGTCATTAACAGTATAAATATAAATCAGATAAGAATTTGAAGGATTCATTGTCGCAATTATTGCTTGTTTTGAGTTAAATAACGAGAATTAATGACATTTATAACAGTATTTAGACAATAAATATATGAAATTGATTTAAATGTGTAATCAAATGAAAATCATGTTAGAGATAGTTATGAATTAGTAGAAACAGTATATGATTTGATATAAATACCGGAGTGATTATCGACAGTGAGTCCTAATCTCTGTTGACTACTGCCAATGATGGTCTCACGACTGGAGCTGTCGATCACTTTCTCCATAGTTGCCGTACATTTGAGTTTTATTTGTTGATTATCTTTGCCTGACGAGTGTGTCCTACGTTTGGTTGTGGCTGATCCACCCAAATGTATTGGATTGACTCTCATAATTAGTCCTAATTGTGATACTTCATCTCCATCTTGAAATTGCACTTTGGGATAGACTCGCAAAAATTCAGGTCTGGCCTATTAGGGTAAGTGTGAATAATAACAAACAATTATTGTTTACGATAGCACTTATTAGTATTTCTAATATCTATTTAATAATATGTTTGATTAGCATAACAACACTATAGAAAGTTAATCAAAATAAATAACATAAAAAAGTATAATAATGGTATCAAATGATAAATGTTAGCTCATGGATGTGGTGATGCCCTGTATGTGATTCATTGTTAGTAATACTGTGTGTATACCGTATATGATAGTGTACTATATTGTGGTGATTACCTCTTTGTCATTAATGAAGAACTGTAGTTGTGGTGCCGGATAAGACTTGACTGAAGTACACGTTAGATTAATCACATCATCGACATTATAGGTGGGACGACCACCACTAATGATAGGACCATCACTCTCGTGAACTTTAAGGAAATCATTACTTTTAAAACTCAAATAATCCATTATTTTAATTTATATAACAGAGTATATATCATATGATATGTATTATATAGACTAAGTTTATGTGCTGTATGTGATCTGAGAGCTGATTGTAATCATTAGCTCTCTCTCTCTCTCTCTCTCTCTCTCTCTCTTTCTTTCTTTCTTTCTCTGACTGACTCTCTTTCTTTCTTTCTTTCTCTGACTGACTCTCTTTCTTTCAATTTCATTCAATCATTGATGTAATACCTGAGTGAGTATGGGATGCCTTTGCGTGATCTGATACTATAATTTCTTCACTGCTCATAGAGTATGCCTGTGATATGACACTTGTACACCGGAGCTTAATTATGCCACCAATAAATTGATGTCTCTCTGCATTAAACAATAATTGAAGTGCCGATTCTTGTAGGCCATCTCTGCGCTTCGGTATATGTATATAACGTAAGTACGTCTCATCTGCCGGTTCACTGTTTATCAGCCACGACAGGGTTGGTTGCGGCTATAAATAGTTATGTATAATAATTATAAAAATAAGCATGGACATTTAGATATTAGTCATTATATGTTATGTGTGTGAGTATAGCAATTATTAAAATTGCTATTATTTTGATTACTATTTTTCTTATTTGTTTTTTCTATTATTTTCAGTAATATCTATAATTTTTGCCATAAATTTTTACCATAAATTAAATGCATATTAAATTATGAATTATATGAAAACTCCATAAAATGCAATTCAAATACTTTTTTAAATATAATTACTGAAAGTGTTTCGTGAGTTACACTAATTCTTATTCTCCGATATATCATAACATAAAAGTATATAAAATACTATTAAATAATATTTTTAACTCATAATTAATTTGAATTTTTCTCACATTTCTAGCAATAAAATAACTACTATACACCTACAACAGTGTATATACTGTATATATATATATATTATATAATAATAAACGCAATTATGGCACACACACACACACACACACACACACACACACACACACACACACACACACACACACACACACACATACATACATACATACATACACTTATATACAGTATATATATAGTTAATAGTGAAATGCAATGATTACCTTTGATGGTCCGGCACGACACGTGACGTTCACTAATTATATATTGAGAGATGAGAAAGAAATACAATTAATAAATTAATTGTTAATAATCAATAAAATATATACTGTATATAAAGGCATAAATTATAAGTTAATACACACCAAGATCTCCGATACCATATTGTTGTGCTTTAATGCCAGTTATTGTGGGACCTTCTTTGGGCAAACCTATACATATATACAGTGAACATGTGGTTTGATTTTTTAGGATATAATGACACATAAAACAACTATTATAATATTTAATCAATTGACATAATAATCATACATAGTTAGGTATATATACCGTATATATAGCATAAAATAGTATCATTGAAACAATTGTTTGAATTAAAAGTTAATTTCCTGTTATTTTATATATTCATTTGTTGTCTGCATTTCATTTTACACGACATTTACTTTAAATAACAATTATTAATGAAAACAAGTGTTTAAGTGATGCTTAAGAGAGCGGAAGTTAATGTCGACCGCAAAGAGAAACAATATATAAATGGTAAGTCATTGACAGAGCCAGCACTAGTAGTTAAGCCATACGGCACAATAAAAAGCTAAATATATGAGACAATAGACACAATTGTCAGTCAATCGTAACTTTTAGTACAAGAAAAATGAAGTTAAATAACTTTTTGAAAAACATTTATTTATTTGAGTTGTTTTTATATAATAAAATTTAAACCCCATTGAAAAATATTACAAAAGTAGGACATTTAAGTAAAAATTTCATCACATTTGTGTCCTCTAAATCCCACTTCAATTCCCTAATGATTTAACTTCAAAACAATTTTTATATACATTTTTATGCACCATTCATTCATTTCGGTAAACCATTATTGCCAGTGCTCTCTCTCTCTCTCTCTCTCTCTCTCTCTTCTCTAACACACACACTGATAAAGTCAACCCTCTCTTTCTATATATATATATATATATATATATATATATATATATATATATATATATATATATATACAGTATATACATCACTCAACAAATTTAATACTTAATAACTTATATTATAAATTGTTATCCTTTTATATATGATTAAAAATACTCTCTTTTCACTGATTCAGTCATTTATTCAGTCACTCACTCACTGACCCTATCCTATCCCTTAGTAACTGTTTTACACTCCAATACTAATCATCATTCCGGTTGAGTGGTCAGCATCGGTGCGGTCGGAGTATGTGTTCATCAGATAGACTGTCAAATATAGAGTGAATGGAGTGTCAAATAGAGAGAAGTTATGTGATGAAAGAGCATACTTAATGGGGTGCAGTTAGAGTCTAAATGTTAGACACATATATATCGTATAGACTATTAAAATCATTTGGTAATGAACTTCAGGCAAAACCCAGCACTCGTTGAGGGATAAGGGATGGCTTAGTCATCATTGAATCCAATCTTTTACATTAACTATTTGCTGATGAGGTCTGTTATGGCATTGCTATTATTCATTGCTATTTCTCATATAATAATGACAACTATGAAAACATTTTATATTTAGTTGTCATTTACATTATTGAACTCAAAAATCATTTCAACTAAAACTTTTATCCAAAATGACGATTAAAACGCGTGCTATTCATTGACCATATGGTGAATAGTTATAATACTTTACATATAATTCCTATATTTGATGTTCAAAATTGAGTTAACATATGACAGGAGCATCACCTGCGCCGCCCCCGACATCACTAACCATATATCCCAACACCACCTGCTCTCCAGTTATAGGAAATGAAAGCTACGATAATATTTGCAAAATACAAGTAAAATACAAATATTCATATACTGTATATACAGTAAAGTACAGTATTACTGTAGTTTACATTGAAAAATAAAGCAATGACTTATCATAACTTATGATTCATAAGTAACTAATGAGTAACTGTTTAGAAACAGCCAGTAGTGATATTTTCAATTGTATTATTGAAAATGATATTTACTATTCATATATGACATGAGTTAGTTAATCGGGAAAAGTATTAAATTTCTACTAATTATATCTGTGATTACTGCGATTAAATTTATTTAAAATATTAATATATAAATATTGTATATTTTAGACTCAGTTGTATACTACAGTATATATCTATGAATCATATGAATTATAGCTAAAAAGCAAAAAATGCATATCAGGTTACAAATTCATTAATTATTAAACTATAATATATTATATACTAATATTACTGACTAAATGAATCTCACATTTGCAAAATATGTATATTTTGAAAAGTTAAAAAAATTATTGTCATTTAATAAATTAAAATATATTAAAATACCATTTACTTTATTGCATATGTATAGTATATTACTATACTATAGTATTAATAAAATCAAAATTATCTAATAATTATTAATATTTAAATTTTTTAAATACTATAAAATGTTTTGAAACAGTCATCAAATGTCAGAAGTTTTTAAGAATAATAAGTTAAGATTTATTTTTTAAATACAGTAAATCAACATTAATGAGATTATATTATATATTTTACAAAAAGAAACAAATTAACATATTATAAAAGACTTAAAAATATTTATGTATAATACTTTTTATTATTATTATAGTATTATAATTATTGCTCAACAAAGGCATTAAAATAAGTTTTAAATAAAACTTTATGCCATAATAAAAGTCTCTTTAATTCTTGTATATTTATGTAACATTTGGATAAACATAATGTATTTTTATAATACATTTTGTTGGACAACACAAAAGAGAATTGAAATTATTATTATAGCAATGAGAGACAAATTTTGTGTGCTTTTATTAAATTAAGTATACAGTATAACATATAGCATATAACGTAAAACATATAATTTTGTTAAACAATTATTTCATATAAAAAAGACAACCATTAGAAGTACCAAAAAAATCATTACTATTATATTATATGATAGGATTTATATTTCAAAAGTCTTTGATGACTAACTGCTTGTTATAAAAATATTAGATACCTTTTTATAATAATGTATATATGTTTGAAAGTCACGACAATTCTATATATATATATATATATATATATATATATAAAATTTATATTATATAAACCTGTATATTATAAAAGTTATTTATTAATACAACTTATTGCCTGAAAAAATAGGTACGCATATAATAATTTTAATATTTTACTTCAATATATTATTCACTCAAATATTAAAATATTTATTCGCTTTGTTGACACTATACATTAGATAACTAAAATATATTTTTATATTCTAGCAACGTATATTAAAATAAAATTAATATAAACTATAATATTCAGTATATTATATTAGATATTAATCGTATTTTATAATAATAATAATAATAATATTGATAGTCTATTGATAGACAAGATATACAGTATATAGCTATGAAAGCCAATATACAGTCAAATCAATGCCTGTCTTCTAATTTTCCTTTTATTTATCAATAAAATGTTTCACAAAATTTTCTTTGCAATGAAATATACAATAAATATTAATAAATATGATATATAGTTAAATACTTGATAAACCAATAGTGACTCACTGACTACCAGTGCCAGCAAAATCATATTATACTATATATATATATATATATATATATATTATAGTTAGCAATAAGTTTAAATATTTGAATTGAGCCTTCATTTTGTTAAAGTAAAGGCAACAAAATTTTGCAAAACAAATCTCATAACAAACTATCATTAATCATAACATTGGTTTTTCATAGAGCACCGGCATATCATAATAATGATTGCACTGTGTATTGAATTTTGTATTTTTTGAAAAAAAATCTATCGGCACTGAAAGGCAGCCTTAAGGCAATTGTAACATAAAAAAGTATATAAAAAGTATAGAGAGGAGAGGGAGATATACATCAAATGAGAGAGTGAGAGAGTAGGAAAGTGATAGAGAAAGAGAGAGAGAGAGAGAGAGAGAGAGAGAGAGAGAGAGATTTGGTTTTTGATGGCATACGAGACACGAATGGATAATAGGATTGAGTTATGAATGGTGTGTAACATAAATGGCTATATAATGAAGATATTTGCCTATTATTACTAATTATTGGTGCCGTTCATCAACACAAATGAATCTAAACGGTGAACACAAGCTTTGAAAATTAATTGTCACACAATTATATGGCAAAACTATACAATTCAATATATTATAAGCTTTTTTTGTATAATAATCTAACAAAAACTTTAATGCAATATTTTAACTCACAGTTTCGGACTTTTCAAATACAGTTTATTGTCGTCAACATTACAGTTATATTATGGTTTTTGTGTTGAAATGCAATGTTTAAAATACTATTGAATTAAGTTGTGAACCAAAACAGATGCTATTGATGTCATTTTGACCGGTCTTTTATTGAAAGCAAAGGTATTGCAATAGCAATGGGGACTATAATTAACATAATGTCTGATACGACCAAAAGCACACATATTGTATTAATACTGTATATATTGTTACACGCAATACAACAATAGCCATAAACGTATGGATCAATTTCAATAATCAATTTCCTGATCGCCCAATAAATTAATTTATTGAATATTATAAGCTAAATATTATTACTTTATATTAAATGAATTTTTAATACACTATTTTAGTTTTTTTAATGAAAAATATAATATCAAAAATGAGTAAAATTGGATTCAAAAATTGCATTATTAATATTGACACAATAGAAGAAAAAATATTTAAATTTATTCATTACAGTATATTTTGTTATTTTGATTATATAAATGAGAGTAAATATATACTAAAATTATTTTTATATATTAAATGAGAGGAAAAAAGAGTTGATTTGTGTTTTGAATTATTTTTTGAAAGAAACTCAAAGAAAATTTCTATTGTTTAGTATATGAATGAAAAAGACATGCATTTGACAGCGTTAGGCACACGCATACTAAGGACTGGGATATATATATATATATATATAGTTTATGAAATAAAGGGAAAAAATTATAAGTTGTATTTTATTATAGGATATATACTGTGATATATAATATATACAAAAGTAATAAAGTATAACTGAAAAAATAGTACAGAAAAATAATTTAATATATCTTATATTCATTTACTATTATATTGTTTTTACTGCTCTAAACTTACTCTATTGTTTTGCAATAACTTTTATATTATTTTTTAAAGAAAACTTTATATATATTATTGTTTTATTCTGATATAATTTATATGATGTTAGAGTGAAATTTGTAAATTAAAATTTTAAAAAATGTTATATAAATGGAAAATACATTTTTAAAAGTGAGAAAAATAAAAATCATATAATACAAGAGTGAGTATAATGTAGAAATATATAACAATAATAAGTAATGTAGTCATTGCTGATCATTTTAAAACTCACTTTTGCCCTCAGATATCACCAAATTGTTCCCTTAAGGACTTGGTGTTTGAAACTAGGGATGAGCTCTTAATGGCAAATAGTACTTAGCTTTTGTTATGTTATGAATCATTGTTTATGATATGTTATATAAAAGATTTGTTATCTAAATAAAGTTTTATATATTATATAATATATTATGTAAAATAAGTTGTATATACAATACACAGTAAATTATTCAATACATAAGAATATACAATGTTATACAATTTGGTTAAATTTATCATTTAACAAACTTATTATTAATTAGTGATTAAAAACAAATAAACATTAAGACTCGTTATAATACTTAGTAGTATTTATAAAAGTTTCCAATATTTTTATTTCAATTTATGACTTTTCAATAATAAATAAAAGTTTATTGTTCTAAATGTTTTATATTTTTATAAAGATTATAAAAATCAATTTTCTAAAATAAATATATATAATTTGATCCCTTTATTTGAGAAAATTGTGGTCATCTTTACAGTATATGTATACCAATGATAAATGAAAGGAGTGTGAGAGCAAAATATATGGTATAATAACCATATGTTAGATAATACAGGGGTATAAAACAGGGTATGTAATGAAAATAATGTTCATTCAAGCTATTGATAATAAGCATAAAATTACTTTTTTTATGTAGTTGAGGATAGACCTAAAATGTAGTTTACTGTACATAACGTGAAAGTCCAGCATTTATTGAAAACATGATAAAATAGTATCGCATATCAAAAATAAATCGATTTGTATTAAAGTTTGAGTTATTGAAGCATTTGACGACTTTGTCGTCATTTTATCCCAACTATTGAAAAGAACACTCAATGAGAGAGAGAGAGAGAGAGAGAGAGAGAGAGAGAGAGAGAGAGAGAGAGAGCTTAAACACAACGGTATAAAAACTATTTTCTATATACAGTAGTAGTCAATGTTTACAGTGACTCGAGTAGCAATAGTATCCCACAGTATCCCTGAGCCACTCTATGCCTGTGCCAAATGTATTTGCTTTTATCACTATTTCAATATTAGAAGAATATTTGTCATAATAATAATAATAATGAAAATTGAAGAAATGGCAGGAAAAGCAAGTGGAAGGCAAGTGGAAAGGGAGCAAAAGGGAGCAAAACTGTGTCTAAATGTTAGGAATAAACTATTTGCTGGTTCTATGAAAATAAAGTCATAAAATTGCGGTGAAATACATATTATTCATACATAAGAAGCAAATTCTGGGAATATTTTAGGACAACAATTGAATTATTTGTTGGTTTCCATCGATTACATCAATCAATGAAAATGATGTTAACTTAAGTTAAGAGAGTAACTGACATCCAATTGAAACAAATAAACGTCTATTCATTTAACTGTCGACAACCAAACTGTCCACAAATGGATTCAATAATTTTTTGATGACTATATGGCGTGCATTTAATAGTTACATTTGAGACCATAAATAAAAAAGTATATAACATTATATACTGTAAATATACAGTAAATATGCAATTTTAGACACATTGTTTCCAATATATTTATCATTAATATTTCTATTTATTTAGACTTTATAGAAAATTGTATAACATATAGATACAAATAAATAAATAATTTTAAAATCTAATTAGCTATTCTATAATAAATCTTCAAATCCTTATCTGATATTATTATTTTATAACATTAATAATATTATATTTTAATGCTTTTTTTAAATAAATTTTTTTATTGAATTTGGTTTTCATTAAAATAAATAACTTTAATATAAATTTATATATTATATATATATATATATATTAGTATGTGCATAATATTATAATAATATTAAATACAAAAAAAATATGTATACTTTGCATTATACAGTAGCATTAAGTGTAGACTAATGATTTTATATATGTTTTATTAAATAAATTTCAATGTTTTTAATTTAATAATTTAATAATCCTTTCAAATAATTCAACTAAAAGTAATTTTGTGTTGTGTATAAAGTCTATACTAATTTATATATACATTAATATTAAATTTCAATTTAAACAAAACAAAATATAGTATAAAAATTACAAGACTTACTGTAAACTTTTAACTCCTTTTCTTTGCGAACCGTCTGAAAACTGGGAGCTTCAGCGCTAACCTAACGGTACAAAAATTATATAATAATATAAATATGTTATAGTTTTCTAATTTAATCGCCAATCCATTGTTTTTACAATATATGACATAAGATAATCATAGCAACTGTTGTCACTATAATCTTTTTTTTCAAACAAAATTTATATAAAAAATATGATTTTATTAATTGGATTTACTATAATATAAATTTGTGAATCAGTTAATACACTATTCGTAATAATAATGTTTATACAATATAATGATAATATGTATTATATGAAGTTTTTTAAACTACAAAACTTTAATATCAAAGAAAACACTTGAATGTGTTATCAATTTGCTCTTATTTTATGTTTGTTTTTCAGTTAATTCATGTTAATTACACACAAAAACAACTTATAAGTGTTCACTTATTTCAATAACTGACTATTTAAATATAAATTAACATTTAAGATCAAATTCATGATTATCAATTGTGAAACAAGAAAAATTATTTTTACAAATAATTTGTATAAAAAAAATAATATTAATTAAAAATTTTATTTCACTTCCAATTTTAAAAACTTATTTTTTGAAATCATAATCCATAACTAACTTTTACTCAATTACTTATTCATAAATTCAAACATATTGTATATTTATTACTCAACTAGCATTAGACTATATTTATATACAAAAACAAAAAATAAAAATAGATTTAAATTTTTACTAATTTCTATAAGTTTTTGAAGTAAAAAATAAAAAAATAAATAATAACTATTTCAAAATAATTATTTATATTTCATACCTCACATCTATAGGTGCCATCGGTATGCAAATCGGTTTGTGATAGGAAAACGTTGCCATAACTTGATTTTGATAACTATATAATATTGTTGAATAAAAAACAGGTAAAATTATTATAAATATATTCAACATTTTATATTTTTTGACATTACTTGTAATCTCATCAAATTTTTTGTTTTTACTTTGTTATACAATCTATTATACTGTATAATATACATAATACTTTATAAAAAGTACGATACTATAATATTGTTGTTGTATATTATATTAAAAATATTTAAGTCAATTGACTATCATTTCTGAAGTTGCCTTTCAAGCATAAAATGATTTCTATTATATCATTATAATGACGTTAAAAGTTATATTTTATATAAATTTCTATATATTAATATGTTATACCACAGGTATGTATTGCACTAAAATAAAAAGTCATTTCACATTCATATTGTAATTATGTGTTCAGAATATGTTACTTAATATGATATCATTTCATGCATACAATATTTACATGAAATTATTTCGTTCAATTCACATCTTTAAATGTGTTATTATATAATATATTAATTATTTGAGTATTAATAATATTATTTTTTAATATATATATCATTTTATAAAAACGTATAAAAATATGGAATTGTTTTTATTTTCAAGTTTTTGTTTTGATATTTATAAAAAATAATAAATTTATAAAAAATTAATATTTTACTAAATAATATTTTGTGAAGTCAATTATGAATAATTTTAATTAAAAATCTGAATATAATTATAAATTTTTATATACAACTAAAAATTGTAAAATAGCTTACATAAATTTTCTTTTATAAAATTAAATATTTTATAGTAAAATAACTATAATATAGCATTATTTTTATTGTAAAATAAACGCACTTTATATGACAATATTAAAAACAAATCAAATGTCATAACAAATGTTATACTTTTAAAGCTATGTTTATTTGAAAATTAATGACTAAATAATTTAAATATAACGTTAAGTCAAACTCACAATTTGTCATTCATTGCATCTGTGAATTATTTTTTGCACTCTTTTATTAAATAAATAATTATTTCAAATGTGTTTTGCTTCCGCAATATATTTTGTGAATAAATTGTTTTGAAATTTTAAATAATTAATATAAATAATAGATACAAATATATGTATATAGTGTAGTAAAAATGTTTATTTTTACAAAACATATAAAAATATAGCATTGATATTCAAAATGGATTAAAACTAGAATTTATATATTTGTATAAATTTGTATATACAGTACATATCAATATATATATTCTAATTTACAGTATATAGCAAATTGCAATAAAAGCGATCCAATAGTTTTTTTATATATCTTTGAAACAACTGTTTCTCATTGTTTTGAAACCGAGTAATACTTAAGTAATATGGTTTAAGTTATCTTTACTAAACTTTATGCTTTTCATTAAAGATCTAATCAATTATTTTATTGTTGTCTAACTTAAACCTAAAATCAAAGAAGTGAGTCATCAGATGATAAATCATTGAATAAAAGAAATTGAATTATTTGAGACATTGATATCATCTTAAAAATATCTTATATGTTGACTATTAAGTAAATATTTAAACTAATCAAAAATATTTTAAATTAATTTAACTAATTATATACATAAAAACAAAATAACAATTACTAAATGTTATTTGATTAATGCATTTACAAAAAAAAAACAAATCTCAAACTGTATCAGCTCTAAGATAAATGTTTGAAAAAATATTTTTTAATTAATTTTAAAACAACATTAACTCTAAATAAGTTGAGCAAACACTTTGTAATTACATGAATAAAATATAAATCTGGTCTTTTATTTAATAAACTATTTTGTATAAAAATGTAGAATACAGTATAAAGTCTCAAAATTTGCAAATTTTGTTTTAATAAAACAAATTATATAAATATTTGCAAAATTGTTATAACACTTTCTAAAATTATTAAAGTATTTTTTTAAAAAGCTTTATGATTTATATTTAATGTGTGTATAAAATTGCAATGTTTGAATAATATGATTTTAGCACTGTTTTTATTAACTGGATTTCATTTTATAAACTTAAAAATAAATTATAGAGTATTGTAAAGTTAATAATTTTTACACTTTAGTTAAAATAAATACATTTTAATTAATAAATGTTGATTAATAATTTTTGTTTTTTAAATTAAATTTTATATTATTATATATAAAACAGGTCTATCAAGCATTAAAAAATATTTTTGTTTATTTAAACAGTTATATAATATATCCCATTTAGTTTGAGAGCATTATAAATGTGAAAATAATGAAAATATTGCTCACAAGCAGTTTTGTATATTTTATAAAAAGTTTTCTAATAATAAAACTAATGATTTATATGTATACTACAAAAATATTTATAAAATAATGGCTAAAATCATGCAATAATTTTTGATAATATAAATTGAATGTAAAATAAAGCAGTAATAATGTTTATATGTTATTTTATAATGAATTTATGATTGAAGTAAATTTTTAATAATTTATGGCAACAAATGCAAACATTAAATGTGTTTGAATGAAATAAAAATATAATTTATTGTGTCTATAAAAACCATGTTTTGGTATTTGTGATTGAGATTAAAAAGGAAACCATAATATAAAACACAAATATTGTAAATATAGTTATATAATATATTTAGGACATTAAATTATCATTATAAATATTAAGTTTTCTAGATATATAAATATAACATTTCATATTAATGTTTTAAAAATTAATTATTATTTGAAATATTTAACAAGTAATGTATGAAAATTTAATACAAAAAAATAACAGATTGTCTGACACTTACATCGAGATATATTCCTCGTGAGTCATACTTTTGTCCGGGCGGTTGGTCTTTAGGGACCCACCGGTAGAACTCTCCGTTAGAATTATACCATTTGATTGAATAGAGCTCATCGTTCTCCAACTCATAGGAACAGTTGAGCCAAACGGGTTGACCCATAATGACAGCTGCGGGCACATCAACCTTAGTTAAACGTAAGGCAACTATTGCTGCAAATAAATTACAAACAAATTTCTATTAGAGTTCACTATTATAATTATAATTATAATTAAACTAATTATTTACATATATTTTAGACAAATAAATATATTTAATTATATTAAAATTATGATATATAATACTGTAATTTGGTACTTATGTTATAAAATTTAATGAATGAATGAATAATATTATTGTTATGACTACTAAATTAAATATTTATTAATATGTTTGATATGTTTGCTATTAATTTTTCTGCAGCTATTATATGATTGCACAAAATACACCAAGGGATAGGCAAATAGAAATTTCTATTAAATTTAACTTGGAAAATTTCTAGAAAACTTTTTAATGATAAATTTCTACTGATTTCTACAAATTATTATACCATTTGATATTAATATAAATAATCAATAAATTTAAATTTAAATTAGTAATTAATTTAATTAAAAATTATAAAACATGTGATAAAAAGAATTAATTTTGTTAATTATAAAAATTAATTTAAATATTGTTAATATTTCATTATTATTAATAATTTTATTAAATTATAATTTTAAAAACAAAATTAACATAATAATTATATAGATATCTATTATATAGATAGAAGTTTCTTTTAGATACTTTTTAGAAATTTTTTTTGGCTAAATCTAAATATACTACATTTGAAAGTTAGCCGTTTTATAGTAACTAATTGTTGTAAATGTAATTTTTGAAAGCCAAATATAAAGTTTGTGTGATTTTATTTATTTATAATAAATTAAATGTAATGCCACTGAAAATGGCAAAACAAATAACTAACGAAATGATGAGTTCCCGGCTATGATATGAGTGAACCACACAATGGATTGTGTCTTTTGGGACTGACTACTGACTACTCAAAACTAAATACATCGACAATATACTGTATATACACAGACATACATATCCAGTGAACGGTATGTTATCGTGGATGAGATGAGACAATGAATTATAAACGAAGGTTTGCTCTCAATGTTAATGAATAGTTTGCAGAAATAAATTGACGACTGACTGACACTACAGTACACTCTATGGTGTCATTGACTACAGTATTAGTGATGCCTTGCCATGTGTTTTAGCAATTGACAGCAATAAGAGTCAGTTATATTTGTTTATAATTGTATCACTGAATGCTATTGAATTAGTTTAGAGGAGAGAGAGAGAGAGAGAGAGAGAGAGAGAGAGAGAGAGAGAGAGAGAGAAAGAGACCTTATGATGGGTTAGGTCCGCATCAAAGAGAAACTAAAACTAAATGGTGTATTGCGTGACTTGTCTTTCTTTATATAACATAATATCCAATTCAAAACATCATAACATATACTTTACTTTAAGACATTACTCGTTAGTCTCTCTCTTTTTTTTCTCTCTCTCTCTCTCTCTCTCTCTCTCTCTCTCTCTCTCTCTCTCTCTCTCTCTCTCTCTCTCTCTCTCTCTCTCTCTCWCTCTCTCTCTCTCWCTCTCTCTCTCTCTCTCTCTCTCACTCACTCTCTCTCACTCACTCTTTTATATAATCTATATTTTAAATAAACTGTTTATATTTATATCGTATATGTCTTGTAGAATGTAAAAAATCTTTTGTAAAGTTATATTGATTTGTATTTACAAACTTTAATGTTTTTCATAAAAAGATATATTTTTTGTCGTCGACTATCTCTGTCTCCCATTTTTTACTATTATAATGTTATATATATTATAACGGTATATATACAGTATTATTATTATATATATATACTTTTATTTAGTCGGTGACTATTATTTAAAGTACTTATAATTAGCTTATATGAAAATATTACATAAAATTGCAACAAAATGTGAACAGCGATATTATATTACTTAACATTATTATAGTTTCATAACTCTAAACCTTATATCTTAACGTAAATTGTTATAACCTTTCATCATATTATATGATAATGTCTTTAATAACACAGCTTAACATAAATTTTTTTTAGTATGTATATGCACAGTAAATGCTAATATAAATTATTATATATATATATATTATAAAATAACATTTTACATGAAGGTTGATTTAAATAAATTATTGATTCATATTTTAAAAATAAATAAATTGCTTATAGATATATATATATATATATATACAGTATTTATTTATTATGTGTGTATATTATGTTTGAAAAATCACAACTTTTGTTTGTAAGAAAACAAACAGCTGAACAAATAGATTAAAACAATGTTTGAATACCAAAAAATAGTAAAAATTATAACAATTTTGTACAGTCAGTCAGTATTTGGGTATAGAGTGAGTATAAAGTATAAACAAATACTATATATAATACTTTAGTAAAATTTGGGTCAACTGGTTGTTATGTCAGTGATGTTGGGACTATTGTCTCTCTATTGTGTGGCTTTGATTAGTTTACAAGAAATTAGTATATTTTCAAAATATAACAATTTTGTTATTTCACACTAATTATATACAGGTATATAATTTTATGTCAATCTTAAGCATACACTTTTTTGCCAATGTATTTATTATAGTTTATAATACTTTCACAATTTCAAACTATACATATTTTTATAGACTTTCATTAAATATTGTTTGTTTTATAAGATGTACTGTATATGACTACGATTAAGACTGCATTAGATAGCCTGAAACCCATGCATTTAATAAATAATTATTTTAAATATTAAAATAAATTATTTGTCCATTTACTGAAAATGCTATCTTTTTTTTCTATCAGTCGATGCTATTATCTAGCTAGTTTTACAATTAATCAAAAAATGACCAATTACAATAATGTTTAATATAATATTATCTATAATTAAGTGATTAGTCAATTTTACATTTAAAGTATGGATTATAAACTTATATTTAATTAATATTTAATATATAGTAACAGTCGAAGTGAGTCGAGTTTTAAGATACTCTGTTAAGAAATTGAATTTTTATCCAAATATTTTATCACATTCTGTATATAAATATAGTGAATGCTTTGATAATAACTTCCATAACATAAATATATTTGTATAATCAATAAATGTATAAATATATATATATAATAGTTAAAAATTATATACAAATTTTACACTAATTGTGGTAAAAAGACCTAAAATTATAATGTTCAAAAAAGCTTGATTTTAAAACGAAAAGTTTAAATATTTATTTAAACTTAATTTATTAAACTTTTCAAAACTGATTAGTGTTAAACAATGAAAACATTTTATGTGTATTTAATTTTATTACTCATTTTTATGCTTTTGTAACAAAAATTACTTTATTTTACAACAATATAAATTATGATATGTATACTGTTTACCGGTATTATGTGATGCTTTAAAAATGATATCTTTATTTTAATATTATTTATCGAGTTATTGACTCAAATTTAATTATTAATATTATCTTTAGTTATATTGTCTAAGCTTTTGTTATTTTATAAAAAAAATATATTTTTGGTTTCGAAAATTTGTAATTTTTTATATAATTCCTATTATTTAGTAGATATTAATGATCCAAATGTAACGTTTAAATGACAACTCATTTTGTATTAAAGTTATTTAATAAAAACAAATGAAATAAACAGTTTATAATAAAACTATTACCAAAAATCAAAACTGAAGATTAAAAACCATAAAAGATTTAGTTTATGTTAAGTTTAAGTCAATGTTTTTTATTAATATAATAAGTTAAATATTAAATTATTTAATTTTATATTTATGATAATTTATATTTTTTCTAATAAATTTTATTTTATATTTTTGTTTTTAAAAAATCACTGAAGTGTGTGTATGTATGTATGTGTGTGTGAATAGAGCTTAAACTATTATTTTAAATAATTTAGATAATAATTAATTTAATTATCAACAATAACATGAATAATATGAAAATACAATTAAATAAAAATTATTTTGCAATGATTTTTAATGTAATGATTATTATTTTAAAAATATATAATTAATATTTTATGGCTAATAATATAATACAAACCATTATATTGGGCGGTAATATAGAGAAGCGATACGATAATTATAAGTATTTTATAAATATTATAATAATAGACACAACATTTGCAACACATTTTTCATATATATAAATATGTTTATTTGTTTATTGCAAATATTAAGGAAAACATTTATTATTATATATTATATTAGTATTGTTTGATTTAAAGTATTGTAAAATACATTTTTTGTTGATAAATATTACACTACAACCAATATATAGTTTAATTGTTATGTAAAGTATATAATTTTATTTTCACATTTAAAAAGTTTAAAAACAGTTTTAATATAATTTTAAATGCGAACAGTTATCCCAGCGCTTAGCGCACAGTTAACTCACAAAAATAACACGAGTGTTGAACTTATAGTCCCATTACTCTTCACTTTTATGACTAATCCAGACAACTGGTGGTGTTTGGGTAGATTGACACGGGTTTGACACTGTTTTTGATGGAGGGATAGACTGGACATTTACATTCACATACAGTATATACCAGAGACGTCTGAATCATGAATTTTTCCACCAAAAACTACTGTATATTACACACACACACAACACGTATAACAATAGAGTATTACTAAGCAAAGTATATACTGTAGACTAACACATAGACACAGTGAGTACCGTTAGCTCTGAGACCAGAACTTTGTGTGTTTGTTAGGATGAATGGGATTCGTTAGTAACGATAGAATCAGCAAATGTTAGACTATAGCCAACTGTAGTGTCGAGTGCGCTGACTCTCTCTCTCTCTCTCTCTCTCTCTCTCTCTCTCATAGTGTGAGAGATGATTGTTTAGATCACATGCCGGTTCTCTCTCTCTCTCTCTCTCTCTCTCTCTCTCATAGTGTGAGAGATGATTGTTTAGATCACATGCCGGTTCTCTCTCTCTCTCTCTCTCTCTCTCTCTCTATATATATATATATATATATGCCTTATAAACATTATAAACTAATGTTGAGTCTACCAACTCTGAAAAATCTGTTCTTATGGTAAACCATATCTACAGT